ACATGCTGTCCAGAGGCAGGTCCTGGTCAGCAGGGGCGGCTCGCGGGACCCAGAAGGTTGGATGCCCCTTCCTAGCTCCTCCCTTGTCACACTCTGCTTCCTGTATGCCATGCAACGAGCAACTATCTTGCCATGGTGTGCTGCCTTGGAGCCACTGGTCTATGCACTGAAACATCTTCCTAAGTTTGAGTGTCAGGCATATCTCCATGAGGAAGAAGAAATTGTGCAAGGCAGAGCCCTTCAATCTCTTAGTATTTTCCTTCATTCTCAACAAGAATTTGGCCGAGTATAAAACTGAGTCAAAATCAGACTCCACTCAGTTCTAAACATACCATCCAACGAACTTCCAACATTTCAGCTTCGGGTGAACTTGATGTCACCCTGATGAGTGTTTCTTTGTAGTTAAAGTCCACTTTCATCTCTAGCTTCATGCTGACATATTCAAGTCCAGGTTTCTTCTACTGTATCAGGCAATCAATGGTCTCTTTTAACTCAAAAACTTGCTTCCCTTCTGACAGATCTCTTATTTTAGATAATCTCCCTTTCCACCCTATTTTCTCCTTTCTGTAAAATCCTAGATTGTGGTCTTTCCCGTCTCTTGAGCTCAACCTGTCCTTTGGCCTATCTTCTGGAGGACTGCCTTCACTTTATTCTGTAGTCCGATTACTAAAATTATGTGTGCAACTGATTACTCAATGTTTTATTTTTATTTGACTAGCCAACAGTGGAATTCACACATTATCACTCCAGATCAGTTCTTCAGCAATAAAGAATGATTAATAAGCATAAAAATGCCTGACATGTCAGCCAGTTCTGCTGCTTGTCCCAACAGCCAGGCTTCAATGACAAAGCCATGCTTCTTTCAAAAAGAAAGTATTGCTCTTTAAAGAAGCCACAGCAGGCCACTGATACCTACTAATCAATCTGAAATGTAGCACGGTGGGCTTCCATTGAGACCTAAGACCCTGGGCACGGCTGGTAAGACCCACTGTGAACACACATCTCAGAAGATGCTGTCTTGCACAATTGTAATCTTGGGATCACAAAAGCAGGTGTGAGGAATCCTGTCTCTTTTAATTTCCCTCAGAGACTATTTCTTGATATTTTGCTGAAATATTTTAGAACTGGTGTTCCTACCTGGAGTTTTTTTTTTTTTTTTTTTTTTTTTTTTTTGTCTTTTTCGTTTTTATCAGTACCAGGGATCGAACTCACGACCACCTGCTTGCAAGGCAGGCACTTATGCCGCTGAGCTAAATCCCCAGCCCCCCTGCCTGGATTTTATACTTCATTAAATTCTTATTGTTATATTAAAAATCTGATGGCTCCATCAGACTACCAAAGCATGTATCCTTTAAATAGTTTGAGTGTGATCAAAACCTAAGTGGCAGACATGTGACTCTCCAGAATGACAAACAGGCAGCAGGGCAAACCACCGTAATCTTCCAAATGAGGTCTCACCTGTGAATGGGAGCAGACCACAGAACTCCTGTCACACTGCTCAGGGCTCCCAGGACCCTTTAATCTGAGCTGAACATTTTTCCATGCACTTACTGGCCACTGGTACTACTTCTAAGAAGCATCCATCCATTTCAGTTGCCTGTTTTTTGATTGGGTCTTTTATTTTGGGTGATGTGATTTGAGTTCTTCATATATTCTAGATATTAGTCCTTTCTATAAAGTAGCTAGCAAAATACTTTTCCTATTCTGTAGATTGTCTTTTTACTGTACTGGTTGTTTCCTTGGCTTGGCTGTGTAGAGGCTTTTTAGTTGAGTGTAATTCCATTTGTTGAGTCTTGATATTATTCTTGTATAACTGGGTTTCTGTTTAGAAAGTCCTTAACCTGTGCCTCTGTCTTCAGTAGTTTCACCTATTTTATCTTCTAGACCTGTTCTTCACTGAGGTTGGTATCAGTACTTTGTGCATCATCTGTGGCTTGGTATAGGTGGCCTGAAGGGGGTGCTCTGACCATCACCTATTTCTACATTTTAAGGACTTTCAGATCCACTGGTTGGATGTTCAGTTGGGTGCCATGGGAGGTCACGTGGAGGCCAGCAGCACACTCTCAGAGCCACCCACAATCTCTTACATTTTTTATTTCTATAGTCACTTTTCTCTGTTCCTTTTTCATAGCATCCTCTTCTCTCATGCAGATAGTATTTTCTTAAATCTGAGCATAACAGAATATGTATGTATATTTCTTCCATTTGTTGAATAACCTATTTATTTGGGGTCAATTTTTTAAACTCTACTATTAACATTAATCTTGTCTCTTTCGTGCTTGTTTCACTCAACGATCTCATTCTTAAAGAGAAGACTGGGCGTGTTGGTATGGGTTTTCTCTGCATTCCAGCTGAGCCTTTTCCTGCATGAAAAATCTACCTAGGAACTTGGGGAAAGGGCAGGGCAGGGCAGGTCAGAGCAGGGCAGGATAGAAAGGTCAAACTCTTAGGCTTTGCTTTGGGGTCAAGAGCTGACTGTCAAGACTGGAACTTTCTACGTGGCAGAATGAGACTTTAAATCTAGATGACAACTTCTGAGCATCATGGCAGGAAAACGGGGTGGCATGCCAACTGCTGCAAACTGTTCCATATATAAGATTTCAACTAATCTGTTTTTTCAGTCCCACTTCTTCCTCGCACCATCCAGTGTACCTGCCAATTCTGGGCCCAGAGTCTCTGGGGATTCAACAAGCAGCCTGGTTCCCAGAGCCCTCTAGTTCCCTCCTAGCACATTCTGAGCTGTAAATCTTTCCACCTCTTTATCTGTCAACCTGCTCCCATCTGCTTTGTTTTCTAGAAATTCATTGAAGCCTGTCATCTGTTGCTTAATACCCCTCCTCATCTCACTGCTATTCTAAGTTTATCCCTCTTATTACATAAACTAGATTAAGTCAACAGGGTCATAGAAGGGGTTGGAGCAATCTAATCCTCAATCTTTCTTGAACCTTCTGACCACTGATCTGATATGAAGAAACGGGCATGATTTATAGCCATGTTTATTAAGAGAGTAAAGGAAATCAGTTTCTAATATAATAAAACTTACGCATATCTTTGAACTTACACAATTTGTTCAGGAAAACGATCGCATCATTTTATTAAAAGTGTGATCTTAAAAAGGGAAAAAACTAAGAAAACTCCCAGTTTCCTCCAGATTTCATGACATAAGGGAATCTTTGCCATTCATCCATGAAAAATAGTCACTTTCATTTCATGGAGAAGGGAAACTCATGGAATTTTACATGTGGTGAAACGTGTTTAGTGGGAAATGCCAGTTCTGAAGTGCTTGTAGGATGGTTTCAGAGGAGATGTCAAGCAGACTGCTGAATCAAGAAGATGTGGTCTTTAAAACTGGTCAGTAACTATGATACATATGATATCACCCAGAAAAAAATAATTTTTGAAGAAAAGAGAATTCTAGGAAATACAAAGAGTAAAGGATGGGCAGAAGAAATGAACTTTTAACAGACTGGGAAGGACTGACTGATCATGTCATCTGCTGCTGAGACATTAATTGAGAGCAGGGCTGAAGAGTATACATGAATTTTAGTAATTAAATTACTAAATCCATTGGAAAAATAACTAAAGAAAGTAGCAATGTAGTGAAAAACGAGACCAAACTTCCCATGTGCTATCTGAAATCATGGCTCCACTGTGCTGCTATCCTCCCCACACGACGTGTGCATCACTTGGGGTGATACTAGACGGCAGGAGGAATAATTACTCCAGAGCCCAAGTTTTGCTGGTTGGCTAAGAATGAAAGGACACCGAGAACTGAAATTACTGAAGAGTTGCGGGACTGCTCGCTTCGGCAGCACAAATATAAAAACAACGACACGCAGACTAGCGTGGCTCCTGCGCGAGGCTGACACGAAGGGCTCATGCAGTGCAGGATGAAGAAAGAAACGTAATGAAGAGGTACAGACCAAAAACTTTCCAGTGACCAGGGGGTCATATGACGGTGCACAGTGAATGGGGGGTAAGAGGAACACAGACAGCAAAGGGATCCGAGATGACTGCGCACAGTGAGGAAGACAAAGTGGATTTCTGATTTATCCCTAGATACACAAAGGTGATGCTACAATGAGAAGCCGGCAAGCAGCAGACAGTGCCTTCATTCTAACCTGAGAAATCAGGACATCCACGGGTACCCTGGCCCTCACCAGCAATCACAGTGGAAGCTCAAGGAGACAGGGCTGAAGGCCCCTCCTAGGGTAGGGTACTGCCGTCAGGCCAGGGCTAGCGCAGCTGCCCACTCTAGAGGAGCTGCAAGTGCAGGAGGCAGATAAAGCTTCACTCTACGCAGCCTTTCACACAGCACTGGCCCTGTGCTGATTACTCCAACAGACTGTGACCAGCATTTTGTTACCCTTGCAACCAGCAAGCAGAGTTCGACAACTATGTGGGGGACAATCTATAATGGGTGTGGCACGTCCTGAGATAACCGGCAAAGGTCATCAAGGGAAAATAGCCCCACCCTTATTGGGAAGCCTCGGTCACTCCAGACAGGGATGTGAGCCAAGCCTGAAACAGAAGGTGATGTGACACCTGCCAGACAGGGCAGCTGCCTTGGTCCACGGCCCACACAGCCTGAGGACAACTGGGAAAACACCCATGCGATTTGCCCTGAGTGACAGGGATTCTTTCTGGGATCATATATTAGCAGAAAAGTTACTTTATGTGTCTTGGCAGTTACTCTATGTTGTTTCCTGTCTATTAAAATTTTTAAAGGGAAAAAAAAGTAAGATCCCATTGGACGCAGGATTATATCAGACTCAGAAACGAGAAGCCATTTCATATTTGAGCCTCTATTATTTATTGTGCTGGAGGAGACACACAAAGGTGAAGCACCTGAGTATCAATCTTTTAAGGCCCATTCCAGATTATGACACTTTCACTAACCTTAGTCCATTGTGAACTGGAAAAAATTTGTGTCCCATTTCTTTATCACACAATGAAGAAATACATGAAAGCTCATGCGTTATCTTTAAAAAGACACTCACCTGTTTCTTTTTAGAAACTGCTCTGTTTGTGCACTTGGTTTGTTGAGACTTCCTTCCATTAGTTTTCTTTTCTTTACAAGGCTGAGCTTCCGCGTTAAATAAGTTGCAAACATTCTCTTCTGTAACACTGGCCAACTGCTGTAATGAAAATTTAAGGGTAAGGATCCACAAAGCACAAGCATTCACAGTTCAAGGTACAGCTCTCACTTTGTTGTGCTCTCCACAATGATCTACCCGTTCGCATCTTGTTACTTCTCAATTCACTAATTCCACTAGAGGTGTTTTAACCATAATTCAAGGGAAATGGTATTTACCAATTCTGATCTATAAAACATAGATTCAGAAACAAATGAATACCACCCAATTATATTAGGGAAAAAAAAACCACTTAAGAACTAGTTGATTTATTCATTTACCAAATATATACGTAGAACAAACAATTTAGTACCCAACTGTTGTGTTACAGAAAAGAAAATCATGACTGATTATCTAGGTTTGAATTTTGGGTTTATAAAACACTGTATCAGCTAAAAGCCCTATGATAACATCTTTTTATATTATGATCATAGACAAAACTCCAATATTATCTAATTTAATATAATATCAAAAGCCATGCATTCCCAGCTAAAACCAACACTGCAAAGTACAGTTTAACACATTCATAACAGGGCCATAATTCACATGTCTTGCTGGTGGGTGGTCTGAACCACCCAGTACATGCATGACTGTCCCATTTGGCAGTTTTATCTAAAATAATTTTGTTAGTAAAAAGATCAATAAAAGTGATTACATTCTTTTGTACCTCTGATGGTACCAGCCTCCTGATGGGACAGTCATTCATGTACCAGTGGTGGGTCAATCAGGCAGGAAGGTGTTAAGAAAGGGTTGTATTCATGTCATTTATGGGCTCCATTAATTACATGCTAACCTCCACATTCACCTCAACAAAATACTTAAAAGATCATTGTTGGGCGCAGGCGCTCAACATACCATACCCCACCCGGGACTAAGGACCACGCCAGCTTCCGCAATGCGCTACGTCCCTCTTTAAATTAGCCAACCCGTGCGCACTTCGTGCTCACTCCGTACTCTGTGGCAACTCCTGATTGGCCACAGCTGGATATGGTAGCCGGAGCCTGTGTCCCATTCCCGCCCTGCTTCCTTGTGGCAGCCTGTGATTGGTCACGGCCAAATATATAAACCAGAGCCCGCGTAAATAAACTAGCAGTTAACTGTCGTCCACAAAAGCGTCTCCTGTCTCCTGTTTCATTGGAGCTGCGCCGGTCAACTGGTGGCCCGTACGGGGAGCGCTGAGACCCTCTCTCCGACAGTACGGGGAACGAACCTCTCCCTCCGACGGAACAGAGACGTTAACAGGTAAAACCGTCAAGCGCCGATAGCGGGGGCTACTCGGCAGGCGGGGGCTGACAGGTTAAACTGCTCAACGTTGGTAGCGGGGGCTACGCAACAGGCAGCGGGGGCTGCAGGGCCGGATGGCGGGGGCTATCGGGCAACCTTGGGCGGACGCGTCGCAAGGGTCGAGGAACTCGTAAAGAGAGTTCCCGGTGCCATAAAGAGGCAGGTTTTGGGGGCGCCGTAAAGGGGCGCGGGGACTAAGCTGTCCCTGTTAAAAAAAAAAAAAAGGAAAAGAAAAAAAAATAAAAATAAAAAGAAACTCTTGAAATTCCGGTTAACATGGGTAACACGGCTACTCAGCCACTGTCAGTCGCCTTAAGCGACTTACTGAGAGAAAAGGGATTACAAATGAAACGAGAACAAATTCAAAACTTCCTCGATCAGGTCGATAAGGTAGCACCTTGGTTTGGTCCCACGGGGTCCATTACCATCCCCAGCTGGGATAAATTAGGGAGAGATCTTGACTTTGCAACAGAAAAGGGCCTCCTGGAGCCAGGAGTCAGACCCCTTTGGGCAGTAGTGAGAGGCTGCCTTGCAGACACCTCTTGTCGTGACCATATAAGGGCTGGCGCCATGGCGCTTGATTACCATCAGGCAGAATCCTCCCGCGAGCAATCTCGTGAGCCCAGTGCCGCAGGCGAGGTGACCCCACCCAACCCAGAAACAAAGGACTCGTCAGATAATGAGGGGGAGGAAGAAGAAGTATACAAAATGGTGGATGCAGACACCACCGAAAGAGGGGAAGTCACATACACGCAGTCGAGAGGGCCTTACTCTGAGGCCATAAATGAGCTGCAACGCAGGATTTCTCAGAGTAAATGGGTCAATGAAAGCGAGTATGGGATCCCAGGGCCACCCTGTATAAGACCTACGGCTCTACCTCCCGACCCGCCAGATTATCATGCTCACCAGAGACCCTGCCATCAGCTATGTAGCTGTCCGCAACGGGTCCAGATGTCCCCTGGGACATTCCAGGAAGACCTTTGGCATCAAGTCAAAAGAGAGGACCCAGGAGGCCTGGGCCGTTTTCTCCAGGCTTTTCCAGTTGCTGTAGATGCTCAGGGAAACAGAGCCCACCTGCCTATAGATATGAAGGCGATAAAGCATCTTAAGGAGGCCAGCACCATGTACGGTGTTAACAGGGCGTATACCCTGTCCCTAGTAGAAGCCCTGGCAGGAAATGCCATGACACCTGCTGATTGGGCCAGTTTGTGCAAGGCAGTGCTCAGCCCAGGTCAATATCTTGATTGGAAAGCTTGGAATGTTGAACTTGCCACAGAACAGGCCCAAGCTAATGCCCAGAACAATCAGGCCGCCTGGAATGCAGATATGTTATTAGGACAAGGGCAGTATCTCAATAACCAGCTGATATTTCCACAAGAGGTGTATGCACAGATAAATAGAATAGCCATACAAGCATGGAAACGGGTCTCGGCTAGGGGAGAAGTCTCAGGCCACTTGACAAAAATTTTGCAGGGCCCAAGTGAGCCTTTTTCAGATTTTGTGGCCTGCATGATGGAGGCAGCAGGGAGAGTTTTTGGAGACGCAGAAACAGCCATGCTGCTCATTAAGCAGCTCACAGCTGCTCTGGGTCAGCACCAGGTGTAGTTCGTTAACTTGGCAGGAGTCGGGGCTTGCCATTGTTGACGACCCTACCACGAGACAAAGCAGAAGCCGCATCCAAACTTATTCAAGAGCAATTAAAGTTAGGCCATATCAAACCCTCAAGTCTATTCTGTTTAAACAAAAGGAGGGTATTGCCCAGGGCATGACACCTAGGGCCAGACTAAATCTTGCCCTCTTCACTTACAATTTTGTAAACATCAACCCACAAGGATCCACGCCAGCACAGCTACATGCCAACCCTGTCGCACCCAAACATGGTTGGGTACGCTGGAAAGACCTCCTGCATGGGGTGTGGAGAGGCCCCAGCCCAGTACTTAGTTGGGCGAGAGGGGCGGTTTGTATCTTCCCGCAGGAAGAAGGCAGCGAACCTGTCTGGGTCCCGGAACACCTGATATGTCCCTGCAAACCACCAGACCCCGACCCAGAGGAAACGTCAACCACAGAACAGGGGAACCAACAGGAGCCTCACAAGCCAGACCTAGCAAGTATACCCACAACTCCCATTAACCATGGCACCTTGGCCAACTCCCCTGGTTAGTAGCCTCCTTTTCCCTTCCTTCTTGCATCTCGTACGGTCCTTGCAGCCAATGACTTTTCTAAATTGCTCCACCGCAACCTGTTATACGTTATAATGTTGGGATAACAGTGCACTTTCAGCTGTTGTTATGCAGGTACTCCAGTTCACACCGATTCCAGTTATGGCGGACTCAGACGAGTTTCCTGTGATCCAGCTCGGGCCAACTCTCCAATTGGCTTTCATAAAGGAATGGGCAGGAACAGGGGCTCTGGCTACCATGACTACACTTGCCGCATTCAGCAGTCTACTTCTGCTCTGTCGGATTCGCAGACAAAGGAATAGGGACAAAGTATCAAACAAGCATTGCTGATCATGGAATCTGGTCAAAGCCCGGCAGCATGGCTCACCATGCTGTGACGCAGGTGTGGAGCAAAGCATCGCAGGGGGTGTCGTCCTTGGCCAGGAGACACCCCGGTCCCCATGTTGGTGAGCATGCGGGTTGGGCTCATAAAACAATACTCCCGCCCCCTCCAAAAGAGCACCAACGAGTAGTGAGGCACTGTCATGACTGCAGCATGACACCTCACGAGGGGCACCGACCTCTGGAGGCCCTGCGTCAGTTATAAAGAAAGGGGGAGATGTTGGGCGCAGGCGCTCAACATACCATACCCCACCTGGGACTAAGGACCACGCCAGCTTCCGCAATGCGCTACGTCCCTCTTTAAATTAGCCAACCCGTGCGCACTTCATGCTCACTCCGTACTCTGTGGCAACTCCTGATTGGCCACAGCTGGATATGGTAGCCGGAGCCTGTGTCCCATTCCCGCCCTGCTTCCTCGTGGCAGCCTGTGATTGGTCACGGCCAAATATATAAACCAGAGCCCGCGTAAATAAACTAGCAGTTAACTGTCGTCCACAAAAGTGTCTCCTGTCTCCTGTTTCATTGGAGCTGCGCCGGTCAGATCATAGATCTCAAACAAACTTTTCAAACAGATTACCACCTTCCATATTAACACAAATCTGACACAAATGTTTTAGTGGATCTTCCTCTAACAGAATTAATTAAAATCTAATCAGTAAAACATTCTGCTGTGGGGTGTAGCTCAGTTGCATAAGCACCTGCATGGCAAACTCAAAGTCATGAGCTTGATCCCTGGTACCAAAAAACAAACAAACAAAAAAACAAAAAAACCATTCTGCAGCACAGGATAAGGTTTTAATTCTTAGTGACACTGATCAAGCCAAGACTACCTATTACAATTTTTATGAAAATGGAAAAAATATGATTTAATATAAATACTTACATTTCTTCTGTTTGAAGTCCATGTTGGTTTACCAACTTTACAGGATGATATATTCTGGTAGTTATCTGAAGAACTAAAATTATCAGTGCCTGATAAGCAAGAAACAGGCAAAATCTGGTGATTAACACAAAACTAATGTACATTATCACTGGAAAATACTGGAAAGGTTTTTTTTTGATACTTATCTTTGCTTTTAATATACTTGAACATAAATACTTAATAAAATTACATTTTGAAATCCAAAAATTTTTTTAGAAAATTAAGTTTACTAAGTAAGTTGAGAAACTTTCACAACTTTCCAAGATGACCAAACATACTATCATCCTAAGATAACAGACTAACTTATATTACGATACATGTACCCATATACTACAATAAACACATGCATTTTCGGAAATGTGTTAATTCCAAATTATATTTTATCAGATGAAACTGTGATAAGGGCATTAAGATAATCGTAACAATACTGTATTGAAAGTTTAGATATGGTATAAATGAACCATAGTGCAAGGAGTTTAAGATCAGACTTGGCAGTGTAATAGCCTATGGACCAAATTGTGGCTCTAGCTTGGATTCTGCACTCTAACCTTGGCTTGTGTCAGCAAGAAGCCATTTATCTAAGGGAAATATATGAACAAAAACTCCATCCCAGTGCCCCATTCCACGACATCTGCCTCCTAAGTCTGTCACGAAAGCTGGGAGAAACTTTTGTTCTTGTCATGATCATAAAAGGCACAGAGTCTTTGGGAAGTACGTATGCCAAAAATGCTATATTAATGTTGAAGAAAATCTTTGAATGTTTACGAATGACCCTTACAATCCAAATGATCTCAATTGTGCAAACTGGTTAGGATCTTATCACCAATACTTGAGAGCTGAGAGAACCAACAGCACTGCTTATGGCAATTTGAAACAGGGGTACCCTTCTAAGGACACTGTACGGTAGGCAAGCTTTTCTAAGCTACAATAGTAGGTTTGTAAACCAACCTGTACTGCTGTGATAATAAAACTTTAAAAAGAAAATAAAGATTAAGTCTCATACACTGAAAAAGACATTTATAATATAAATAAGAGTTATACCTGAAAGAGTCTCAGAGACTGAAGATTTAATAGGACTCAGAATTGCAAATGATATCTCAAGTGGCTCAATGTTCTCCTAAGTAAAGGAAATAAAAGAACAGAAATTCAGATATTTCTTAAATTCAGTTAACATACAAATAATGTGCCCGAAAGGAAAAACTAATAAGGATTTGTTTTGGTAGCAGAATTATAACAAACAAAGGTGAGAAATCAATAAGAGATTAAACAGAAGCTAAAGCAAAACGAAAATATTCATTGACCAATCATCTTTAAAATGAAACCATAACTGCTATCAAGAAAATAAAAATAAACTTTCTATTAAAAAGTGTAAGTAATCCTAACGATCTGTTACTTAGTTCCTTCCTAGTTTATTTAAAAACCCATATCTTGCCAGGTGTGGTGGTGTGCACCTGTAATCCCAGCACTGGGGAGTCAAAGGCAGGAGGATCATTGTGAGTTTAACAAGACCCACCTGGGTTAAAAGTGAGCTCAAGGTCAGGCTAAGAAGATCCTGACCAAAAACAACAACAACAAAACATATCTTAAATCCTACAAAGTTCATTATTAAACATGAGCTAACATGACAATATTATTCAGGGAACTTCAGGATTAAACAACAATATAAACACAGTTAAGTAATCTTGCCTACACAACTGACAGTAAGACAGTTACTGATCTTTATAGATGAAACTTACCAGTTTGAAGAAATTCCCTTTAGTCACCAGTTTGCTCAGAATGCTTTTAACCCAGAAATGGACACTAGATTTTGTCATATGTTTCTTACACGTCTACTGAGACAATCACTGTTATCTTGGTCTGTTAACATGGTGAACTATAATGTCTGGGGATTTAGCTCAGCGGCACAAGCGCTTGCCTGGCAAGCACAAGGTCATGAGTTCAATCCCTGGTACCAAAAAATAAAATAAAATAAAACAAAACAGAACAGAAAAAAACATAAACATGGTGACTACACTGTTCAACAAACATCAGCTAACGTTCCATATCTGAGCCAAATCTCACGTGACAATAAAATTACCTTTCACATATTGCTATGTTGATGAGGATGCTGAACTGTAATTTTCTTGTTATAAATGATTTTAGTTTCAGGTTAAAAGTGGTATCACACAGTTAGAAAATATTTCAGATGCTTCAAGTTTTGGAAGAGTATGTGCACAATTCTAACCTGACTTGATTAAGGGTTTGTCAGTAAAAGTCACCTAGCGCTCTGTGTGGGAAGGTTTAAGGGGCGATTTAAATCTCTTTAGTCAGTATAAGGCTACTGATGCTTAGTTCATATAAATTGTTAAGTTTATTAGCATAAGAGGTTTACAGTATTTACTTATTCCTACTTAGTGTTTGTTAGGTTGTGTGTTACTTTTTACCCTATCGATACTGGTAATTTCTCTCTCCCTTCTTCCTGATTAGTCAGATTCAAATTTTACCAATATTTTTTTAAAGTACAATTGTTTCCCAGAAACAATAGATAAGTAAATTTATCAGAAAATAGATAAATTTCTATAGTACTTCAATTGAAAAATGGATGCATCTTTGTATTTTCATGTCTCTAAAATCTTACAATGCATAAATGTGTTTAATTTTCAGCATGTTTTCTTAACACATTAAAACAACAATATGTCTTACAATTGAAAGTATTTAAGTTTGGGTTTCATAAAATACATGACATTTTAGGAGTCATGGAAGTACTGTTCAGAATAGGGAAAAGGGGGAAAAACTATTTCTATATAAGTATATATCATCATTGCTCTTGAAAACAGGTGAAGCCTATGAAAGTATAAGCCAGTTTGTCCCAGGCTTTCCCACTTACAAGATTCTCCCCTTTATCATCAAAATCTGGTTGAGGCAAGTGCTCAGGAACTGGTGACTCCTCTGGCAGCTGGGGACTGATCCTATTGAAGTCCTGACGGGCAGGTGTTCCTCCTTTACACAACGGGGTGTTAGCTGGCAAAGACTCGTCAAACACTTCCGGGCTTAGCTCCTCTCCAAAAGTAACTCTCTTCCTCTTCTTCATATTTAGAAAACCAGGCACTCTACAATTGTCTTGATCTTCTACAAAGAATAAACAGTAATCTTTTTTAAAAAATATGGTATATTTATCAAACGAGCATATACTAAAATCTTTTAAAGTAATATATTACATAATTATTTGTAAAATAAAAAAATCTGGCCTGCAGAACAAATTTGAATTGGAAAAGAGAAGCAAATTTCCAGCAAAAGGATGGCAGAGACTTTTGAAGTAAAATTTTGCATAAGCATCAGAAACATTTAACGGTTCCACAAACACATGGAAATGGATAAGGTAAACAGACCAAACCCTTTTTGATTTTTGGTGCTGGGAATAGAACCCAGAGGCTCATGCATGTTGGGCAAGTACTCTACCACTGAGCTACCCCGCCAGTCCTTATACCAGTGGCACACATGCCACAGCTGTATGCAGAACCCTCTCTGTTGGCACACGACCAAGTCACCCCAGCAGGCAAGCACTGGACAGTCAGGTTGAACTGTAGTGTTGGCACTTCTGTGATAAATAAGTGGGGTTCGAGCTGCAGTTAGGGCACTCAGTGTCTGAAAGGTTCGCCATCACTGCCTTGATCAATTCTGAGGTTCTCTGTTCTTCATTCCCATGTAATTGCCTAAAGCCCAAAGCATTAGCAGACCACTGAAAATCTGATATACCAGACTTTATTAACAAGAAAATGCTATTCTCAGGCTTAAAAGTAAATATAAAATTCTTACCAGCTTTTTGTTCTTTGCAGCAGTTTAAAAGATCTGAAGCTAAGCTTGGATGCATCCCATTATCACAGAGGTTGTTTTGGTGTTCCTAAACAAAGTGATCATCAGGTGAGTGATTTTACAGATACACACACACACACACACACACACACACACACACACACATTACACGCAAAGTCCTAAGAATGGCAATTCTGAACTATTTCAGCAAAGGGCACACACTGTAGTACTAAAGATTATCTTTATTTTCAAAACTGTTCTGGCTTAAAACACTATGATATTTGCTACAAATAAAAACTAGGTTATCTAAATATTACTTGAGTAAATATTATTTTAGGCTGAAATTAACAGAAATCCATAAATGTGGGTTACATTTATTCCCACTCTGATCTAGCAAGTGCAGCTAAAAAAAAATGCCAGTGCCTAGACTTTAGGTGTACTGTAATTGGTGTTAGATGAGGGAGACAGTTATAAATGACCTGAAATATAAAAACTGCACTAAAATGAGAAAGAAATCAAACAGGTAAAAGATGACTACAATGGTATCTCTTTTGAATGTGGGAAGTACACCTTTGCTGAGTGTTTAAATTTCCTGCCTCCATTACCATATTATTGAGGAAGAAAAAGGAAAGAAGTTAGCTTTTTGGCCTTGAGTGTTTATCTAAGTTAAGATTATACAGGCAAGGTAGAAAGGAAGGGACACTGCAAACCCTGAAGAAAAAGACAGAGCCCCCAGCACTCCACTGAGGACCACAGCCAGGGGACCTCTGAAGCACCACCTATACGCATCCAGGTTCACCTGAAAGCCCTGCCCAGGCTTTGTTCTCAGAGCTACCCCCACCCAGCAACAGCACTTGCTCTAAGAATATCTGCTCCAAACAACCCTTAACTTGCTGTCTTTCCAGAGTCAGTTCTTCCTCGCCAAGAAAACACAGACACCAATAATTCCCAGTAATGACTGGGAAATACCTTAACCTACATGACAGTTCATGGTTGCTTTTAGATTTATTTTTAATTAAAATCACCACAAAAGTTAACAAAGGACCTGAATTTTGTCAGCTAGCCAATTTTGGCCAGCTTAGTTAAAAAGACAAAAATCACCGGTTTTAAACAAAATCCTGTGATTCAATATTTGGACTCAATGTTTGCTGTGTCATATTGTGATTTTTTAAAATGATAAGCTATACTGATAATGAGAAGAGCTGTTACAATGTTAAGTCCTTTTAGGAGGCGATAAAGTATGAGTAAGCACAGGTATTACAAATTCCAATCAAGGCCAGGGATTTAGTTCAGTGGCGTAAGTGCCTGCCTTGCAAGTGCAAGGTCAGGAGTTGGATCCTCAGTACAAAAAAAAAAAAAAAGAAAGAAATTCCAATCACATCTCAGCTAAAACAGGTGTTGAAACATTTGAGATAGCAACTGACCATCAACAATCTATGTGGGTAAAGTACTTCACTTCATTTTGATTGACACACAGCTTTGTGTACACAGTTGTATATTACAATGCTATGGTTTAAAAACAAGATTGGTATTTTTGATGTGCCACACACTGGTGCTAATGTCATACCATTATTCTATTTAATGCTCAAATTGTTCTAACAGATGCTTATTAATAACATCCTTTTACACACAAGGAACCAGGGCACACGGTTACTCTGCCCAGCTATTAAATTTCCAGCTGGTTTCAACCAGGCACTCTGCTCCAGTTTCTCTACGGCAGCCTTTGGGAACTTAATCTGCGGGGAACTCAAGTCTTCGTGGGTGCACTACACACACTGAGCCTAAGTGCATGCCACACAGGCCAGTACTTCTTTGGCAGAACTGCTGCTGCATATATGCCAGAAGGACAGACAGAAACCGCTCAGTAAACACCACCAACTTTCCATTAGCTTCCTCTTTTCTCCTATCAGTTCAGCTGGGAGAAAAAAAGTTTGGCTGAAAGAAGTATTAAAACCAAATACTTTGGATGGACTGACAGGTAACAGACTAACATTGTTATGAGCAATGAATATCACTACCTAGTCGTATTCAGTTACTGAAACAAGGCCGGGGATGTAGCTCAGCGGCGCAGCACCTGCCTGGCAGGTACAAGGGCCTGAGTTCTGTTCCCGGTACCAAAACGAAAATAGTGAAAAAAAAAAAAAAAGATCAATTACTGAAATATAATTCTGTCAATGTAAGGGACCATCATAATTAAGATAACAAGTCTCTTAATAAGCTACTTGCATTCAATTCTATATACTTTTAAAAAAGTAACAAATTTCACACAGGGCTATGAGAAAAGTACAGGAAAAAACTGAGGGTAAGTGGGTTCTCCTTACACCAGATGATGTACACGTGATTTCAGGGGCACTGCTTTGAAGCAAAATGAGGTTTTATTCATTTGTTTTAGGTAAGGTAACTTCTCTCACCTGTAAGCTCTCTAGAGACAGCTGCGCACAAGGTTTCTTCAAGACAGAACGGAGGACAAAGGTCTCAGTGGGTGGAACCTCCCTCCTGCACACAGGCGTGGCTGGTGACTTACACTCAGGGACTGTGGCCACACTCACTTCTGTCACCAGTATGTCAAGCGGAACAGCATCGCTGGATCCTTTGTGCTGCGTCCAATCTGCAACCTCAAGTCCTTTAAGAACAGTGGAACGTGAGGTGGAGGACATCCAAATGCATTTATTCTGGACCAAAAATTCTTGCTATATTTGCAAAAATAGCACCCTACTAAGAAATTCAATCCTAATACACACTACCCAGAGCAATCGGGGATCTTGCTTAGAATACAAAGAAGAGGTAGAGAAGTGGCATTTGCCACAGTTTTTAATTCAAATCTGACTATTTCAGGCAAATGTAAGGAAGAAATTTTCACTCCCACAGAAATCTAGATCAAAGGCTAGAAGAAAGTAAGAACTGGCTATGCGGCTAGTCTGTCTTCATGATACTACTAGTTACACCACAAAACGTAACCTTAGCCCAACAATGAGTGGTGAGCAGTTCTGCACTGACATTCGATATGCAAAGCAGATGGAAATGAGAGAAGGGAATAAAGGGAAAGAGGACTGAACCAGACCAGAGCTGCCCTGCCACACGCAGGGGTTCTGCAGCGGCAAATGCAGGGGTCCAGTTAAATTGCAATTGTAATATATCAACTCTGATGCTAAAAGTACTATGATATACTCACACTAAAATCATAAGAACTGTAAACACTTCAATTTTTCGATTTTTCAAAGCAGCAAGGGAAGGAGTGTGGGAAGCACGATGGGAAAGAGGACGCGTGAGAGTGTAAAGTGCCAGAGGAACAGCAGGGCCAGAGCCGCGTGAGGCAACAGTGAGGCCTGCAGTCCTTGTTCCCAGCAGCTGGGGACACAGGACTTTCGGCTGGATGGGACAAAGAGAGGGAGCAGGGGTAGGCAGGGAGCAACAGGAGGTACCACGGTGGCCTGCTTCCTAAGCTTCTCCTAACAAAGGACTTTCTGTCCCTCTGCAAAGATCTTTTGACCCTTCCTGAAGCTTCCTCTGAGACAGAAGTATAGCACTGAGTGGGGCAGCCGCACAGGTAACTGAGGGAAAACACAAACTCACCACTCGAGGCCTCTGTGAGCGCTGGGCAGGGAACAGCTTCTTCAACTATGCATCCAGGCTGGGTTAAACCATATTCAGACGGTTTCTTAGGGGAAACATTTAGAGTAAAGGCCCATTACATTTTATTTCTACGATTACCCAGGGCCTAAAGCAGATCTGAACAAGGTTTATGGATTAACTGGAAATTGGTGTTCATCACCTTCATAATCTAGCAATCTTAGGAACCTAAGAATGAAGTTTTCATCTCAACTTCACCCTAAATGTTCCACAAAACATTTTTCAGTCCCTTAGGAAAAGTTCAAGGGACATTTTATTTTTTTTTGGGTACGGACATAGAACTCACAACCTTGCGCTTTTGCAAGGCAGGTGCTTATGCTGCTGAGCTAAATCTGGGGCCCTAAGGGACACATTTTTGTTGCCTACTAAGGCCTAGGAAGTGTGATTGGCTATGCTTTGAAGAGGAAATTCACTAAAGTGCTGCATGATGATTACTCAAACACCAAAATGTATCAATAACTAGGACAGGAAAGACATTTAATGGTCAGGAGAGAAAACACATTCGTATTAATCCAGAAATCATTTCTACATCATGGGGTAGGTCCAATGAATCACAGGTCTGATAAGAAATGATGATTACTGCCTGTGTCCAATGATGACCTCTTATTGACTTGAATAAAGCAGAGGGAGCGGAGTTACAGGCCTTCTGCGGTAGGAGAAAATCCCTGGCCATGGACTCCTCTCTAGTGCCTATCCTGGATATGTTTGGATCTAAGGGGAAAAACAAAGCACTCTAAGGGGAAAAACAAAGTAACAGTGTTAGCTGTCCCCCTCACCAAGAATTAATGTCCAGTATCAAACAGAACAAGGGCATGAAGCAAAGTTAGTACACTCCTGCCTTTTGAGAACCTTGCCTGGAAGTCACAAAAGCTCCTGATGCTACTTGAAAGAAGTCAGCAAGCAGGAACTGCTAGGAAGCCCGCTATTCCCCAGCCAGTGCTAAACCAGGCAGGGGTGCTCCAAAGATCACCTGCATCCTCTTTACAACTAGCACACTACAAACACAATCGGGCTGATCTTAAATCACTTGTTCCCACGCCTCCCCATGCCAACAGACAAAAAGCGGCTCAGGAATGAGCCAAAATCACTGTCGACCCATCACCAGCCATCAAGGCCAATGTGTCACGTGGGAGACTCCAGGGCTTAATCTTTTTATAAAATCTGCTCCTCTCTCCTCTCCCCACTCTCTCTCCCTAACTGAAACCCCAGCAACAGCGTGGCAGAGCACTGAAGGGAAGCCGTGACAGTCTCAGCTCTGTGGCGAAGTAAACAACCACCTTGGCGAGAGCGGCGGAAGCTCCCACATCGTCTGCTCCATCCACGCCGGCCCTGGGTATCTGGATGCCCACGGCCCCTCCATGACCGAGCTTGTCCTCTGGGTTACCCGCAGAGACCTTCCGGCGTTTGGAGGATAACTCTCCTGGAAATCCGGGCTGCCAACAGCCACCTTGATCTTCCTTTTTAGCTGCAGGCACAAAACAAAATGACATAAAAATAAACACTGTCTTTTACACACGTTCATTTTAAAAGGCAGTAAATTTGGAAAAATTTAGTATTTCAATGAAAGGAAAAATTTCTTATCCTTTTCTACTCAAAAATGGAAACCTAACAGAAAGGCAAAAGAAACTACTAGTAAAAGGTAATAGTAAGTTTATTTATTAAAATTATGGTTTCTCTGGCCTTAATGTATATAAAAATATATGAACATACATTTGCATTTCTGATGTGGTGTCTTACTCCTTTTAAACTTCCCACAAACCCTGTTATGTTGACTATTTTAAAGGATGTGGTTGTTTCTAACACTAGTCGACTCTGGCTGTGAATGACTTTTGTGAAAAGCACAGCTATACTGTGCTTTAGTCTTCAATAGCTAACAAAACGAAATTTAGTGTCTGCTGAATTACAACAATATAAATAAAATTACTTTTAAAACCCTGGTAAAAATTTAAATAATAGGTAAGTTATAAACTGCAAATACAAATTAGGATACCTACAAGGGTCCTGCAGTGTGGAGGTGGATAAAGCAGGTTCTGAAATGAAAAGGGTTTTAAGGAGTCAAAACAGAATCATTTGGAACGTGATGGCATATAAATGCAGGAACGCTCATCAATCACAGTAGGGCCAAGACTGTGTTGAGTTTGGGTTTCAAAGTGCTTTGTAACTTTAAAAAAAAAAAAAAATCAGCAATGACTAATAAAGTGAATTACAATGCAAGAGTTACAGTAAAGGATACAACAGGCTATTAAGATACTAAGTTGGATACATTTACAGTTAACATCAGTGTTGGTTATTTGGCATTTAGGTAAATGTTTCAGAAACTTATCAGTAATTCTATAAAAACCAACATCGGTAAACTCACATTTGCCATGTCTCTTATTTGAAAGCTGAAATGTTCTAATTAGCTCTGACATTTTAAACCTTAAAACTGAATTATAACCATGAGGAAATGGAAGGCCCAGGAATGCTGATATCAGGTTTTTCCGAATCCCGAAATCCAGATTTTTGTGCAAAATGTGCCAGCCCTTTAAATATTAGTCTCCATTGAAAGATACAGTCTCCACTGTGCCCTGAAAAGACTGCCTTTGTACTGTGGAACTCAATCTTTTTCCTATCTTAGAAGCTTGTCTTTCTGAACACACAAGTCAAGCTGACTGAATCCCTTCTACGCACCTGAGCCCGTCATCCCAGGCCTTTCTTCTGCTGCTGAGCTCTCTGGACAAGAAGCCATTTTCTCGTTTTCCTTGATGGAGTGAAAAGCTAACTGGAAAGCAGATATTCGCTCTCTTAATGAACCCACATTTCGATACACCCCAGGGCTGCCCTGTTAAAACACAAACACAGAGGACATCATAAATCAAACATAGTTTGTATATTCTAGGACTGAAATTGCTGAATCCTATGCTAAGTACAGAAAGTCTCTCTGAAAAATACAAGTAATAAATTAGTGTAGCCGAGCCTCTTCTCCCTAGATTACATGTTTCCTGTCTGAGTATTTAGTGTACCTTCGTTTCTCCTCTGCTCCTGCCGCAATTTCCAGCAAAACCCCAGCAAAGAGGAAAAACTGAGGGATACTGAGAGATGTCGAGCCTCACCTGGCTGATCAGAAATTTGTAAGCCCCTGGGTCATGCTAAGAGAAGCCTAAAACAGGGAGAAAATGCTTTAAAAGGAACCAGACACAAATACATCCCAGGTATCTGGCACAAAGAACTCTGGTTTCCAGGGAGCTTAAAGGGCTTTCTTTCTTTCATACCTTAGGCCTGAGACAGCCTCAAATCAAAGGGAAAATGCTCAGCATCTGTGAGAAGCCAGCTGCTAAGACTATAGGGAGGGCACAAAAATACACGGAATCCCAGCGATGGGCCAAGAAGAAGGGGCAGGAGGAGTCACATGTGGAAATTTCATAGACTGCTGAAAGCGTCACTGGGAGTCATCAGCATGGCACCTTTGTCACCCCAAGCCTCCGTGCCTGCTCCAGCCGACACTGGTCCCTCCCTCAGCCCTCGGCCACACCTGCTCTCTACCCAGGATGCCTCACATTACTTCCAGCTCTTTCCATCTCACTCTTCCTGATTTTATGGCACCGAGAGATACTTAGTTTCTTAAGGCTGACAGCCAGTAATTCACTTAAAATAAAAAGTTAGATGGGAAAAGCACAGGCACTTTCTAGAAATCCTGTTAACAGGTATGAGACAAAGATTCATAAAATTTTTATCAGCAGGGATAGAAGTGCCCAATAAAGACAAGTGATACAATGTTTAGCAGTTCTGTGCATATAAAAATAATCAGTTACTGATCAAGTTCTCACTCCAGATTTTATTAACTTGGACGACTTATTTCTACTAATAAGGACCTTGTGGCATTTTTAAAACTCATACTAATGGCCAAAATGTAAAGTTAAAAAATTACCTTCCTTTAAGATAACAGATGGAGAAAAAGCAGTTAGCAGTGTGAAGTCATGTTCGATGGATGATCTGTACATGTATTTGATTCGATTCCCAGTTAAATACACTCAAAAACCACAAAGTCTTTGTTACATAATTATAGACCATTTTATTTGATACACCCACTGATGTAACACTTTGTGACATCAGCCTCACCAGGACTCAAGGAAACCTGGGGTAACTCACGCAAATGAGCAGCAGAAAGGGGATCTCCAAGGCACACACAATACCCTGCGGGTGCTCTTGGGCACAGAGGCTATTTTGAAGATCAGAGGTGAGGAATTGAAGAGCCTCTTATCTTTCAGGCACTCAAAACTGAACATGGTTAGGGTTACTTTAATATCCCAGGAACTCAGCACACTTTGAAATGGTCCTTCAAACTGTAAGTTTCCCTAGTCATGACTGCTTTTTCATCATTTTCTGCTGCTAGAGGATGAAAACAACGTTCGCACACGAAATAAAACACTTAAAATGTAGAGTTTGGGGCAGGGGATTGAGCTCAGTGATGTAAGCGTCTGCTTGCCAAGTAATAGGTTATGAGTTCGATCTCCGGCACCAAAAAAATAAAATATGAAATGAAATAAAAAATAAAATAAAATGTAGAGCCTTCATGACGTCTCTGCATCATGAACTGTTGTCTGCCGGCCAGTTCTCCCTCTGTGGCCCAGAAACATGTGGGACTTGAGAACCAGGGGGAATTACATGCTAGAGTGATGATCTGGGACATACTAAGGTCGTTTCAGGTGGAAGAGAGGCTATGTACAGGCCAGACAAGGCACTGTGGAGGTACTTCTGTGCCTTGAGCTAGGCGCTGGACAGAACTGTCTAAAATAACAGCCCAGTTAAAAAGATAATGAGAAAACGCTTTAAGAGAAGGTGGCTTGGGAAGGCATTTTGGAAGAACTAGAACAGGGCAGAAGCCCTCAGTTGAAATGGGAAGGGAAGAAGGAAGGCCAGCAGGCTGCCGACAAAGGAGATGGGAGATAAGGCTAGAGGCAGGCAGAGTCAGACAAGCAGGGACTCAGAAGGCTTTGGGACAGGGCCTGGGTTCATCTCAAGGCATGACAGGAAGCCTGGGAGTTTTCTGCAGCACAGGCACTGACTGATTTATACTGTAAATACGTCTCTTTAAGTTGAATGGTAAGCAGATCAGGGAAAGAGAAAAGCAGTCGGTGACCCTAGTGGGACTCACACTGGAGTCACAGCAGAGCGGCTATGGGGATGTGAGCAATCAGGCTCTGGAGATGGAGCCAACAGGCGGTGACAGTTGGATGTGGGCTGTTGGGCGGGGCTCTGCTGGAGATTCTGATCAAACACCTGAGGAAGCTACCCAACAGGCAGCTGGACCCGAAGTCTGGAGCCCAATGATCTGCGAGCTGAAGACAGACATCTCAAGAGTTGTCAGATGATACTTGAAGCAAAGAGACGAGGGGTAAGGAGAGCCCTGGGTACACAGCATTTCTGAGAGGAAAACTGGAAAAGGTATAGGTACTAAATAAAACAGAAGAAAATCAGAGCAGCCTGGAATCCCCTAGCAAAGTGAGGCGAGTATCTGAAGGAGGCTAAACGTATCCAAAGCTGCTCTAAGGCTGAGCAAGGTCAAAATGAAGATTTACTCTTTTTTTTTTTTTGTCTTTTTCCTTTTTATCGGTACCGGGGATCGAACTCACGACTGCCTGCTTGCAAGGCAGGTGCTTATACCGCTGAGCTAAATCCCCAGCCCCGAAGATTTACTCTTTGGAGCTATCAAAGTATAGGCCATCTGTCATCAACAGTCTGTCAACACAGCAAGAGAACCAAAGGCCAACTAGGAGTGGCCGGCAGCATCGGGGAAGATGGGGTGGAGTGGGGAAGGGGTGACAGCAGACAGGTTGTTCCCAGAGCTCTGTTGTGATGCGACAGAGAAAGGGCACAGGGGCTGGGGGGCTGGGAAGTGACTCAAAGGGAAGGAGGTAAGATGACTGCAGAAGAAAATCCAGCCAGGAACAGCACACACGGTCATGGTAATGTGAATGTCCCAACACTGACGTGCCCATCTCCCGCCAAGCTGGAAAGGAAAGGGAAGCATGTGTAAAAGGCATCTGGAGGAGGGCTGACCCTTAACCACCACTGTAGGTCAACGGCTAATGCCTGACACAGAAGGGTGAGAAGCACCAGACGAACTACACTGACGTACGGAAGCAAATGCCAGCAAGATCAGGCTAGGAACACTGAAAGCCTTGGGAACTAGAAATGAGACAGAGCACTTACAAACTGCTTTTATAAAAATAAATCCCCCGTAATACCAACTCTTAAAACTATCTACAAGCATAACACTTTTATTTGTGCAAGATTTTAAAGCTTAGAAGGCCATTTTACATTGTGGGACCAGGGCACCTAAGCTGCACAAGCTGTAAAGGATGAGGTGAGGGGGGTGTGGACGGGAAGCCCAGTGAGAGGAGAGGCTGGAAGTGAGCCGCCAGGACGAATCACCATGGAGACAGACAGGACTGACACTGAGGGTCAAAGATGACACTGTCAAGTCACCACACAAGTGGGTGACTAAGGTAGACAAAGAGGTTTTTGGATTGATGAAAGTCAAAATTCTGAGTTTGCCAAGATGTTGGATAGTTCACCCCTGGCCTTGCTAGAGTACTCCAGAAAGAAATGGAGAGGACTGGAGGAATCACGGGAAGCCATCTCCTCCCACTTCCCCTCTGAAGCATTTTCTTTCTGCAATGGGGAAAACTGGAAAAATAAATAAGGATGGATTCTCTAAGCACAAAGGTCTCTTAGACTTCACAAGAAACCACAGTGTTCTAATAGTGTATTTACAGAACACCTCAGTGAGTTAGAATGCGTAACTATTAAAATCATTTTATTCAAGGACATGCAACACATGCATTGCACAAGAAAGAACACAAGATGAAAAGATTAAGCGACAGAGTTTTCAGTGGTATTCGTAAGAGGCACAGGTCAGGGCTTGGGATTTAGCTCAGTGGTATAAGTGCCTGCCTGGCAAGGGTAAGATTGTGAGTTCAACCCCAGTACAAAAAAAAAAAAAAACACAAGTCAAAAGGTCCAAGAATAAGACCAACTTACTCAGAAAAACTATAAGTTAAAAACATATTCCTAGGGCTTGGGTGTTTAGCTCAGCGGCATAAGCGCCTGCCTTGCAAGCAGGCAGTCGTGAGTTTGATCCCTAGTACTGATAAAAAAGAAAAACACACACACAAAAAAAAACACAAACATATTCCTAGGCTGGGCATGGTGGCACACACTTACACACTTGTAATACCAGCACTTGGGAGGCTGAGTCAGGAGGATGGCTCCAAGTTCATGGCTGGCCTGTGCTACAAAGTGAGTTCAAGGACTGTATAACAAGACCTTGTCTCAAAAATACACAAAGACAAAAATTCCTCTAATACTAAAAATAGTATTCTCCAAATGTAAGAAATATGAAGCATAATGTAGAAAGTCATAGTAAAATTATTAAAATTTAAAAAACTACAGGTCTGAAAAATTATGTTCACTTATCTAAAAAATGCATTTATCAAAACAGACTTTGTCCTGGGAGTGGCCGACTGTACAGTGAAATCTGTGTGAAGCCCTGGTTTCAATCTCCAGCCCTCCAAAAATAATGGCAGCAAAACCACAAAACAACCCTCCCCAAACAAAACTATTTTTTTAACCAATACCATACGCCAAACCACACATTCTATTAAGCCTTTTCACAAGCACAGTCAGATCGCAGTGAGGGGGGAGGTGGCTGCAGGTATTAGTACCTGCATCCGTACATCTGTAAGAAAAAAACAAAAGAGCCATTGCAGACCAATGATTGACTCAGATCAGACGAGGCTGGAAGCCGAGAGACCTGCTGCAGAGCCTGGAGCTTTGGGAGCTTCTCAAACAGGGGTCAAGGGCAGGCTAAAACAGGAGGGAGGTTCAAACTGCGGAAGAAGCCTCTAAACCCACGGTTCTGTTCACCAACAAGAAACAGCCATGAGAGAGGTGACAGAGGTGACACAGGGCTCTGGGACTCCAGGCCTCTGGGAGCAGCTGGGGACAGGGCTCAGCCCGGAGTGAGACAGTGCCGGTCTCCCAGCGAGCCCAGGATCTTCCAGTCAGATACCCACATTCAGCTGTCACAGCTCTACCAGGAGATCGCTCAGGAAAGTAGATCAGCCAGAGAAAAAGATGCACAGACCCTGACCTTGGGGGTTCACCCAGTGAAAAAGTGGCCCTGCTGTCCTACCCTGAACTCTATCAGTCAGCAAGTTCCACCTGTGACACTGAGTCCCCAGGCAGTGCTCACGGGGACCTGCTCTCAAGGACCCAGAGAAACTCTGAGAAAGCTCTGACTGTGAGATGTGGTCTGAAGTTGAGGGCACCTGAAACAGAAGAGATCCTACAAGATGAGAAAATCTCCAAACAATCCACAACAAAAAACGTATTTGTCATCAAACAGCAGGCACCATGAAGAATCAGCCACCAAAATATGTGTTGAATGAATGAATCACCAGGACTCTTCCATACTCTTTTAAGTTAAAATACAACGGAGCAACACCTTCAACATCTTGATGGAAAATATTTCAGATTTTTATACCAAGATAAGCAATAACTGAAATGTGCCAGTGGAATACATTTCATCAAAAATGCAGTGGCTCCAAAGAAGTCTAAGGCAGTAAATTATGAAAGAAAGAGGATCAAAGGAGGAAATCTGAATGGGAGGAATAGGGAATCACCAAAGATGAGGAGGGAGGTCACAGAATGACACCTGTCCGGCAAGCTACATGACAACTAAACTAGACCAATGGAAGGACAGAGGACTGAGGAGGGAAGAGGGAGCAAACACCAAAAACCTGATAGCTTTTCTTTTTTTGAGCCAGTCTTGATACATAGCTCAGGCTGCCCGGAGCTTGAGATCCTCCTATGTCAGGATCCTGGGTGCTGAATTATAGATGTGAGCCATTCTGCCCAGCAACAGTGGATCTCTTAAAGTTGATCATTCTATCAAATACAGAGATGAGATTTATGATAAAGACTAAACTAAAAAGAGAAAAAAAAGAGGCATTCCTAATTAGCAGAAAAATAAGTTGTACAAGAAAGCAAAGACAACTATAGCGTACTACAGAGAAGTTTGTGAAAAACATCTACATCGTTATATAATGCATTCTAATCTCCAGTTTAAACACAATTATAACAGATTGTATTGAAAGGATGGAGAGGAAGGAAGCACTGGAACAGGTATGGGCAGCACAGCAGGGCAAGCAAAATCGCCACTTTTCACAGTCAGCACACACTACGCATGTTCAGGAACTGCTACAAGCACATCTGTCTATTATTCATCCTTTTATCATTCCTGTTTCAGACATAAGCAAACAGACTGAGAGCGTACCTAATTTGCCAAAGGTGTCAACTAATTAGTGACAAAGCCAAGAATCAAGTCTAAGCAATACAGCTCCAGCTTCCAAATTCCTATCTGCTACAACAGCGGATCTCAAGTTTTACTACTTCTTAAAAACTGAGGACTCTACAGAATGCATACAACCAGTTACATCTGCCAGAAATATTTCTAAAGCCTTTGCAGAATTTTGGCTATTTTTTAATTTATAGAGCAAAGCTCAACAAAGATCTCTTACCGGTTAACAGCAACACCACATATGAAATCTATCAAAGAATGCATCCTATTGTTAGGTTAAAATTCATCAGTCTAGCTTGCAACGTGAGGTTATCTTTTTACTCAAACAAGACTTTGTAACAGCACACACTGATCACTTTGGAAAATACTGGTTCACCGTTAAGCAGATCTTCCAAAGGCTGGCACATTCAAAATAATGCTTTCACCAATCTTTCCACTGATCAGACAGACAGTTAATCAGGAAGTCATCAAGCCCACAGGGGTAGATATATGTTTTCTAAAATCCAGATTTCCTCTTGAAAATGCCAGTGTTCCCCGGTAAGAACTGTTTCTGTTTTTGTGGTGGATTTGCTGTTCCCACACAAGAAATGGTCAGCTGCACTTCCAAATCTAACCATGGTTTGTCAATCAGTTGTTCTTTCAACTAAAGCAACATTTCACAGGGGTGAGACAGGGTGGCTAATACAGCCCACAACTCAATCACATACATAGTAACTCCAGAAGCATCCAGAATATTTTTACACACCAAAGTGCTTGATGTGAACGTCCCATTTCATCATATAATACACAGGTATTGTTTAGGAAAAGTTTTAGTGATTCAAGGACATTTCGTGAAACTGGTATTTCCTTTGTAAGTGTGATGCCACTCCTTTGGCTCAAAACTTTATTCACCATTGCGTCACAAATGCAAACATTAACAGAGTGGGGGAAAAAATTACATCTTAGTACAATCACAAAAATAGTTGTGACTCCAGGGGCTGCTTAAATTAAGGGACCCCCGATGTCCACTTTGGTACCATTGTCTTATGTATCTATTATTCCTAGAACTGAAAAATGAAGTGGCAATGTAAGTTATTTTAAAATACGAAAGCCAATACCAAAAATTGTTGTCCTTTAAGAAGTAACCTGGACATATATGTCTTTCATCATAAGCCTTATGCTACTACTTTACTTTTTCATATTATTTTCATAAAAACTTGAAAAAAACCAGCTAACTGCATCCATATTAGAGGCCAAGTTTCTAGTCCTTATCACAAGGTTGTCCCAAATACACTGCCCTGGGGGACCTTTGCCCCTACAAAAAATGCTGTCATAAAAATACGAAAATCCGATGCTCCTAAAGAAGACGATTGGAAACCAGCACCTCAGCTCATTTAGAAAAGTAGGTATGAACTGGAAAGTTTGCAAAATGAAAGAGAAATCTCTAGAAATCCATTTCTACCCAAGGCCACCACTGCCTCTCTTAGCCATACTGGACACCAGTACCAATGTTAGCTGCACATTCTCTGGAAGACACAGAATACACTCACTCTCCAGACCCCAAGCAGAAGAGATGTACCGGAATCCCTATTCAGCACCCTTGCACAGAAACTTCAGAACAGGACAGAACATTTCCCCACAATTCCTTACTCATAAGGAAACCATACCTGCAAAGGGGAGCCTGGGACCAAAGGAGATTTCTCAGCACTCTTTAAAGCCCGTTGCTGAGCCATGAAACGAATCAGGTGGTTTGTTTCAGGAGAGCCCCGTGCACCGACTGCAGAACGTCGTCTGGCCTTTTTCAGGTAGGATGATGACTTCCCTGTAATGAAACTCTCTTATGAATTGGAAGGAAATAAATCAGTCACCAGTAATCACAACTAATGCCTGTGACCAGCCAGCCTGAGAGAAAACTTGCCGAACACACACTACAGAACACTAAGTAGAGAATTACTGGCAAAGTTATTACCATGTGATCAGTTGGGTAGGGATCTTTGTTTATCCTGATTTAGTCGGTGTTCTTACAACGGTGCCTGGCTTACAACGGTGCCTGGCACACACAAAACATTCATTTAAAAGGTTACTGAATGAATTCACAAACAATTTAATCACTGGTCTTTGTTTTTGTTCCATTTTTCCTACAGAGGTGAGTAATGGCTTGCTCTTGACTAATTTCTCTTTTGTGAATATGTCATCCACAAGGACAGAAAGAGCTCCATGCAGGCCCCTACACAACAGTCCTCCCTTATACATGGTATCACTTTCCTTGCTTCCTGCAGTCACCCACCCTGTGAAAATATTAAATGCAAACTTTCAGAAATGTTTCAAAAGTTTAAAACGATGGCTATTTCAACTAACATGATAAAATCATGTGCCATTTAGCTTCACCCCACCCAGGATACATCCCTTGACTAATGTATCCATACTGTGTATGTTACCAACCCATTAGTACCCAGCAGTACTTGATTTAACATGTTTTACTTAATAATGGATCCAAGCTCTTAAGTAGTGATGCTGGCAATTCACATATGCTTTAAGTGAAAAGGTAAAAATATAGTAAGATATTTACAAAGACATAACACATTCACATAATTTATAGTGTATTGTTGTAATTACCTAACCTATGATGCTAATCTCTTATGCCTAATTTATAAATGAAAACTCTGTCACTGATACGCATGGATAGGAAATAACAATATGTAGGACTAAGTATTATCCTTGGTTCCAGAAATATACTTGGGGTCTTGGAACCCCAGTGGATAGGAGGTAGAGAAGGCAATGTACTCTGTTATTCTTAATTATTTAAGATACCAATTCCTCTGAGATACCCACGTGCTTTCAGTATACTACTATGAATTTTGCCCATATGCCTAAACAATAAATTCAGCTTTTTATAAATCTAACAGTGATGTTTACAATGCTGTTCTTTAATCCATTTGCATTTTTACATATCTTCATTTAAGTCAGATTTCACAGGTGAATTTTAAAACTATTGCTTAGTGTTTAGCCTAAGTTTCTGTTTCTTACTTCTGAAGGAGGTACACCCAATCTGTCCATGTTATAAACTACTCTCCAACTTCCTCTTATTTTTGCCATATATGAACACAAAATATAGAGCTATTTATATTATACACCTTCTTGAATCCTGTGTGTTAAGTCAAAGAATGATTCACACACACTGTTTTTCCAGGATGGGCAAAGAGCACAACTGACTTAAGTACAGTTTCACACTGGGTCTCACAGGCCCTCTTGTTCCTGTTGTGCATGGTAAAGAAGCTATGTGTATGCCCAGAAAGCTCCTAAGCTGGTAAGTTTGCAGTTAATCAATTTAGATATGGACAGTAATAACAGAGACAGCACAGAGTAAAACTGTGAATTACATTAAAGTTTTCTTTAAGCCTGAAAAGCAGTGCTATAATAGAATGACCGCTTCCCTTACCTGAAGAGTTCTTAACGAAACTTTCAGGTGTAATTCCCAACTGCTCTACGGTTACTGTGGAAAAGTTCAAAGGCGATTTAAAAGTTTGTGGTGTGCAAAGATTAGGGGTCCCTTCTGCTGTATGCTTCTGAGGAGTCGCAAGCGTCCCAGTTCCCAAAACAAGAGAGGGGTTTTCTGAAAGAAAAGACACGTTGCAGGAGGGGCTAAGCATCAATACCAAGACGGATACATGAATCCCAGCTTCCATAATGAGGAAACAAACCCCCACATACCGGCATTCTGAACAGCAGACGCCTTAGTTTCAGGGGGTCCGCTGTCTTGGGAACTTGTATCCATCTAAAAGACACAGAAGAAGAAAACGGAACAACCCTCTCACCAGCACTAATGCGACTGGACACACACACAAAATCCCACTCAAAACCCAAACTCACACAACCAACCCACAGGGCATGGAACACGCGCAGACAGGATACTCCGGAGCTCAAAGTAACAAGAGACTGGAGGAAGCTTCTGCGAAGAACAAGACAAGGCCGAGCCCAGGGTCACGCTAACGCTCTCCGATGATCTTCCTGGCCGTCTCCAGCAGCGGGGTGCTCGCTCTCGGAAGCAGCTGTGCGAGCTCCAGACCCTCCCTGGGCAGGTCCTAAGGGTCCCAGAAACCTGCATCTAAGACGCACCTGGCGGCCCAGGGCAGGACGTGATGCCCGGTGACTCCCACCCCTACTTCAGCCCCAGCACCAACCCCTCCGCCGGCCTACCTCTCACGCCCACCTCGGTGGCCCTCGGCGCCTGGGTTTGTTGTGAAAGCTGCACCCAGATCAGGCCCGGCGTGGGGGCCTTAGGGCTGACTGGGCACGAACCTGCAGAGCTGGCCGCCGCCGCCTGCCGGCCCCGGAGTCCCACACTCGCCCCGCGCCGATTCAAACCGTGGCCCCGCCCCCACGTGGAGTAGCCACGAATCGCTCCGCCGCTGACCCGGGCGTGTCTGCTCGCACCCTGAAATCCCGCAGACCTCTCCCTCGCTGCCTCAGGCAATGCAACAGCCTCCTCCTGGGCTACGAGGGAAGCTGCCGCTAGTTGCAGGCGGCCCAGCGAGCACAGCGACCCGCGATAACGGAACTACTTTCTGTGACAGCCCAGGCTGTCTATCCCTACGGTTAGCCTTTTAGTTCCGCCTCCCACCTTTTGATTGGGTCCTGCAAACTTCGAAAAGAATCATTGAACCAATCCTGACGGAACGATGGCCTGGCTTTTTACCCAATCAGCCAATCCCGATGGTAGCCGTTTCCTCGGTGGGTTGGGAGAGTGGGAGGGATTAAAGAAGAGGGTGGTGAGAGAGTGGGAGGAATTAAAGAAGAGGGTGGTGCTGAGTGGTGCGTGTGTCGTTCTTTTAGCGCTCCACCTCCTCCTTCAAATCCCGCCTCCGTATGCAGATGAGTTTTCCTAGAATTGAGTGTGCGCCTGCTCAGTAACGCTTAGAGCCGCGGTCTGGCAGTCGCTGCTGTACTGATTGGCTGATACTCCTTTCCGTCTTACTAGCCTTCAGCCTCTCTTCCCTCCCTTCATTCTGACAGGAGTTAGTCTGAGCCCACCCAACGCGGGGCTCTGATTGGCTAATTTTGGTCAGCTCCGCCGGCTGATTGGCGAATCGCAGTGTCAGTTTCGAGGAGGTGGGGGAAGGGCCCCCGGGCCGGTTGAGGCGCCGAGGGGCGGGGTGGGAGGAGGACCGGCCAACCCCGGGGTGTGGGACTGAGTGCGTGCGTGGTGTGTCCCTTAGAGAAGGAAGGTGGCGAAGGGAGGAGAGCCTGAGTGGGTGGAGGGAGGGGAAGGGCGGGAGGAGAAAAAGGTGGGAGGAGGGCCAGGTGGGAGGGTGGCGGCTCACTCGGGACCCCACGGGGGCAGCGCGATGAGGCGGGTGACCCTGTTCCTGAATGGCAGCCCCAAGAACGGCAAGGTAAGGCCGGGGTCGGGCGGTGGGGCGCGGCTCCCGTGGGGCCCGGACGAGTGCTGACTATCCCGGGGAGGGGGCAGGCGCTCCCCGCGGCCTCCCGACCCCCGTTCCTAGCCCGGGCCGCCGCGACCCCTCAGTGCGTGGGTCCCGATTGCGGGTGCGTGTCCGGGGCGCCGGGGTCCCTTTCCTGCCGCCTTCTAGGACCCCATGCCCCTCTCCTGACCGGGGAAGGCGTTCGCGTGCCCCGCGGTGCTGAGTAATGGTCAGCCCTGGCGAGCGGCGGTGCTGACCAAGGCCAGGTGCGAGAGCGATCGCCCGGGGAGAAAGAAGGAAACTGCCGTCCCGGAGCCTGCAAAGCCCAGATGCACAGCGGGCTCGGAAGCGGGGACTTTGCTCAATGGCTCTCCTCTCTCTCTGCAAGATGCCTCAGTCCCCCGGGTCCCGCCACCTTGCAAAAACTTCGGTACACATTGTATCATTTCGCCTTATTCTGGTTCCTTAGAGCACGGTGACACCCGGCCCACCTGAGTTGATTTGACAGTGACCCTGGCTGTGTTAGGCCTTTGTTGAGGGCGTGGTGCTGCATACTTGCCCAGCGCTGGAGCCAGCCAAAAGGAATCCTGTTCCTTCTCAGCCTCTTTGCCCCACCCATGAAAGTTGCTCAGCTTCTTTGGAAAATTTTGCCTGTCGCAGGCTGACATTTCCAGTGCCGCTAAATGATACGCAGAAGTAGCTCAGCCTTCCGCAGTCAGAGGTAAAAGTTAAATCGGCCTCACTGTGTTCCTTGCCGTGCACCTTTTGGAAATTTACATTTTTAAATAGAAAACTGGCTCAGGGGCATAGAAAGTGCCTTTCCAAGTGCTCTGCAATTGGAAGTCAACATACCCTGAAAACTCTGAACGACAGTGAGATTTGTTGACTGTAATTTTGTGTTGTGATTTTAGACATTGAATACTCAATGTAGAAACTTTGTTGGCACAAATTCAGTGTGCTTCATAAAGTTTGCGTTTTTCTAGTGCTTAGCTTTTTTTCTAAACCTGTTTTGTAGTTAGCTTGTATTCATAACCTAAAATTTATGTTGCTGGAAGAAAGATTTAATACGTCCAGAGTTTTTTAAAAAAAACAGTCTTCTAATTGACCTTATCTAACATCTCAGCTATGTGACTGCAAGAAAGAAAATGTTCAGACCTAGTCATAAATATTTAGCAATGCTCTAAATCACTAAATGTACTAAAATTTTTTTAGCTAACTAAATCCACTAAATTTTATTGTCAAAGATGGGCTGAGTTTGTCTTTTCATATCATTTTTAATGTCTTTTTAGAAAGCTATCCTAGACCTCCCATTTGCAAGAGATCCCGTTTTTCCCTTCTATCTGTCCTTTAGTGTGCTCTTTGTACTTTGCCTTACTCATGAGAGATGCTATTTAGTATTTTAAGCCTGTCTTATTTATTTCACTCACCATTATATTTTCCAGGTGCATTCATTTTCCTACACATGTATCCAGTTTGCCCTTCTTTACAGCCAAGTAGTATTCCGTTTGTATAGACAGCATATTTTCTTTGAACTTGTTTGTCCATGGGTACACAAACCAAGGGTGAGGGAGATGGGAGGGGAAAGGGAAGTAAGTAAAGATATGCCATACACAGGTACCTCAATGAATGTAAATATTATACTGGTATGTCATAGCCATGAGCTAAGATTAATAATATCAACAAGAGTGAAAATGGGATTTAGAGGAGGAGGGAGTAAGGGAGTTAAGGGAGAGAGGATTAAAAAAAGAAACAAGCCATATCATGTACATGCACCTACTCCTCGAAATGATTGTATACTTCCTGTACTGCAAACAGGGAATAGCAAAAAATTGAAAAGTAAGTAATAAACTAGCCTAGTTTCCAAATAAGATAGATTTGTAGGCTGAAATTTATTTTAAAAATATTTTGCTAGAGAATCTCAGAAGATCAGGAAAAATGCATCTTAAGTAGTTTTTATGTTACAAAGATCATAGAATCCAAACAGGTGATACTAGTTGTCAGTGTTTCTTCTCACTTCAACTGATCAAAAAACATTATAAGGAGTCTTAGTTGACAAAAGAGCAAAATAACCCATATGGCCTTTTATGTTTGTGTGTATATATGTATGTGCATATGTATATATCTGTATATATGTATATGTATATATATATATATATACATATATAATGACTATGTAAACAGGATTGATGTACTCCTGATTTGAACACAATCAGGATACTGACACGAATATTCATTGTGAACCTTCAGTACTATGAACTGCTGTTTTCAAATAGTTTGATTTCCCATCTGCCAGTTGAAATATCTGTGTCATATTATCTCTTTACTTACCCAGTTTCTATTTTATTTCCTGGATTGGAGTTTAGGAAGAAACACACCTATTGTTTATATTATTTTACTTAAAAATATAAAATAATATGAGTCCTTGGGTTTTTTTTTAATCTGGGAAAGCCCAGTTGTGGAATATTTAGAAAGACTGATGTAGCCAGCACCTTCTTATTTTCACTGAGGCATGATGTGATACAAAACTTACAGGATGCTAAGATTTCTGTCATGTAATATGACTGACCCTGGTTAAAATGCCACGCGACTTTAAAGATTTCTTCAAAGACACAACAGATTGAAGACAGTGTTAATCATGTAAGCACAAATAAACTGAGAAAATGGCAAAGCTGCTGCTTTTAGCCCAAACTATGAGATTTTTAAAATAAAAAAATCTCTTTGGAGCATATAAGTCAAAAAGTGCCAAGTTTTAAAGAAGAGCGAAGTTCTGTTTAGTGATTGCTATTAACAATCGACCTTTGTCTTAGTGTATATTGTACTTTTAAATATTAGCCAGTGATAGGATGAGGTCATTCTAATTAGTAAGACATTTAAAATTGAGGCTGGAGATTTAGCTCATCGGCATAAGCGCCTGCCTTGCAAGCAGGCAGTCGTGAGTTCGATCCCCGGTACCGATAAAAAAGGAAAAAGACAAAAAAAAAAAGACATTTAAAATTATTTTCCAGCAAATGAAGACAAATGACCTCAAGGTCCTTTTCTTTCTTTTTAAATTTTTAATATTTAAAGTCAGTTTTCTATTTAGCAGCATCTTAATAAACTTGCTGCTAAATATTTCAAGGATTCTTAGTGGCCAATTCATAGTCTAAGTATACAAATCCTTGTATCATGTAAGAAAACAAGTTCTTTCTGACCATTGTTCGCTGGGGATTTAGCTCAGCGGCATAAGTGCCTGCTTTGCAAGTGCATGGTCGTGAGTTTGATCCCTGGTACAATTAAAAAAAAAAAAAAGAAAGTCAATCCCTGACCATATTACAGAGTTTATAAATAAATATACAAAGGCTGGAGCATAAACCCCAAAATGTTTGACCAGTGGTTCAGAGTCAAAATATTTGAAGGCCATCATTCTTCAAATCTGGGATGCTTGTTTTGAGGTTTTTGTTGTTTTAAAGCACCATAAAAGAGTTGGTTATGCTTGTGCTTTTCATTCCTTCTCCATATGCCTCATAATTCCTGTTTTCTCTTTCAAGATCCTGTAACAATTGGCTTTTAGGAAGCAGAAATGGAGATTCTGACATCTAAATGTAGCGCGTAGCTTCTGAGCAACCTCATGTCAGTGCAAACAAAGTTCCTGTACATCTTGCACACAATGCCATTTATTTGTTTTCCTTCAAAATATTCAGTAATGAACTATGTAAATCATAGACCTTTTGTATTCATTCAGCTAACCTCTAGCACCTTGTGTGTGTGAGCCACCAGACCAAACACTGTAGACCAGGAAGCAGATTTTCATTCTGCGCTGGTGTTTAAAGCACTTTAACATACGTAAAAATTAAACGGAAAATAATATAACACATATCTCTAAACCTTCCACACAACCCAAGAACTAGTTTATTACCAATATCTTAATGTGTTCATTCACTTTTAACCCCTACATTTCTTCTAAGGAAGTATTTTGATGAATTTTATATTTCTCTTTGCTTTTTTTTTCTTGTTTAATCATTAGTTTTACCACACATATGTACATACCTAAAATACATTTTTTGTTAACCTGTAGACATACTGCATCTTAAGTATATACCATATGTAGTCTTTTGGAAGTTGTTTTGTCATTCAATATAATATTTCTAACACTCCATCTATCATGCTTTACATAGTAATAATTTTCAGTGCCCTGTTAAAGTCCACAATATAAAAGCGCTACCACAATTTAACTGTTCTGTCAATGGGCATGTAGTCATTTGTCTTTATATCTCACCACTAACAGGGCTGCCTTGAATATTCTTGTGCATGTACCTTGCTGCACATGGGCAGGCATTCTCTAGGGCAGTAGTTCTTGCCTCAGAGGCACTAGGGAGACTTGAGAAAGCACGCTGTTGGCCTTCAGCTCCACAACACCTGGCTGGGATTAGGAATGGCGTCTCTTATCAATTCCAGATGATTGTAACTTCCCAGGTATCCAGACCACACCTTCAAGAACCATTGCTGTTTGGGTTGTGTGTAGAATGGTAATTATATATAGTATATGGGATACATATACAGAGTGTGCCAAAAAAATGTAAGGTATATAGATAGTTGGAATTGTGTGTCATGTGTATTTAATTGTATACATGTATGTGCTTATACACATGTGTAGATATATGTACTTGTGTGTATATATGTAATTGTAATTATTAGGTATTAGGATATGGAAATGTTTTGTGTTACAAAATAATGCCAGATTGGTTGTCAAAATTGTGGTCATTTATACTCATGTAAGTAATATTAATGAACCTTCCCATTGACCTACATCCACTCTAGCACTTAGTATTGTCCAACTTTTCCATTTTTAATATTTTCCTTCTTAGAATTAGTTGTCATCTTTTTTAGAAATAAAATCATTTAAATACTTAAACTGTAATCCACTGAGAGTGTAAGAGTTACATGGGTTCTACACTTTAGTTATGAATTGTGATTGTTGCTTTGCATATATCATTGTTCATAAATTCACTAAGTATTGACTGCATTATATAATGTGAGTATATAAGAAAAAATGTTTTCAACATGTGTGCACATTGTAAATTTTAGACTTAAATAGCTTAAGTTACATTTTAAAAATGATGTTTAAAGATAAATTAAAAGTAGCCAGTCTTACTAGGCAGGGTAAACCACGTATTTTCCAAACTTGTAGTCTGCTTGCATTTGTCATGGGATTTGACCTTTAGAAAGGATTTAGTTTGAATAGTAGTATAATATAGTCATTGTAAAGTTCAAAATATATGAGCTTCTTGATTTACTCCATAAAATGCTTCCATTCCTAGTGCCTCATTATAAAGTAGGTAATCAGAGTTGACAGGAAAGCTGCAGGTGCACACTGGGACTTTAACACTCTGAGCAAGTAACTTTCATAGCCCTGATTATTTTATAAATGCTTGGCCTCTCTGGATCAATGAGGATACCAAAAAACAGTAATCTGAAATTTGAATTTTGGACCATTTTGGATTTCAAATTTTCAGATTAGAGATGATCAGCCCTAAGGCTTTGCAAATACTCCAAAATTTTAAAATATTTGAAATAACTTCTGATCCCAAGCATTTGGACTAAAGGATAATCAGTCTGCTTATACCGATAAGCACTTTGCTAAGCTTTGAAGCATTAACTCACTTTGTCCTCCAATTAACCTCTTAAAGTAAGTTTTACTGTTTTCTTCATTACTAATTAAAACAACACAAGGATCAAGAGTTCTCCCAAGTTGACAGCTCGAAAATGTCAGAACCTCCATTCAAACACAGGTCTATATTATTTTGCAATGAGAACTCCCATATTTTAAGATTGTAGTTTGGTTTTGGTCAGCAGCAATTTCTTTTCTAATTTTGGATTTCTTCAATGTGAAGTAAACATAGGAGTCATAAAAGAAAAAGGGACACAATTAAGAACCCTTGAAAGTTCTGTTCTGTTAATCAGACTTTTCAGTCCTGTTTTCATCATATGATTGTTTAAAATTTATAGGTAATGAAACTTATTGTATAAGTTGTTCAAATTAATCTGGTGTGTTTACAGGTGGTTGCTGTATATGGAACTTTATCTGATTTACTTTCTGTGGCCAGCAGTAAACTCGGTATAAAAGCCACCAGTGTGTATAATGGGAAAGGTGGACTGATTGATGATATTGCTTTGATCAGGTAACCTTCATCTTCTTATAAGCTGTCAACAGTGTGCCCTCACTTCTTGGTTGTTTTCCTTAGGCAGTAGTTTCGTCACTGTTAAAAGGATAGGGTTTTGGCAGGTGATTAGTTATAATTAGCTCTTTTGAATTTATATGATTTGGACTTGAGATATATTGCTTGGATAGAGAACCCTTACTATATTTCATATATTGATACTTTTTCTGCATGTAATCTAGTAAGATACACAGTTTTTAATATTAAAAAATAACTGACCTCTTTTATATGTACCTGCTCGTTTTTAACTTCATTTCCTCAGAATGTTCTGGTTTTATAAACATCACAGAGACCTTAGTTCAGAAAACTTGTTAAATACAATAGGACCCTAAGAGAGAGACTATCAGAGATCTACCACAGTAGCACATTTTGGGGTTTATGTTTTTTTTAAATATCCTAAGTTCACCTCACTCCTTTCTCAAAGAGTCAGAGAATTTTGGAGCACAAAGCAATTTAATGACAGCAAAATGGTAGAGAGAACACAAAATTAAGTGCTGACTGTTCAGCTGTAATTGCCTTGCCTGAGTTACCTCATTTGGCTGGCAAAGTGTGAGTTTTTTTTAATTGGTAGTGTGAAGATAATGATGCCCTAAATTATAGTTGTATATAAAATGTAATCTCTGTTTAAATCCAGGTCAAAATAATCTTTCATTCTAATGTACTGCTATCAGACTTAATCCCTTCTACTGCCTTCCTTTAACCAACAGGAAACTAAGCATCTAAGAACTCAAGTGACTTACCTATGTCGCAGAGTTCAGTAGTTGATTTTTCTTAATGAAAACAAACTTTCACCCTACTCTAAAATAAAGTCAACAAACTGGCATCATGTGCCAGCAGGAGTTATAAACTGCATTTTAAATCCAAATAGGAGAATATTAGTTTTTCAGTTTCTGACTTAACTTATCTTTCAGTTTCTTTGAATAATTAACCTTAAATGATCTACGTCAAACTAATTTCAAACACCAATTCTGCTTTTAAGAAAAACTCAGTGTGTTCCTGTGGTGTCCTACAGGAAACAGCACAGAAAGACATAAGTAAAGGCTGCAGAGCTACAGATGATGAACCTGTCTGCTGGTTTCTTGTTCCCCATGGTCTCTGATCATTCGATTATGCTAATCATGGGGTAAAGTGGGCTTGGGAGGCGGATGTACACTGATTACCCACAACTGTACATTATATGTAGTATTTACTTCTGGCCGTCAGGTGGGAACGTAGTGAATATGGATAGTGGAGTAGTACAAATGGTGTTTTTCCTGTGTTTAATCTGAAAATTTATTTTCATTTCCAGTGCTTACAGCAGCTAATGATTTAGGAGAAAACTCCAGTAATTTATCTATGGATGAAGAATTAAAGTTTAAGATAACGAAGTTGGTGATAGCGTTAGGCATATTTTGAACAAAATAATACATTTGTCAGTTAATAAGAAACCAGGCTGCACGATGGTGCACACCTATAATCCAGCACTGGAGGGTGAGGCAGGCAGATCGAGGCCGGCTTGAGGGCAGCCTTGGCTACGTAGTGAGTCAGAGGCCTGCCTGGACTGCATAACAAGATCCTATCTCTGAAAGTAAGAAAAAGAAAACCATAAACACATTCACATAACTTGCATAGCGTATTTTTTCCATTTCAAAACATTTTTATGCACAGGACCTGTGCACTTTTATGTCTACAGGTGTTTGAATTTAAAGCCAGAAACATTAAGGAAGGGTTAAACAGAGCACTGCAAATCGAATTTCTTTGTACATAGGTTGATGGCAAAATCTATCTTCTGCGTAATTCTAAGGAGTAGCTCCTGTAGTCAACAGATAATTAATGTGATTTCTAGGTTTTGATGGTGGCTTTTTTGAATTTTGATTTCCCCAGGGATGATGATGTTTTGTTTGTGTGTGAAGGAGAGCCATTTATTGGTAAGTGTCTCTTAAAAGCAAATTTTGTTTACCAAAATAAAAACATAAGTGTAAATACTTTACATGGAGTTACAAAGCTTGACATGGAAAGGATCTCATGACTGTACCCAGGCCTTCATACTTCTTGGATCTGACTTGGGTGTGTATGTTTAAGTACATTTTCAGATTGAATTATATGATGGTGTATTAATACGAATCCCTCCTCTTTACAAGCCTTGAAGATGTTCTTGATTTGTACACCTTTACTAGGGATGACATGATTGGGTGATTTTGATTTTAAAAACTGTACTCATTCTAATTTTTCTTTTTAAACAAATGCAAATACACATGCATCTTGCCTTTAGATTGGGAAGAAAGTGTGTACCATTAAGAAGGCCTCAAAAGACACTTAAAACCACAAGCAAAATCTTCCTCGTTGTCTTACCTGTTGGCCTAAGAGTAACTTGGCACACAGTAGTTGCTTAGGTAATTCATTTCATCCAAACAGTGATTTTTAAACAGTGAAGTCAGGATGAGATATATGGTAGCCTGGTAGTAGAGTGTGGTTAGCATGCATGAGGTCCCCAGCACCAAAAATAAAATAGAATCATTAGAATTTATTTTGTGTGTTGCTATAAACTCTGAGATTTAGACATACTTGGTGTGTTTCCAGAGTATATGTTCACTGATGCTCAGATGGTCTCACATGGCCAGTGGAAATCTTCAAATCCTTCTAACAAAACTCCATTTGTCTTTTATAGTTTCTTACCTTCTGGAATATCAAGGTGTTCATCTTACCTCTCTTGTCACAGACCTGGATCAACATTTTTTCAAGTTCATAATCGTGATTTCAAGATACAGTCTGATCACTAGGGCAGCTTTTGGCCGTGGGGTTCGTAACTGCTATTAGGCCTTTTCCATGGCCAGAGTGGGAATTATATATGTAGCTAGAGATAAAATGTACATGTAAAATGTTACATAGTATAGGCTATAGTTAATTTCATATATAACAAAATATAAATAGATAAAATATCTATGGATTCATAATACCCCAGTTTATGTTCAGGATTGTAAATAGTTATAGTTCAAGATTCTTTTTTTTTTTTTTTTTGGTACCAGGGATCGAACTCACGACCATGCGCTTGGAAGGCAGGCACTTACGCCGCTGAGCTAAATCCCCAGCCCCTAGTTCAAGATTCTTTTATTTAACTTCTCTCATATCTGTGTATCCTTTCTTCTGTATCAATAATCCTGATTTTTAGCAATATTGATAGAATTATGTCTCATTATTTATTTGACCCGACATAAAAACCACTTTAAATTTATCAGAATAATAGTCCTAGTACTTTCAGTGCCAGTGTTTTTACTAAATACTGTTTGAATATTGTCATTCTCCTTTTTTTTTTTTTTTTTTTTTTTTGCAGTACTGTGGATTGAATTAAGGGTTTTGCAGTGGACTTTCTTTTCCTTTTTTTTTTTTTTTCTCCTTTTTCTGTTTCTTTTATTTTTTTATGCAGGGTCTTACATAAGTTACCTAAACTGTAATCCTCCTGCCAGAGTGCTGGGATTACAAGTGTATACCAGCAAACCTGACACCTTTCTCTGCTTATTAAAAATAATTGTATTTTTATACTGTCAGAGTATGTAGCCATTTATAACTTAACTATACACTTCCCCTGAAAGCCCTCATTTAATTTCACTTTTTCAAGTGTATTTAATGGCTTACCTCCAATTCTTGCATCAGTTTCTCCAGTGGTTGTGTGTCTGAAACTTTTTCTCTGCTAGATTCTTCCCAGAGTGTATGAAAACAGTATTCTCTGGCGTCTCACACTTTGTAATAGTTTGTGGCTTCTATACTTGATATTAGATCTTAGCCAAAAGGCCAAGAAGCGAAAGTTTGATATAGAGTTATGTCAAAGCTTATCAGATTATAAACTTTAAATATGTATGTTTTATGTCACTTACACTCCAGGGAACCTATGGGAAAATGCTTGGTTCACATTTTTTTTATTCAAAAATGTCAAACACTGTCAGGAAATGTTGGCATCAAAAAATCTGATTCCTCTTCTATGATTATTTCTCTTAAATCCCTGGAAGGATTTTTTTTTTTTTTTTTTTGAAGCACAGTATTGTAATAAATTAATTCCTGGGTTTGTTCCCTCAGGTATGTGATGGGTCTTCTTTAATATAGTTACAAATACTTATGTTTTAAAATTTCAGAACTATTTCCTTTAAATTACCTATTTTGTCTTTTCTTGCTTTGATTTTCTTTCAGGATTTCTGTCAAAAATTAAATCTTTCTATCAAAAATTCAATCGTATATTTGAAACCTACTTTTATAATCCTTTTCATCTCTTTATCTCTTTCTGATTTGCAAAGCCTTTTTTCACTTTGTATTTCCCTTACAGCATTGTCTTTAGTCATTCTTGTCTTTCTCCTAGTTTAATCTTCATTTTAAAAATATTTCTGTCGCTTGACTCCTGAATTTTATAATTCTAGTGTCCGTTATACTTTACATTTTAGCATGTTTTGGAACATTAGATTGTAATTTTTATTTTATGGGCATTTCTTTCTGACATTTTTTATTGTCTCTAGGGATATGATTCGTGTTCTTTTCTGTGTATTTAATATTTCTATATGGATTTGATCTCGGGCATTTCCTGTTGCTCATTTTCACATGAAATCAAAGTTTTACTTACCTTGAAAAGGGAAGGCTCACTCATGAAAGTTTTTTTTCTAATTTTGTGACCCTAGAATCTCCTGTTGTGTTGTTTTGTAAAGTGTTAAAAATACAGGATCATTTTCTGATACAGTTCTGGTCAATTAGACCTTTTTACCTTTTTCTAGACTCCTGTTTTTCTCTGTTATCTTTGTCTTGTTCTACATGGAATCTTTCTACAGTATCTTGTCACCATGCGGGGCTTTGCCCTGAGAAACAGGTTTGGTGGGTTAGTTTAGAGAGCTAATTTCCAGCCCTGTGTGGCATCACTACACGCTCCTGTGTCACCCATTTTAGGGCTGGCCACACTCCTTCTCCTTGCAGCCCGCTGTTCTCGGGTTTGTCCAGCTGGGAAAGCAGCATCTCTGGATAGCTTTGGAGTTCTTGGGCTCACCCCATATCCATAATTTTTGTCTGCCTTGTCCTTCGTCGATGTCGGGGACAGGCTGCTGCGTCCCTGTGAGTGCTTTGTCACCTGATTTGTTGCAGATGCTGCCCGTGGGTTGGGGTTTTGCTGTCCTAGTAATTCCATGTGTTTTTATGGTGAATTTAGTTTTAGAAATCACACCATCCCCAGTCTTGATAGTTTGATTTTCTGTTTGTCATCTCTAGATCCTCAGACAGATTCTAAACCACCGGAAGGATTGTTAGGATGCGACACAGACTGGCTCACGTTGAATGTTGGAGGGCGGTACTTTACAACTACACGGTAGGTGTGTGTATGTACACGCACAAAAACAGTGGAAGGCCCTGTGTATACCATTTGTTCCATAATTTGCTATTTCTTACAAGGTACCAAATGGCTGCTTAAATACACAATAAGATGTGAAGACCTTTTTCAGAAAGTTTTTTAGAGAAAAAGTAGAACATAAATTGCCATGTCATTCCAGAGAAGGCATAAAAATGTAGTATTTCAGAAGTATGCCTTTTGATATCCATAATGTACATGCAATGCAAGTAAAAACAGTATTGATTTTAGATTATAGCTACTTATTAATGGAAATCAGAAAAATAAGTTTTGGTGATAATATCATGATATAATGTCTAGTTAGGATCGATTGGTATTTAAATAAAAGTAAAATGATATTTGAATCAAAGGAAGTGCCAGCTTAGAAGAGATTTTGATAAATAGCAACTCACCCCACATTTTTGTTTCCCAGCATCGCTCCTACCAAGTTGTAGCATGCATCTTTTTGAAAGAACAGCTGAAATCAAGTATACTCTTGACTTAAGTATGTTTGTTTATAAAGACACATGGAGAAATCAATTTTTTTCCCTGAATTCTTAGGAGCACTTTAGTGAATAAAGAGCCCGACAGTATGCTGGCCCACATGTTCAAGGACAGAGGTAAGTTCGATGGACTGTTCTCCCCGCTCGTGTGATCTGTTTCTATCTGCATGGACTCTCGAGCTCCCAAGTGTCCTCTTCCGTGGGGTTGATCATTTTCACATTAGTAAAAGCTTTGCTGCTATGTTCTGCAACTTTTCTTCCATAAATGCTAACTACTGTGGCTTATGGGGGTTTTCTTCATTATGACGGTCACATAGGTGTTTGGGGAAATAAGCAAGATCACAGAGGAGCTTTCTTGATTGATCGAAGTCCTGAGTACTTTGAACCCATTTTGAACTACTTGCGGCATGGACAGCTCATTGTAAATGATGGCATTAACTTACTGGGTGAGTTTTCAATGATTCCTTGCATTTTTGTAAGCTTAGGATTTTTTATTTTGTTTTTATATGTCATGTATATTTTCACAGAGCAAAAGGACACCTTTCCCACTCTTTATAAAGTTTTCATACGTGTATGAGTATATATGTAGGTCTAGAAATAGATATCACATGCTCTTTTAGGTCCGTAGTCTTCACAGATGAGAGTAGAAATTAATGAAACTGATCCCCTCCCTTCTGTCTCTCCCCATCCCAGACACATTTTCATTTTTCAAAGAACCAGCTCTGATTCATTGGTCCATTGTGTGTGTGTGTGTGTGTGTGTGTGTGTGTGTGTATGTGTGTGTGTGTGTGTGTGTTTTAAGGCTCTTTTTCATTAATTTCTGCTCTGATCTTTATAATTTCTTTTTATTAGTGTCAGATTTGGATTATTATCATAAGGCTTTAAAAGATATTAAACAAAATAAAATAAAGGGGGCTGGGGGTTTAGCTCAGCGGCATAAGCACCTGCCTTGCAAGCAGGCGGTCGTGAGTTCGATCCCTGGTACCGATAAAAATGGAAAAGGAAAAAGACAAAAAATAAAAAAATAAAAAAAATAAAATACAAGATGTTATATATTCTTCATCCAAACTCTTCATGTTGCCTCCAGGTTGCCCCTAGCAGCTAAATGCTTTAAAATAACCTAGACCAAGCCAGACATGATGGTGTACACCTGTAATCCCAGCACTCAAGTGGCTGAGGCAAGAGGATCACCAAGAGTTTGAGTCCAGCTTGGGCTGCATAAGTGAGTTAAGGCCAGCCTGCACTACATAGGGAAATTCTATCTCAAAATTAACTAACTAGCTAACTAACTAACCTAGACCAAAAAGGTAGTATGCAGCTGAGTTAGGTTTCAAATTCAGGTCCTACTAGTGCTAATAGAAAATACACTAAAACTTCATTTTCTTGGTGAATCATGTATGTTTGTTAATTTATAAAGCTTTTCTGGAAGTTTTTATGGTTAATTCTACACCTAGAATTAGAAAAGCACTAACCCACACTTCCAAGAAGTTCTGATTTCCCCAGATTTTGGCAAACTAAGAGCAGGGCCTACTAGAACCTCTTTATGGTAAGTTCCAGCCCAGGGAAGATCCCCTAAGTGGCTCTCCTGAGCAGAAAACTGTTTCCTGAACATTGTGCTGGCCACCAGTAATCTTTGTGTCATAGTTGAATTATTGGAAACAGAACTTGGTTTTTGAAGAAAAGATCATTATTTTCTTCCCAGATGACTGTTTGCAGTTTGCCTATTAGCCTAGAACTATTTGAAGAAGGAATTGGGTCTCATGTTTTATTCATAACTTTTAAGTCCTTAGTAGTTTTCTTTCTTTCTTTCTTTCTTTCTTTTTTTTTTAAGCATTTCTTATGGTTGTGTTTAGATGTCATTCCCAAAGCCTCATGCAGTTGTAGGCAGGGCTTTTTCAGAGGTGGCTGGATCTAGAGTGTGTGATGCTGGGATTGATTCATGGTGTGAAGCCCGGCTCCAAGGCATTGGGGTTAGGGGTGTGAATGCTACCTGCTCTAAGTATCCTAGATAAGATAAAAGGGATAGAAAGAGCTGTGGTCCTTCTTTGTTGCTTTGCTACCTTCTGCCCAACATGGGCTATTTCTCCTCTGGGATGCCTGTCTGCCCTGCCACCCTTGGAACCAACCAATTATGGCCTGAAACCTCTATAAACTGTAAGCTGAATAACTAAACCTTTTCTTCTTTAAGTTTGGGTGTCAGATGTCAGGTGTTTTGTCTCATCAGTGAGAAAAATAACTAAGATGCCGTTCAACTGAATGATGGTGGATTCTAGATTTGTTCCTGTGAACTCTAATGATGAGAGATAGTGAGCATACCAGGTCACCAAGTGATAGAGGAAATCCCTTTTTATCATTTAGAGATCTTCTGTAAAAACTGATTTTAGGCCAGGGATTTAGCTTAGCGCCTGCCTGGCAAACTCGAGGCCCTGAGTTTGATCCCCAGTACAGAAAAAAAAAGGAAAAAACTGATTTTAGTATAGAAAAAAAATTCTAAATTATACTTTTGACTTGTTATAAAGCTGACTTCAATTTTTATTCATTTTTATGATTTTCTGATTCAGTAAGTAAAAGGTATTTATGACAAATCCAATCAGATTTGCTCCATTAAAAAAGTAAATGAAATGTTGGGATTGAGTGCATTAATCATTTTTATTGGATTCACAATGAAATTACTAAATCTGTTGTCTTAGGAATATGTAATGTTCAGCTTTATTTCTTGTGACCTATTTATAAGAAATGGTTTTCAAAGATGGAAAGCTTTTGTTCTAATTTTTTTTATCTTACAGAAAGCCTTTGTTTTAAAAATATGTCTCAGTATTCTGTATGTATGTTCTAAACATTAGTTGTTTGTCTGCTTGTGACAGTAGCCTACTTGCTGAATTTCAGTTCTATTTTTGTGAGCATTCAACACAAGGAATTCTGCCAAATGAGTTATTTGGTTAAGGGCGTAGCTCATAGTAGAGCACTTGCCTAGTGTGCTTGAACTCCTGGGTTCGATACCTAACACACACACAAAAAAATTGTATCTGAAAGTCATATCGTTTTTATTCTGATAGGTGTGTTAGAAGAAGCCAGATTTTTTGGAATTGACTCGTTGATTGAACACCTAGAAGTGGCAATCAAGGTAAGGCTCTTTTATCTTGACCAGTATTACATTTACTACAGATTTCACCCAAAATAGCCCACTGATTTTTTTTAAATATCTTTTTCAAGAATTCCCAGCCACCAGAGGACCATTCACCAATATCCCGAAAGGAATTTGTTCGATTTCTGCTAGCAACTCCAACTAAGTCAGAATTGCGTTGCCAGGTAATTAACACAGACTTTTACATGACTGACTTCTCTCAGCAAATCTGTGAGTGAAGGCTTTCGTCCTCCTAGGGTTTTGTTTATTTACAGTAGTTTTGTTTTTGCTTTGGTTTTGTTTTTATGCAAGACATAATTTAATTATGGGCCATAGTAGAGACTTAATTTTAAAACAGGAAGAGATGCAGTAACCCTTTTTATTATCTAATTACATTTTATGTAGCAATTTTTAAACAGTGTATGGAAATTGTAGCAGTTTTAAAATAGTTACTATTTGCACAGTGCGATGTAAGGCTAGTCAGTGGCAGAGACTTGTGTATTATAGCATTCATTGTAGTTTTTGATACCCACTTTTTCTTAATAAACTGTCCTGAATTTTTGAATTAAAATCTCTTAATTATAATCAGCTTCAGCTGAACTAACACCAGCGGGTATGTTATTAACAGGGTTATCTCTTGGAAATGTCTGCACATAAAAGGAAGTAGAGTCAATGTCTTAATGTATGTGTAAAGTTTCTTTTACGTGGAACCCATTAAAAACAAGTGCTTCATGTGTGTAAGTTCCATTTGTTCATGTTTTGTAATAAACTCCAAGTCACTGAACTGCCAATTGCTTCTAAAATAACACGATGGTTGGTTGTAGTAATTAAATTAAATGCAAACAGATGTTTTAAACATTACGCCAGTGTGTGCTTTCTAATTTCAGGGTTTAAACTTCAGTGGTGCTGATCTTTCTCGTTTGGACCTTCGATACATTAACTTCAAAATGGCCAATTTAAGCCGCTGCAACCTTGCACATGCAAATCTCTGCTGTGCGAATCTGGAGCGAGCTGATCTTTCTGGATCAGTGCTTGATGTAAGAATCATTCTTGGGTATGAGAAAAATTAAAATTTTAGGCTATTAAGCATTCTCAAAAAGCAGGAATTATATCTGTCTTGTAGAGGAACTTTTACTTGAAAACAAGTAATTTAGTATGGTAATGATGAAATGAAAGCTCTAAAAGTGGAATGGACTGAGTTTACAACTTTGATATCCTTTATTAAACATAGACCCAGAAGGTTTAGCAACTAATAAATGAAATGTTGAACTTGGGTCTTGATCTCAGTGTGGTATACTAAATTTGTTAGAACTGGTATTTTCCTGCAAATTTAAAAAAAAAGTATAAAGCTGAAAAGAACCTTTGCAATCTATCCAGCCTCATTTTTGGAATGGGAGAATGTGGCTGCCCCAGAGTTATTTGTCAGAGACTTTGAAATAAACATGGTATGCATCCGTCTAGATGTCAGCACCTGAGTGCTGCTCCTCTCTCTCTCTGTCTCTGTCTCTCTTAGACATGGATATGTGTGTGTATATACATATATAGATTTAAATGTAGTGTGAGTATATGTATTTATGTAACAATTATCTGTACGGATTTGGGGTTAGAGAACACACCTAGAAGACTTCAAGGCCGAAGTCTATATGTCTTTGGAACTAACTGCCCCTATTTTAGCACTTTGCTACTGATAGTCGTTTGTTGCAGTACTTTAATTTTGGTTTTATTCCATAGTTAGAACCTATTTTTCATGGAGCTTTGTGTCAGATCTAGTAAAAAATATGCCAGTGTACATTTTCAAAACCGTCACTCTTTATTCTGTTACATAAGGAAAGGCTAAGTTAGCAGCAAAACAGGCAAAGATATCAGCACAAAGAAAAAACCTGGAGGATTAGGCTCAAGTGAAATGTTGAAGGACAACTTTCTTTGTTTCCTGCTAAGGCTAAAAAGAGACCTTAGGCACTTAAGGTCATTCAGCACAACTGGTTTGCAGTTCTGTTTAACTGTAGTTCTATGAACTGTGAACCTGAGCCATACATTTCTTCCCCGTAAACTAGAACTCATGACACTTACTTTGCCCATGTCATGCAGTTGATGTGAAGGCCACAGCAGATCGTGGAAAGTATCAGCTGCCGTCACAGGAGGGTGAGGTTATTGGTGGGGAAAAAGGCTCCAGTCACAGCCACGCCTACGCCATGAGAGCCAGAGCTAACTTCTTGTTGTCCTTGGCACCTGAGGACGGCCACTGCCTGACCGCAATGTCCTGCGGTGTCCACAAGTGTGATGGCGCTGGCGCGTGCTCTTGCTGCCCAGGCCACGCTTGCTGAACGCTCACCCAGTTTATAGGATGGTGTCTTCCCCTCGTGGCCTGGGAAACCTTCCCCTGGGCATCCTTTCCTCCTGCAGTAAAGCAGGATGGCCTTCGTGGCTACCATTGTCCAGCGGCCCTTTCTGTGGCACGCTGTCGGTTCTGTTGGTGCTCTGCTACCGTTATCTACCTGGCCCCTGATGGGGGACCTGGCAGTTTCCTCTCCATTGCATTTTCCCACCAAGGCTTACAGAATGCTGTAATTGGTTAGAACTGACATGAGTGTTTAGTTTGACCTGGCCATTTTAAGACTGAGAAACATGGGGCTGGGGATTTAGCTCAGCGGCATAAGCGCCTGCCTCGAAAGCAGGCAGTCCTGAGTTTGATCCGTTGTACCGGTAAAAACGAAAAAGCCCAAAAAAATAAATAAATAAATAAAGACTGAGAAACATAAGAGACCCGCCAAAGGCCAAAAGGTGGGCTTTTACGAGTGAGAACTAGAATCTAAAGTTTTCCTTTCCTTTTTTTTCCTTTTGAAAAAGACTTTTTCATATTAAAAATGCTGAGAATTTACAAGAGGCACAGTGTATCTGCCGTGTACACCGTCACTCAGCTTTACCAGCTCTCAGCACGTAACCTGTTTGTTTTGTCTGTGCCTTGCCACAGATTACTTTAAAATAGCTCATTATGTTACCTGTATCTCTCCATCCATAGTTTTATCTCTCATGATTTTAGGACCATTTTAAAACATAATCGTGGGGAGTGCTACTCAGTGGTAGAATGCTTGCCTAGCATGCTCAAGGCCCTAGGTTCAGTTTTCAGTATTGCCCCATCTCCTTAAGAACCCAAAATATAATACCATGATTATACTTCTAAAATAACAGTGAAGAACACACTGCCTTCAGCAGAACATGCCTCTGATAAACTTGAGTTCTCATAGCTGTAATGTCACCTGTGTTAGCTGAGTTGTGCAGTCTTTTTTTTTTTTTTTTTTTTTCTCTTTTTTCCCTTTTTATTGGTACCGGGGATCGAACTCACGACTGCCTGCTCGCAAGGCAGGCGCTTATGCCGCTGAGCTAAATCCCCAGCCCCGAGTTGTGCAGTCTTAATGTTGACGGCCTCCTTTATCATTTGACGAATCAAGGGTGAGATGCTTCATGTGGTTGAAGTTAGAAAATCTCACTGCAGTTTCTGATATATTTGCCTCATTACAAGATTCCTTGGCATATCCTGGGTATACCTAGCAAACGTTTGATGTTATTTATCGCTTTACTTCAGAGCATCACAGAGAACCAGAGACCGTTATTTGTGTGTATCAACTCTGTCTTCTTTTTCCGGTACATAAAATCCAGTCCACTAGTTACGCTGCTCCCTCCAGGCCCTTCCTACCCTACTTCTGTAGTCAGAACTACCTTATGTTAGGCACAGGCCCAAGGGGGACTAAGCCAGAGCTGTCAGTTACCTGTGATTGCAATGGTCTCTGTCTCATCTCCCTTTATCAGAATTGACTGGAGGCTGAATGAAATTGTACCAGTACAGCAAGGATTCTCCTTTTTTTTTTTGGATCGGGGATTGAACTCATGACCTCATGCTTACCAGGCAGGCGCTTAAGCCACTGAGTTACATCCCCAGCCAAGGATTTTTCTTGATAGGTATGGGCAGCATATAATCTGATCAGTCTTAGGGTTTTAGACAACTACAACTATTGTTCATATTATGCCTTATAATTTTTAACATACTTTGCTATTCAGCTTCCACTTAAGTCACAGGAAAGCTTTCTGGGGGTAACTAGTGATTCTCAGTTACACCTGATGGCGTTAAATTCCTTTAAGGTGGATTGTCAGTGTATGTCTCCTCCTTTTTTTCCAACTTCCTCCTCTCCGCTTTCTGTGTGCACTGCGACTGGGCGCTCAGCGTTTGCAGTGTTGAGTAGCTGTGGTTGGTACAGAAAGACCGTACAGGCAACTCGTTAGTGTTTTGTGGCTAAATGATGCCTTCAATTGCTGGCATTAGTATTCTGGTTTTTGAAAGGAATGTGGTAGCAGCCTGTTGGAGCATCATGAATTTTGCTGGTTGATTTCTGCAGGGATAAGGAGGAGAAGAAAATCTCTAACCCTAACAGTGTGTGCCTACTTCCACTGTCATATTGTCATGCCAGCAGCTGTTTATAAAAATAGAAATAGGGTGTCGTAGTGCTACTCCCCCAGCTTCTTTGTCCTAAACACTTTTGGGTATGCTGTTGTCTTAGCATTTTGTTTCTTTTAAAACAGTTCTAAAAGAATTATTTCTTTAAAATGTTCTCAGTTCTGTGTGGGTTCCATTAAAGGAGTCTTTCTTGTAAACAGAAAGTAACCAATTACAAATGTGTTGAATTACACCTTTTCCTCTTTTTTTTACAGTTTTCTCCTGTTTACACCAGTTAGAACAAATTTATGAACTTTAAAACCAAGACATTTTTCTTTGCAGTGCGCAAACCTCCAGGGAGTCAAGATGCTGTGTTCTAATGCAGAAGGTGCATCCCTGAAGCTCTGTAATTTTGAGGATCCCTCTGGACTTAAAGCCAATTTAGAAGGTGAGATCCTCCCCTTAATGTACCTAGTCCAGGGTGAAAGCCAGCCATAAGGAAAAGGCCCAGGAGAATCATTGTTAAAGTCAAAACACATTTGCAGAGTTTGCAAAGGGGTAAATGTTTCCTTGGTCTCAGTCATATGCTAATCAAAATTGAGGACTCAGAGGAAGTAAAGCCTTGAGTATTTAATAAGGCTTTAGTTGAGGAATAAATATCAACATCTTAACTTTCTCATATCAGATATCCTTACACCTTCCAAACGAAAATTACAGTTGGCACCAAGTACTTTTTTGTTGTTTTTCATTGTAACAATTCATTATTACTGTGTTGTGTTTGTGAATTGGGTGTTTTGTTTATTGTATACTTAGGGGACGTGGTATTTATCCCCTTATCATAACCTGTGGTGGCATATTTTAGAAGTGCTAATTATCATAAGACAGAATTTATTTCTCCTTCAAAAGTATTCTTCAAGCCAGGCCTGGTGGCGCTTGCCCATAATCCCAGCACCCTAGAGGCCACGGTAGGCTGGGCTACCTGCTGTGTAAAAGCCCAGCCCAGAGTGCAAAGCAGAACCTTAGCTCAGAAAACAAACATAAAAACAGTGCCAATGAAACTTTTTTTGTCTTTTTGGTTTTTTTTATTGGTACCGGGGATCGAACTCACGACCGTACACTCGTAAGGCAGGCGCTTATGCTGCTGAGCTAAATCCCCAGCCCCAATACTGAACTCTTTATAGATTTAAGTTGGTTAAAATTTTAGGTTCATTTCCAAAAAGCATAGCAGGCCACCCTCACTTACCTCCATTAAGTCTTCTTGCAGTTTTGTTGTCAGTTGATAATTGTAGATATCTTTAAGTTAATTTCTTCTCAATATGTGTTCACACAGGTGCTAATCTGAAAGGCGTGGATATGGAAGGAAGTCAGATGACAGGAATTAACCTGAGAGTTGCTACCTTAAAGAACGCAAAGTTGAAGAACTGTAACCTCAGAGGAGCAACTCTGGCCGGCACTGATTTAGAGGTGCGTCCACCATTGAGAGAACCTTAGTGAGTGTGCAGTCTGATGTAAAAGTCATGGAAATCATTAGCAGAGCGGTTGTGTGATGAACACACCAGTGCAGGTGGGGAACAGTTTCCCTTTCAGTTGTTCGGGCGAGAAACATCAGTTCCAAAGCAGAGCCATCGTCTGAGGCCCAGATGCCAGTTCTGGGTGTGAAGGCTCAGCTGACGTTCAGTCTGCGTTGATTTCAGTTCCCTGCTTTTTGATGGACAGACAAGAGTGTATTGTGTTTTTCATAAATTTTAACAATTCAGTGGGCCACATTATTTCTTGCGCTACTTAAGAAATTGAACCGGTGTACAGCTTTGAAATCATGCTGGGGAGAAGCCCATTTTAAGTGAGCATTGCATCCTTTTTGAGTGTCACTTTGAGATTTTAATTCTGCATGTCTTTTTGGCTTGCACGTTGTTTAGCTGCAGACTCCCCAGCTGGTACAGCATTGAGATCTCATACTGTCCAGCCCAGCATCTGCCGTGAGGGCCATGTTCTGCATCTGTGCTGCTCAGTGTGGTCGCTAACCGGCTGCACAGAGCTGAGCATTTGAGCTGTGCCTAGTGTGGCTAAAATACTAATTTCTAAAATTTGCTTCTAATTCATTTAAATACCTACATGTGGCTGGTGGCTTTCATGTTGAATGATACAGCTTTACGTTAAAAAAAAAAAGCTGACACAGCGTTAGAGAGAATGGTATGTGAAAGTTTAGGTTGTTGTTAATATTTTCAGAAATATTTTTGCCTTGATCTGATTGTGGTCAACAAAAGTAGCAGACCCTTTTAAAGATAAAGACAAGAAAAACAGGCCCAAGGCAAACAGTGTAATCCTGTTATGAGCAAAATGACTTACCATTTGTTAGTGTTACCTGATAGCATAGGCTTTTCCTTGGTTTTGGTTACCGTGTAGTCACTGAGGCTGAAGTAGCAAAAGCCTTGCTCCTCCTCCCCAGCCGATTGCAGACACTGCTCCAGGTGACCATTGACGGCCAGCTGCTGACATTTGGCCTCCCAAAAGGTTACGTGCAGCCAGCTGTCTCCACCCGCGGACCCTGCCATCCCCAGGGACTTAGCAAGCGTCTCTCTTTCATCTCTTCCTCTGTGGTCCTGAAAGAAGCCCACGGCTCCCAGTGGTGGTGGCAGTGCCAGTGTACACATCCCTCCACCAAAACTCATTGCACTGGGCCGGGGACGTAGCTCAGCAGCACAGCGCCTGCCTCGAGCGCAAGGTTCTGCATGTGATTCCCAGTACCAGTCAGTCAGTAACTGAATTGTACACATAAATTTGCGACTGAAAAAGGCAATTCCCTGCTATAAAAATGTTAGGGGTGAAAAACTGAAAAGACTGCTACACAAAATTGCTAAGTAAAATCTCAGATTTCTCTTTTTCTCCATGCCCTGCCTTTTGAATTATAATGATAATAGTTATTAATTGGAACCCATCCTGGATTTTAATTGCCTGTTTCTCAGATTGATGAAAAAAAAAGAGACAGGCTTCCTTTTAACCTTTGTTTTCATATCTGGTAGAAAAAAATCTGACTTTAACATATGCAGACAGCAGTGTTCTGAAAATTGGTTTATGATACAGGAACCTTGTCCATTTAGCCTGGAAATCTTTTTGCAAGGAAACATCTAAGGCCCCAAATCCCTGTGAGCCTCATGAATCTTGTTTTGTCTTACAGAACTGTGATCTGTCTGGCTGTGACCTTCAGGAAGCCAACCTGAGAGGTTCCAACGTAAAGGGGGCCATATTTGAAGAGATGCTGACGCCACTACATATGTCACAGAGTGTCAGATGAGAGTTTCAGGGAAGATGTCCAGGCTGAAAAATATTCTCCTTGTCATCTTATTCCCCCCAACCCACTCAGTTGTCTAGAAGATATAACACTGTAAGAGAATTTTTAAAACATTTAGAGGATTATGCTTGTTCTCAGTGGTGCATCGGGAAGAAAATTGAAATTTTCCCACAGAAAATTTAACAGAAAAGCACTCATTTTAATAGATGTAGGAAAAGTAGATTATGTTGCTGCCTTTTGAATGGGGTAAGGGGATTTGCCCGATTTTGTGAACCCAGAATAGTATCTATTATATTTGCTTTTAAATAGGCATGATGTGGAAATACCATCTTGGTTTAAGATGCAGTTGAGAATTTTAATTTATGAAAAGCACAAAATATGCAATTATATTTATTAAATACCTAGATGCAGTATGGATATTTAAACTTTATGAAACTTTGAAGATTGTTCAGGTTCATAGATAGCTTTAGTGATGCCTCCCCTCTTTAAATACCTGTTGTTCCATATGATTATGGTGAGGTCGGATACCCTAAGGCTCTCTATTCAGGTTCATTTTTATATGTTTACTTTTTAGAACAAAACAGTAGCTAAATTTAACAAATACCCCGCTCTTACTGATTGAGACAGAGTGGAAAGAAAGATATCATTGCACATCACTGTGGTACTGAGGGTACATTGGAACTATCCAGAAGAACAAAGAATTTGCCTATAGCTACAAATACTAAATAACATTCACCAAAATTTCATTCTAGGCAAGTTTCACTCAACACCAGACCAGGCAGTTTTATTCTGTCTACACTACTGTCTAGTTTTCATATATACAATCAACACAAGCACAGGAAGACACTTCAAAACCAAAAACCTAAAGTCCATCATTAATATTCATTTAACTCAAATGCCAAATGGCTTAAACTCGGGCAGCTTAGAAATAGGTATTAAGCTGGGGATTTAGCTCAGCGGCATAAGCGCCTGCCTGGCAAGCGTGAGGTCATGAGTTCAATCCCCAGTACCAAAAAAAGAAATAGGTATTAAATCCAAATCTACTGCAATTAAAGCCATGTAATATGAATAAGCATGGCCGAGTCACCTTTTAAAAGGTGACGTAATTGCAGCTCAAAGCCTACAGTGGGAAATGTGGAATTTTTCAATTGACAGCATGATTACCACAAAACGTTAATAAATTTAGCTGGTCTGAGACATAATACCATTTAGCACCTGTCATTTTTTTACATGTTTGTTTGTTTTTGGGGAATTGTAACCCAGCTTTCTTAAGTCATTATCTCTGCGCAGCAGCAGAGACAGGGCCTTTACTTCCCCCCACCCCAGTATCCCATTGTCCTGTGTCTACCCCCAGATCAGGGATGTAAGCTGTGTCCAAATGGATTCTGAATCCTGTAGAGTCATCAATTTGAGGCAACGAATCACAGAAAACCACTTCTGTGTCCTTTGGGAGAATGACATATCTTTAGTATTTCCGTAGCTTATTCTTCTATATCTACATATGCAAAGCTTTCCTTAACAGTAAAGGGCACTTATGCACAGTGGGAGGGGACTGAACCTTTACAGGTGAAGGAAAGCAACTTTAGAAATGAATTATTTTCTTTGCTTTATTATTTTTACCAAGACAGAGAAGTATTGTATTGAGAGATATCTATTTTCATAATCAATATGTGCCTAAATTATATTTAAATCATTTCACTCTGTACTATATTTTCAATAATTATCGAATGTGTTGTTCATTCACTGAAGGGTACCTCTGTAGACAAACCTAAAACTACAGAAGGGTCTGAAAGACCTAAATAAACACGGTGTACTTAGACACTGCAGGTCTTGGATCTAAGGTATACTGCATTAATAAACAATATGAAATGTTGAAAAGGTGTTTCTTGTCTTGATTTTGAAAATCAACATTCTCTTGTGTTTTCTGATGTTTCTTCAGAATGGGCTGAAGACCAGCCCTGAAGATCTGGGTGAAAAATGAAACACAGCATAACATTTCTTACAGACTGGTTTTTTTAAAGGTGCCATTAACATCAGCGTATTTCACCAAACAAGACTGAACTATTATCTTCTTCTTTTTTTTTTTTTTTTGGTCTTTTTCATTTTTATTGATACCAGGGATAGAACTCACAACCACCTGCTTGCAAGGCAGGTGCTTATGCTGCTGAGCTAAATCCCCAGCCCCTATCTTCTTTTCAAAATCACCATATAACAGGAAAAACTTCATTCTCATCAAAAGACTACCTTCTAATAATTTGTTTATATTGATCTTTAGCTGATAAACATTACTAGTTAGCTTTATTGCATTTAATAATACATCCCACAAACATTTCTTTGCCTGACAGCTGTGTAAGAGAATTGTAAGGAGATGTAAAGTTTCAAAACAGTAAAACTTTCATTAGCCATAGTTCTATTACATTTGCTCTTGTGGTACCAGGAATCAAACTCAAGACCTTGCAGTTGCCGGACAGGTGCTATACTGCTGAGCTATATACCTGCCCCTCACTGATGTTATAAAACCTGTTCTCTGTACATGTAGTTGTTGGGGGGATGTTAGGAAAATGGTTTTAAATCTAAATTGCTTTCAAGGAAATCTCAGTAGGAAATGTACAGTGTCCCCCAACACTTCATCCCCACCCCACTCCCACACTGGACACTGAACACAGGGCCTCACGCATGCTAGGCAATTGCTCTACCACTGAGCCACCTCCCCAGCCCTTTTAAAAACTTTTTAACTTGCAGTCTGCCCTCAGGTCTCCCAAACAACTGGCATTGTACATGTACACACCAGTCCTGGCAAAGTTGTTTGAAGGTTTCCATTCTCAAGACAATATTTTCTCCAGTTCATGTTACAAATTTTTATTTATACTCTAAATCTGTCCCCAAGTCAATTTAAGTCATCTTTAATAGGTGAAAAGCCCTATAATTTTTTAAAATCCCTAAGGAAATAGTACTGTATTTACAATTTAAATTTCACTACTATGAGGAAAAGTTGGAAGCACTTTATCTGAGGATTAATTCTCAGAGATTTACAGCCTGGTGACACTTGTCAGCCAGTTACCCTGAAGTTCTTCCTGCTTAGATTTTACATTAGGGCAGAAAAGATTTTTGCAAGTCATCCAACAAGATTATGAAACTTATTGTAATAATTTTGAGGTGTTTGAGTGTTGAGAACGAAGCAATTTTTCCCTCTAAAGCCCTTCTAACAAATACCCAAATATTTAAAACCAACTTTATTCCTTTTTTTTTTTTTCCCCTTGGTAGACTGGTCCAAACATGGAATGAGAGCTCGAAGTGTGTCATTAAACATCAAAAAAAACCACAAATGCATCTGGCTTTGGTAGAGTGAATAACAGAAATAAGCCAAGAAATTTGGCTTTCAGCTTTGAGATTGTACAACCTCAGAAACAATAAATGCAGGCTGAGAGGGTGTGGGTCATCTTGAATAATGTCGTAGGCCATCTTGTTATTTTATAAAGCAAGCATGTTATCTAAAAATGTAATCTAACTGATAGAAATAACCTCTGCCAAACCCAGTAATGCTCGCACAGGAGGAAACGGCTCACTTACCAAGGGCTCCCAAGTCTTAGCTGTCATTTGTCCTAACCACAGACCACATTCTCTCAGGTGACACCTAGAAGCACATTTCTCAGCAAACAAAAACAACTGGACAATTTAAACACCGTTGTTACTCAATTCGTAATGAAACCTCCAAATGAAACCTGTCATTCAGTGTCTAAATGCATCTGTCATTCAGCAAGATTATGAAACCACTATTGTAATCATTTTGAGGCATTTTTATTTTGAAATTTGCCTCCAAGTGCCGTTACACGTTAAACTGTGTTCCTTTCTCTACACCACCATGGGAACTGGTCATCCTCCACCAAAACAATTAGTAAACTAAGGAAGTTAACTTGGGGAGGTACTATTGCTCTGTATTTGAAATTTTTGCAAATGGAGTTTTGTCAGAGGACACTGGGCGGTGCCTCAGATTAGCATCCTGTCTGAGGAGAAACTGCCAATCTCAGCTCTAAAATGCACTAATGTGTATTTTTAAACAGTTTTAGGGATCACTATTATAATAGGGCTTATAGCCTATAATACATAAAGATACAATCATATGCCAGATAAAACATCTTTGAAGTAGAAATGGATGAATTAGGCTTTGTCTTGCTAAAAGTTCCTTTCACCCATTGATTTCATTCATTCCAACTTGTATCTATTGAATGCTGACCAAATATTTTTATTAACATGATTAAATAGAATAGAATCCTTGATTATCATGGGCTGCAGACCAGAGATAAATTAAGGTGACACAGTCATGTATTCAAATGAATGTGATAAACACTAATGGTTTTATTTCTTTTTAAAACACTTGTATAAATAATATGTTCAGGGGCTGGGGATTTAGCTCAGCGGCATAGCAAGGCAGTCTTGAGTTCGATCCCTGGTACCAATAAAAATGAAAAAGACAAAAAAAAAATATGCTCAGAGTCATGCCACTAAGTGAAATTTGTGGCATGGGTTGGACCATGTATAAAATCTGGATGATACAGCAGATTTCAGTGGCACACACCTGTTATTCCAGCACTCGGGAGACTGAGGCAGGATGGTAACTTGAGCTCAGGAGGTTGAAGCCAAATGAAGTAGCCTGCACAAATGAGGAAGACCCTCATCTTTTAAAGACATGAAATTTGGAAAACATACTTAGCAGAGAAGTTATAACGAATGAAATTAGTCATAGCCACAGGTCATATAATTACTATTTCTTATCTTTGTGACTTGTCTATTTTAACTCAATAGGCATTTACTGAAATAATCTGTCAACCTAAGTCTGCTTAATATGGTCTTCCAGTGTTTCTAATGACTAGATTTTTTTCTTACCTTTTTGATGCTAGGACAGAACTTAGTGGCCAGATTTTCACACTCACACTATCTACGGTAGGGTCCTAGGTGGGATTGGAATACTCCTAGAGACAATAATCATTAGTTAACCAAACTTTTAAAAATAGAAGCTGGGTGTGGTGGGGTACACCTGTGATTCTTGCACTCAGGAGGCTGGCGCAGGAAGATCATTGCAAGTTAGAGGCCAGTTTGGGCTACAAAGTGAGCTCAAGCCCAGCCTGAACTGCATAGTGAGACCCTGCCTCAATCAATCAATCAATCAATCAATCAATCAATAAATATATAAATATATAAAATACAAGCAACTCTCCAATTATCTGATTTAAATCCTCCTTTTGCAAATATTCTTCACAACTTCCTATAAAGCTTCTAGTTTCCTCAGGGGACTCCTCTCTAGCTAAATTTTAATCTCTGGATGGTGGCCCCAACTATCAAAGTTTTAGCTGAGATTTTAATGGCCAGATTTAAGTCAATTTAACAGATCTAACAGCGGGTGTTCTAATTACATACACCATTAGAGGGCATTATGGGAGGATTAAATTTTTCCTATTAAAACAAGCTGTAGTCCATAAGCAGCATAATTTACCAGCAGGAGAGATTCTGTTGTCCTGAAGGGGTTCACATAAAAAGGCAACTTAAGGAAGAGAAGTCACAGTACTTGACACAACCCAAAGGACGTTTGCTGTTCTTTGGCTGTTCATCTCCCAACAGGTAAAATGCTCTGTATTTCCAGGGCTGTTACTGGTATTTTGCTTTACTTTTTAAGACTGCATGCTATTTATGACTGCAGGGCACTGCATAGCCCAAGGGCTAAGGCCAGGTGGGAGGGTGACTAAAGCAGCTTTGTCCTGCACTGACCCTGTTACCCCAGCCACTGAGATGCTGCTTCTGGGGAATCCAACAGCTCATTGACCAGTGTTTGACTCTGACTTTAGCCTCTTCATCAAATTAAAATTAATCTGGAGACACATTTCATCAAATAATTAGAGGCTCCTTTGGGAAAAGAGGGTTTTGCTCTGGGACTCATTACTTTGAATACTATTGTGTCTTCTTTCTCACAGATGGCCCAGCCAGCAGTAAGGCTTGAAAGTGGGGCAGTAACTAACTGTCATTCATACCATACAGTAGCCATCTAAGACGAGTGACTTCATCCTAGTCTGAGACACCTAGGAACCAGTACAGTTCTCTCTAACTTGGGAACAATAAAGCTCAGTACAAGGCAAGAAAGTAATTTGATAAGGGATTCATCATGGGTTTTGAGTAACCAAATAAATAATAAAAGTAAAAATGGAGTAATTTAGCACAAAATACTATTAAAGTATCAACTTTTTTCTTTAATGGCTAGGAAATTCAAAGCAACCAAGCAAAGGTTTGTTCTCATGTCTCTGAGTGATGAGTTGTATGGTTCCAACATCCATGTTGTATAGGATTAATGATAGAGATACTAGGTTTTCATTAAGAGCTGTTTCATTTTCACTCAACCCAGACTGGTTTTATTTTGAGAGTCCACTGATGTTTCTTAGGATGGGGCTGATTCCCAAACTCCTGGCTGGACTTGTCCTGTTGACTCTATGTGTGGAAAATGGCTCAGGCCAGTACTGGTCCTATGGCGTGCGTCCTGGAGGAAAGAGAAACATTGAACCCTTGGTTGATTCTTTTCAAGAGGTAAGTTCTCTCAGCTTCCCCATGAAGACTTAGTTTATTTCCTTCAATTGAACTGCAGGAACCATTCAGGATGAGCCCCAGTGGCATGGCTCTGTTCTCTACCCTGCATACCCCTAGGGAAAGGAGACTTGTACACAGTAGAAATCCAGTTAATTCCTACTCTGAATTCAGACAGGGACTAGTGAAATAAAGAACAGAATAAATGCCAAGAGAATATCCCTACCAGTACAGGATAGCAGGTCCTACTCTGCATGAAATTCCCAGCGGGCTTAGAAACAATGAGACAAAGCAAAATTCTCTAGCAGAAGTCAATTCTTTGAGATTTGAAAAGAAAACTTTAGACTTTCATTTTTGTTTTCCTTTTTTTTAAAAAAAAATATGCATGTGAAGGCACCCATTGTCAGCATCAGAGAAGAAAGAAAAACATGTATCAGTAGTACATTGTCAGAATGTTTAAGGAAAGATCCTCGTCAGGGATGTCACTTCTTTTTATTGGCAGAAGTGGTTAAACAAAGAAGCTAGAGACTGCTGGAGGCCGGAAACTGGTAAACTTCAGATGACAGCATAGTGGGTAACATGCTAGGATTCATTTCATGTCCATTAGGGCAGCAGCATTAACATAGGGCTCTTGGCTTTTGTACTTTTTATTATTCATAATATAAGACTTCTGAGGGCCAGGTGAATATCAAAGGAGAAAAGCCATTTATTATTAGCTGATTAATTAAAGGGGGCTCAAAAGGAGAAGTTAGAGGATCCCAACACCATTTAGTTTTTACTGGAAATTTCTTTTTGGAGAAATAATAAGAAACTCCAGAGTTCTCAGATGATTTTTAAAGCAAATCTCACTCAACTATGATCGTGAAAGCTAGAAAACAAAATCCAACCCCCTTCGTAGCTATAGACTTTTCAGTTCTGTGTGCTGTTTTTTTTTTTCATGTGGTTCCAAGTGCTTTGCTCACCATCTCCAAGAAGAGAACAGGATCTCTTCTTACTATCTCCTTTATCTCCAGCCCTCCCCTCCACGCTGCAAAAAATGCCTGCTGGCGATGAGTGTCATTAAAATGCCCGTATCAGCCCCTGCAGCCCTCCTGGCCTGCCACTCAGCCCCACAGTCTCTGGGTTGCATCCTTTACAATTTTGGTGGAAAGGGAAAATAGCATTTTCTTTCTTGATCTCCACCTCCAAGAATCACATTCTTTTCTTTCAGATGGCCAAAGAGATTGATCAACTGGCAGAACCCCAGCACTTTGAGTGCACCCTCCACCAGCCTCGCTCTCCCCTCAGGGACCTGAAAGGAGCTCTGGTGAGTTGAGGTCATAGAAATACAGAGCTGGGGAGGCTCCTGGGGATCACTTTTGACAACTCTCTCCTAGCGATGGGCAGCTTATCGTTCTGAAAGCTGGGACCCCTCCTGCAGGAATGCTTGATTTTCTCCCACTGTTCGGTTAGACAGCACCTGTGGCTGGAAACCCTGTTGAGTTGAAATCTTTCTATAATCTTATCTGTGACTCTGGCTCCAACCTTTGAGATGACCAGCAAAACAAATTTCTTCCCACTGATCTATGTCTACTTCTTCAAGTGTATTCGTTCCGTGAACCCTTCAACAACTGTCCTCCATCCAAGGCTGATCCTTGTCTCTCCACTTGAGTCATCAATTGTTCTAGGTCATAGTTTTCCAGGACACTGGGCAATGTAGAAACCAGAAATGGTCTAGATTTGTTCTTTCTCTTTTTGGCTTAAAAACCTCCAAGTTCATAAACTTATATACAGCAGAGTCAGAGTTGATTTTTAGTGTTCTCTGCATACAAAATTCCCACTAAAAATTAAAAACCACCAATCTAATATAGGCTTTTGATGAAAAAATATTGAATGTTGAAATTAAATCTTGACGTCATCTCAGTGTTCTTTCTCTCAGCTCCATGCTCCACTTAACCTGCAGCAGTCAGGAGGCATTACGGTTAACTACCAACTATATGCCCCAGGAGCAGGGAAAGTCTGAGTAAATCAGACATAAATTTATAATTTTCTCCAGTGATTTCAACTTCCATGCCCACAGGATACAGAAAAAAGGCCAGCGCAGACATCTTTATCTCCTTTCATTGTTAAATTCTGCTTACTGCCTGATAAAAATAACAAGCAGTGAAATTAACCAAACATGACATTATGAAGGAATAGAGGCAGACTGCTTAATCACAAACTCACTGATCAGATCAGCTCTTTGATCAGCTCCGTCCACACATCCTGTCCTTAAATATTATTAATGTAGGCTTCATGTTTATTAGGCAGCTTGAAAAGACACAATATCATACCTCCCTAGCACTTTCTAGTGCATGATAACAAATGGGCCCGTTCCTCCTATATCTGTCTTTTAGAAATGCAAATATCAAAAAAGCAATGAAACCCAGCTTGTCAATAAACGTTCCTGTATTTGTTACTTACCTGTTTTTCAGGAAAGTCTGATGGAGGAGGAAACAGGGCAGAAAAAAATTTAAATCCATTGGACCAGAAGGATCAACATTTAACACTGAAAATGAAATTTGTGAACCCTAAAATATCTATATATTGTGTGGATTTTGGAACTTCTCACATCAATATGCACATATTTCAAAATAAAGTTCTGTGTTGTAAATAAAGTGATATAAATGTCAAGTCTTTAACTCTGAGCTCTGAAGGGCAGGCCATGGTAAGCCCCCCAAAGGGAACTCCACCTCCCATGTGCAGAGGTGCAGACAGGAAGATGAGATGACACAAGTGATTTCTGTTAACTAAAGGGGTTGCTCTCACAGCTCACACCCGCCCCTGCCCTGCATCCACAGGAGGGGATGGCCATAGAGCGGATGGCCATATATAGAGACCCAGGCCAGAGCCAATTTAGTGAATTCTATGACATTGCAACTTCATCTCTGATCATTCTAACAAGTTAGAATGGAGCTGTACCCAAGGCTTCCTGCCACTTGGAAAGAAGTTCCTGCCCTAGGTTGTCCCCACTAACTTTGAAATAAGCTGGAGACCCAGTGAGGCCCAGGGGATGCGGTGCCCTGCAGATTCCTGGCCCCTTGCTTCTCTATGAGTCCAAATGATCTGTCCAAGTTGTTGAGATTTGAGACTTAGGTCCACTTTCTCCTGCTAATAAGGTACCTGTGATTACATACTTCACAAGGAAAAGAGTTTTTTGTTTTTTGGAGGCAGTCTCACTACGTAATGCAGGCTGGCCTTGAACTCACAGTGTTCCTCCTGCCTCAGCCTTCCAAGTGCTGGGATTACAGGCATGCACCATGCCTGGCAAGAGGTTCATTTCTGCTCATGGCTTTGGAGGCTGCCAACTCTGAGCTGAGGAGGCCACATCTGGAGAGTCTTGTGCTTTGCTGTAACATGGAAGAGGGCATCGCATGGGGAAAGAATATGCGAAGTGGTGAGGAGTGGGCACACCCTGTGTCTGGCCTCACTTTACCATAACTCACACTCCAGGAAACTGATTCAGTTCTGCAAAACCAAATCCACTTCCATGAGACAGGCATGAACCCCTGGCACTGTGACTTAATGGCCTCCAACTTCTTAAAGCTTCTACCACCTCAGCACCTCTCCTTTGGGGACCAAGCTTCCAGCATATGAGCCCTTGAGGGGACGCAACGAATCCAAATCATAGGAGGGATCACGGTTTAAAAGTAGTGGTGCTCACCCACCTGACCTTTTTGGCATTTCATGTGAGAAAGAGAAGTATAGACCATGCCTTAGAGGTAGGACCCTGAAGCTTCCATGTGCCTGGCAGCATCGATACCTGTATACTCCATAAAGGTCAAATTCAAGCCTTGCACACAAGTGCTTTCAACAGCAGGAGATGGAAAACAGACACTGGGTGCTCATTCCTCTAAAGCGAGGAACAGACTCTGCTTAGGAACCCACTCTGGGGTCCAGTTCATCACTGTGTTGCCCTGGGATACATAGTCAATGAGACAGCATCCTTGGAGCCGGGTTCTTTGGTTAACTGGAACCGAAAAAGGGTACTAGGGCTCCCTGGTCATTAGCTTTATTGGTGGCCAATTCTTCACAAGGCTCCAGACACTATGACACTAATATTTTCATTTATCCTCATAATTTCTAAGTAGCTTATGAGACTTCCTGAAAAACTTAAAATTTCAGATAATGCCTGAGCATCAAACTGACATGGGATAGTTTTAGGTCTCCCTTCCCCACCTTTCAATCGGGCAAATGAAACCTCTTCATTCTCCACCTCCCTGCCCTTCCAAGCCAGAGCAGGAAGGGACCTGGGCTAAGAAACTGCAGTAGGCATCGGAAACATGTCTCCATCACTGGGCAGAAATAGAATAGAATGTTAGAATAGAAATACTCGCCACTGCACAAAAGTGTTTCCCAAGTATCTGCATTTGAAGAATCTCTAAAACTGGATCCATTGACTTCTGTATTCCTCCCACTTTACTAAAACTAGGCAGCAATGTGATCCGTAACCTGCTTGTAGAACAAAAGCTAACTGCATCAGTTCATCAACCCACGCACAGGAGTCAGGACAGGTTTTCACTTGTCAAACACTCAGTATTTATTTTTATGAAAACAACATAATTTACAGTATTTACATTAATGAACACATCTTTAGAAAGACAACACAGCCACTTAATTTACACATCCCGACTATAGAATAAAGTGTCTTGGGTCAAACCTTGTATCTGCTTCAGAGCTGAGCTTCCCTGAATAGGATTAGAAAGATGCTCAGCAGGCAGCCTGATGCCTGTGTCACAGGCTTGGGATGGCATCTGATAGTCTGCAACTTATGGAGGTGAGCATGTTGGGCACACTTGATCTCCAAGTGACCCGAAGGGAAGGAGATCAGAGAAAATGGTGCCTCTAGCAAAATGTTACGCATTTCCCTGAATCTAAATGGAAAGAGGAGGGGGAGGGAAAGGGGAGGAGACTGCAGCCTTTTAAAATAAAGGGTTGGGACACACACCAAATGATGCATTTCATGGTAGGTTTTTCAGCTGATACGGTTTTAAATGACCCTGTAGCAAATAGAATGGCTTGAACACAGATCACAATTTTAGCAAAATTTTAGAATTTTAGAAACCCTAAAAGGAGTCTGGAGAAAAGCTGAGAACAGCTGCATGAGATTGGCATTTGGGAGCATATAGGTATTGATGCTGACCAAAAAAGCAACTCTGAAGGATTTATGAGTGGGGACCCTAGACCCCAAAAGATTCCCCAGGTCTGTGATACAGATTCAGAGCCCAAGTCATAATCAGTGTAAATAGGTGTTTGGATGACACTTAGGCACACAGAGTGGAACATTACTGCTTCTAAAACATAATACCTTGCAAATGTTTTAAAGCACTAGAATACTTTGCACACACTCTCTCTCTTTTTTCTCTTACACAGAAGCCCAGGGCTTAAGCCATATTACTGAGGGCAGCCAGTCACCCTCTAGTCTGACCTACACCTGCCAGGATTTTATCCACACCTACACTATCGATTTTCCAAAGCTGTACTTCCTCCAAAGTAAGGCTTTCTCAACTTTGGTCTAACATTCAAATCAATGAGATGTGGAAGGATTACATTTGGTGATGCTTGTCCCCTCAGAACTTACGACGGCACAGGCTTCAGACGTTACCTCTCCCCAGGTGACACTAAGGTTCAGCCTGGATGGGGACCAGCTCCTTTCCTCTCCATAATTGTTATTAGATGCTGACTTCTTCATCTTGCTTTATCTCTGCCTAACGTGATACAATGAGTGAAGAGAGAGTCTGCATCCTTTAAATAACCATCATCAGAAAGCTGTCAGCTCAGACACCAAAGGCATGGATAGAGGGTTGGAAAAAAACCAAAGGCTTCACAGTTTTTATTACTTCCAGGGAGAGACGATGACTCGGGACCCCACAATACAAGTTTTAACTACTGGGACCTGTCACGAAGCGAGCCAGAGGGACCCTGGGTACAAGAGGTCTCAAGGGAGGGATCAGTAAGGAAAAATTTTAGGGTTTATGATTTTGCTTTACTATTATAACAGGAATAACAAACTAAACACATAATAAATTTTAACATACAGTTCCATTTTTAATTTAAAAAATAAATAACAGCAAATCTGAATAAAACTCTTCTACTTTGATGTACATCTTCCTAAATGTCCATGTTGAAAATCCAACTAGTTATAAAATCAAGGCAAGAGCACTCTGCACAAAGGCTGGAGGAACAGATCCCAAGAGATGACCGAGTCGGTGACTGTGGCAGCGCATGTGAGAGACCAGCTCTGGGTGGACCTGGAGAGCCTTGGCCTGAGGGAAAAAAACCTGTTCCTTCCAGAGATTAGAACTGACATGCAACTCTGAGCCCACCCAAGGAGAAACTTCACTTCTTCTAACTTTAAGTAACAGACTTAGAGCAGAATGAGTTTCCTAGGATGCCATACCTACGATCTTCCTAAATCACACAGGGAAGGCAGGCATGATTTTTAAAATGTCTAGACTGGAAGTCTAAACACGGTGGCCAGGATGGTGAAAGCGGAAGGTTGCTGTAATCTGAATGCCACTGTTTACAGGTTGCTGTGGACAATTATGCTAATTTGTGTCACTACCGTAAAAACGGTGCCAGATTCATTATTACAATATTCATAAATCTTTTGATCTTAACCAGGAAGGCATGGGAGGATCAAATCACCTTCTCTTTTGGTTCGCTTAGAACGAGGACTGCAAAGATTTAAACAAAATCATGCAGCCAGGATGAAGAGAGGGAGAGACTAAGAATGTACTTGTGAAAAGGAACAAAATCTTTACAGTCTTGAGTTTGTGTTGATGGTGGCATTTTTTTCTCCCATTTTCACGGTACCTGAGAGCGTCAGGGAGGAAGGCACACACCTGGAAGGACCTTCTAATTGCTTTCACAAGATAGTGCCATAGGCACCTCCTGGTGAGCTGGAAAAGTCAGGTCTATGGCTGAGAGGTGGAGACAGGGGTGCCCAGCAGTCTAAAGACCTGCCCATCTGCACTCCTAAAATACATGCACTTTGTATAAACTGTGTGTCGATTTAAAAATAAGCCACACCCTACCTGGAGGCAATTAAAGGGGGAAGACTCCCATTTTGAGGAGAGTTAGCAATTGCAGGTTGTTATTTCAAGCCTGCTCACATCCTGCTTCATCTAAGGGATGGGCACTGCGGCTGTGGTGCTAGCGAATCTCCCTGGGGGAAGAAATGACTGGCTCTGGAGTCAAGTGGGGAAGGCCACAGTGAGGAGCAACCTATGGCCCAGAAGTCTTTTTGAGGGCTCATTTTCATCTAATGCTCTAGACTCTGCAATCCCACAGCAGACCAGAGTGATCATACCAGTATCTTTACACACTGGGCTGTTTGCACTGACTATTCCCCCCCACCCCCGCCACATCCCCAAGGACTAGCATGATGTCTAGTACCTAACTTCCAATAAGAACTTTACACATGTTGAATGAAACAATTGAAAAAATATCCCAAAGCAAGACAAGTCATCAGGTTATAGGCAGGGAGAGAGGGAAAGAAAAAAGAATAACCACCACCGCAAACCAACCAACCATCAACCAATATTCACAAAGGTTCTGCCAATTTGGGAAATAATTTCAATGTCTTTCAACATGTAAGCAAGGAAAATAAAAACTCTTCCTGTTTCTATTTTATATTTAATGTTATCATAAGGAACTTCTTTGTAGGCTCCTCTTTGACTCTGGGACATATATGAGTTTTTAATCAAATATGACTCTTTCCTACAGCATAACTTCCCAAAGAAATGAAGCCTGCTACATCCTCTATAATCTAGTACCCAAAGCACTACCTGGCATCCGTCACGTTCAGGCTGTTGAGAGCTATTGTTCTCATTAACTTGGAAAGGGAACCGTATGGAAAAAAATATACTGTAGCAACAGAAAAGCTGCCGGACACTGCTGGACCTGAACTCCCAGCTTCTGTTCTAAGACCAGGCTGCTGCTTACACTGAGCTGGGATCGCAGGTGGGAGGTTTGTTTGTTGGGGCTCTATTTTTCTATTTTAATGGCAGTCTGCCATGGAGGTGAGACAAGTTTCTTCTGGCCAGCCTGTTAGGTGACTTTTCAGAAATAGTGCTAGGCACCAGGGAAGCCTTCTTAATCTTTCTCAGCAGGGCTTAATTCCTTCCACTTAAAATCCTCTCCAATTCCTATGAGCACTCTCTGATTATAAATAACCGTATAAAAAGACAGCATGTCTGGAGAAGGGCTGTAATGTCCAGAACTAACCCATGCTTACACCCCAAATCACTGAGTAATACAGAGTATCGACGATGGCCTTAGAACGGTCTCGATCTCTCTGAGCCTAGCCATCGTGTGAGACCTCCGCGTTCACACGTTCCGCCCCACTGGGGTGCCACGACCAGATGGAAGGTCCTGACTGTCCTCATTTTGAAAAGTGAGAAAAGGAAAGCTCACAGAACTTAAGATGCTTGGAGAGTCTGCAAAGCGAATAGGTGACACGGCTGGTATTTGAAACCAAACAGGATGAATTCCAAAGTCCGTGTTTTTGCGCAAAGTCCTCCTTGATCACACTGTAGGTTTTCCTGGCCTGGAGCAAGGACTAAAGATTTTGTGCCACTTGTAGAATATGGATGTTAATTCAGTAAGCAATGCCAGGGACCTGGTTCACAGGCTTTTTGCTTCCTCCACTCTTGTGATGAAAGAGTAACACAGGTTGGGGTGGAACAAGGCAGGCGGGGGCTCACAGCTGAAATCTCTCTCTGCTCTCCTGACCTTGGAGGTCAGGATTCGGGGCAAGGTTGGAGAGACTCCTGGAGGGCTCCCCTCATTTGGACCTTTGCCATCAACACCTAAGTGTTGTTTCGGCGAGGGCTGGCATTAAAGATTGTCTGAGATGCCCTCTGGAAGGACGCATTTTCTGCATGCAGCCCAAGTCAGTCAGCTGAGCTATGAGTAAGAATCTGTACTGCCGCTTTCTGTGTGTGACCTTTATTTCCTTATCTACAAAGTGGAGGGCTTTTTCCTTCCATGACCTTTAAAATACTTCAGCTCAAAACATCTGTAACTTCAGGTTGTTACTGATGAGTAGGTAATTTTTGGTCATCCAAAACATTCCACTTATTCTTCTGAAAGGAGTACTGACATTAGTACCATTAGCAAGGGATCAAATTAAATCCATGACCAAGAGGAATAAATAATCAATGGGAAAAACTGCACTGTGTTCTCCAGGGTAAAATCAGGCAGCAGACAGGGGCTGTGGAGTCATGGGATGTGGACCAAAAGCTGTTGGCCATGGACTCCTAGGTCTTGTACACTGGAGACTTGCACTCAGAGAAAGAAACAGGACAAGACACTGTGCAAAAGAGCAGCCAAAGAACCTGCAGCAAGAAGAAGCAATGCTGGACAGTGCAGGTCACCGGTCAGGAGTGTGGTCAAAGTCACGTCCATCATTTTTCAGTGGCAATTGCTAGTCACACCTCAAAGCACCCTATCTCCACTAAAAATGTGTTTTCACATCGAAAGAGACACAGTAGACATGAGGGAGAAGCTCATGCAGGCTCCCAGAGGGCACTTGGCATCCATCTCTTCCGAGAGGTTGGATGGGGCAGGGATGCATGCGTGGGAGGAGTAAGAAATGTCAAGCTCAGCTTTTCAGGAGCAAAGCGAAATCCATCCAGGAGTCGGTAACTGGGGCTGCACAAGGACAGATCCAGACCTCTGCAGATGCCTGTGATTCTGCAGCAGAGGCTGAAAGGCAATCATGGCACAGGACATGGCCAATTCTGAAATTCTGTGTGGGCTGCAGCAGATGCACATGGACCCAGACATTCCAAAAGAACAAATCCAGTGGTTTTTTTTTTTTTTTTTTTTTTGTCTTTTTATCGGTACCGGGGATCGAACTCAGGACTGCCTGCTTGCAAGGCAGGCGCTTATGCCGCTGAGCTAAATCCCCAGCCTCAACAAATTCAGTTTTGAGCTGGTAAACATCCCAGGTCAGGAAAGGCAGCTGGCAGGGAGGCCTGAGTCCTGAGGATGCGCTCCCAGGAGACGGGATCTTAGGCAGCAGCTGTCCAAGGCACTCGGAGTTACAGGAGTGAAGGCAGAATCCTCACTGGGATCCAGGCTCAGAAGACAGGATGCTAGACTTCCGGGTCTTTGGAGGTGGTGGGGGTGGGACTTTGGCTTCTCTGCGGACAGGAAGTGGAGGTGCGATCTGAGGAGCAGACATACGACATCAGAAACAAGTCTCCTCTTTCTTCCCAGTCCTGCCCCCTCCCTACCTCCCACATTCTGCTGTAGCTCTGGATGGATCTGCGTTTAACTTTGCAGACCTCTGCAAGGTGCAGAGGTAAATGAGACCCAAGTATCCTTGTTTTCCTGGAACTGATCTCTCTCTCACTCTCTCTCTCCCCCGCTGTATTCTCAATACTTGGGCACCTGGCATATACAGAGAAGACAGTACATATTTGCTGAATGAAGGAAAGAAACCCAGCTAAGCCCACGCCATAACAACTGTTTCTCATTCAGGAGAAGTGACTCTTCAGTGTGAACTAGAACTCACGTCACAACCTGTCATGAGGGGCAGAGGGGCAGAGAACCATCCTGCTCCGGTGGCATGGAAAGATCTGCCTGCACCGTGCCTGCCCATCTCTTTGGGGAAGGAACCAAGGATCCCTACAGGGACAAGTGTGTAGGAAAACCTGTCCTCTCAAGAGCGTGGAGCACACTCTGTGGTCTCCTCAGGAGAGTGTCCCATAGCATCGCTGCCCACTGTGCATCCCTACCTCGGTGGAGTTCCGCTGGCTGCTCTCGTAGGGCTTGCTTTTTGGGGGAGGCGGAGGTGGGATAGAAGGCACCAGCCCATCTGCCTGCAAAGACGGGGAGCCTGGAAATGACACAAAGCAGATGGAAGTGGACAGAAGGATTTATCAAGGACTCTCAGAGAAATAATGCCACAGTAACAACCCAAGCAGCCCAGTCAATGGACTTTACAGGGTGGACTACATAGGAGGACTTTACAGGGAGAAAGAAGAAGGTTGCTCAATGATAAAGACAGCGACCTTCACTCACCAGAAGGCTTCGCAAGGAATTCTGAAGTCAAACTTCCATGTTCTGCTCAGAAGTTTTTTACTATTGAGCTGCAGGTGAGAACACCTCTGGAATTTAGGGTATCCCTGTGCTATCTGATACACCCCAAGCGTTCCAGAAGACCTTATCTAATGAACTCTAACTCCTGCCTCCCACGAGGCAATGGCAGATATATCCTTTCACCTTGCATCTTGTGCTGCAGGCACCTTACAGTTTTTCCTAAGTGTTGTGCACTGCTGCGAGTAGTAGAGGGCATGAGTCTAGTTCTCATCCATGAACAGGTCTAACTACTCAGTAACTAGCTGAGTTACTCCCTGTCTGTCTGGTTCGAATCTGAGCCTATATCTCATTTATTCCTCTGCAACTGGATAGAGGATATTCAGAACCTTGGGATCACCGTTCAGCAAAATTAAATGATCTCACGACAGCCCAAGAATCATTTACCAATACCCAGTTGGTAACTGGGGACAGTAAATTGAATCAACCTTGCAACAGTTCTGTATTATTTTTGGCTGGCTTGATTAAAAATTGCCCCGACTCATAACCATAATCCCTCAAGGTAAAGAGTATGAAAGGCACATGAAACTTACTTAGGGTCCTGGTCGATTTGGGAGTGAGCGGAGGTGGGCTCAAGGGAGTGGAGTGGGGTGGTGACGAGCTGGGAAACGGTGTTAGGCGACTGTCCACCAGCTGGAGACTCTTCGGCCTTTGTGTCTTTCTGGCCGGGCTCTAGCATCCAGGAGGAAAGCCCAGTGAAGCACCCTCCCGGAGAGGAAGGCCGAGCCTACCAATGCCCTGACCAGCTCTGTCTGTTGAGGGGAAACTGGGAGAAGGGCTTAATTCCAGGAGCTGGTTTTAAGGTTCCACATGGCTAGGTACCAAGCAGAGACCCTAACTAAGAACCCCTGGGCCACGGACTCTTTCCTAGCAGCCCTCTGGCTTCACTGTGCCCACAGCTGGGCTATCATTTAGTTTAGCAGTGAGCCACCCTGGTTCTCAGGGAAAGGTGGTCTCACTGCGCTTAAGTTGATGTGGCTTCTGGAACAATTTTATTTTTAAGATAAAAGAAGAAAAATGACAGTTTTAACTGACTTGCGGGACACAGTGGCAAGAACCACAGCCCCAACCAAGCCCACATCACCTTGTGGGTCTGAGACCTTGAGCTCACACTGACTCAGCACCCCGCTGAGTCTCCACACTGCTTTCCTCCCTCCATCCAGATTGACACCAGATAAGCCACACTCAGGCTTCTCCTGGCTACCGGGGACTCCCTGCCCTGCAGCCCAGCGACACGCCTACTCTGAGGCCAGCACGGGGCCCTTGATGCTTTCTGTTTATTTCCACTGATTTCACTCTTTACCATCAGATCAGGGTCCACAGCCTTCTCCGAAATGACCTGGGACTTGCTCAGACTCCAGTCTTTCCGCTTGAACTTGGCGGTCCGGGTCTCACTGTCCTCTTTGAAGGTCAGTTCTTCCACTCTGGCACCTGAGGAGGCCCTGCGCTCAAACAGCGGCTCCAAGACGGACCTATCAGCCAGGACAAGGGACACAGATCATAAAACACTGATTCCTCAACAGCGGGAAGTCACTCCAAATTAGAAGGGGCACAGCTCACAACCTGACCGCTACCCATCCCTTCCCCTCTGTCTTTTCATATGAGGTGCATTGGGTGCCTTTAAGGGATGAAAAAAAGGGATCCTAGGAAACACAAACACATGAAGCACGTATTACTTAATATCTGGGAATTCTAAACGTTAAAAATAATAAGGTCACATACTACGTATGGCATTACACGCTGGCACTGGTAATTAACATCAAGAATTGTAAACCCATCTGTCCCCTGAGAGGTCAGTGTATGGCTTCTTCTAAACATTCATACTGAGTAAAAACCGAAAGCTACCATGTACAAACATCTGTTATCATTTTTATTAAAATATTTTTTATATTGACAGGGATATTATTGCATTAAAATTTAAATGAACTTTTATGATTGCTTAGAAATAATGATAGAGCTTATATGTTTCACAGTAGGAGAAGGATTACGGAGAGTGTGTTGTATAATGTAAGCCCTAAAAATAATAAAATTTGGCATAAAGAGAAATTATACAACTACTTGGGAAACACCTCCTGATATACAGACAGGGAGGAAAAGCAAGGTGCTGAACTATGTCTAGGCTATAGCTGGAAATAGGAAGATAGATCTCTGTCAGTGGAAAAGGATGTATAAATAATATAGGAAATATCTGACTTACAGGGAAGGTGCTAACCAGGTAGGTTACTTAAATGATATGATAATGTGAATTAAAAATTTACCAAAAGTTAACTGATGACTTATATTCAACACCATTTCAAATACTTGGTGTACAAATATTCATCATTTATATTAGATTAAGTTGTCCACAAAACTGTGTAGGCACTGTTTTGGCACTTGGATAAGTATGTATACAGTTTTTTTATATTAATAACCAGATCTTAACAGTAGTTATCTGAGTAACAAGTATAACACATTTTTCTTTTATGTTTCCATATGAACATATGTTAACTTTGTAATCCGTTGGAAATAACTTTATGTAGAAAGGATGTAAAATAATTACTTTTTGGAGGGTGGTGGTGTTGGGGATCAAATTCATGACCTCACATTTGCCAAGCAGGCACTTTAAAATAATTACTTTTAAGTGTTTACATTTGAACATAATGAAAGGACAGCCCATACTTTTGGCAAGGAAATTTCAACATTAAAAAACCATTAATCTTCCTAAAGTTAGTCCATAAATTTAGCACGATCTGAACAAAAATAACAGGATTCCAGATAAGCTAATCCAAAAGTGGAAAACAGCAAAACTAGTCAGATAAATCCTGACAAGCAAGATAAAAAATGAAAAATGATTTAAATCTGTAGTAATTCAAACTGCATAATATTAGCATACAAATGGACAGGAACGTCAAGAAAATAGGGGGAAAAGTCCACACAAACCAAATAAATACATTTGATTTGTGAAAAGACTGACAATTCCAGTTAGCCGGCAAGAAGAGGAAGAAAACTGGGTAACGATTTGGAAAAGAAAAAGGCTGGCTCCTTATCTCACAACTAGTATCAGAATAAATTCCAAAGAATCAACAGATTTAACTGTGATTGAGAAACAGTAAAAATTGATGAAAACGTCAGTGCCTTTTTTATTATCTTAGAGTGGAGAAGTCTTTTGGGTTATAAAATCCAGAAGTCAAAAAATAAAATGCAGACTTACATGACTAAAAATCAGTGCAACTCAGTAACAAGTTAGAAATTATATTCAAGTCAAAATACAAAGAAGAAATTCATAGCACAAATGGCCCACAATCCAACACAGAAACAGATACAAAGCATTTGACCTTGGTTCACAGTAATAAAATTCAATTATTAACAAATGAAAAGATTCGCAATGTCACACAGAAAATACCTATACAGGAAAATATTTTATATAACAACAATAACAACAACAGAAAGCAAATGAAAAACTCCAACATTTTCCCCCTATCAGACTAGCAGCAATTACAAAGACTGGTGTGAGAAGCTTTGGTGGGACAAGGGCATAGGTAACCATGGGAACTGGCCTAATCGTACAGAAGTCTGCTTAGGAGTAATTTTCAAAATTGCTAATGTTTATCTTTGATAGGACAATTTCATATCTAGGGCTTTTCTCATCTGGAAATGCTTGGGTTCCAGTGCAGAAGTGCCTTTGCATCCTCCCAGGACCCAGTCACAGGAAGATAACAGGATAAAGCTTTTGGGAGGAGGTGGACCCAGTGGGATGCCTTTAGAGCCCTGGGAACCCCGACAGGGTTGTTAGCAAAGGATGGAGTCTGCAATGTCCTTTCTCCACATGAGCCACTGCCACCTGCCACAGGCCTTTACCTGAGCCTGCCCTCTGCTGTCTGCACTTCGGTGCTAAACCTGGGAGCTTAAGGAACTTTTTTGCTTTATAAAGCAGGCTGCCTCTTGTATTTCATTGTAGCAACGAAAAACTGACTAATACATCCATCAGTTGGTTGCTGGAGGCCTGAATCATGGTACAGACATGAGATTCCTGCAGCTTCTGAAAGCATAGGAGGAGGTTCCTTGTGTTGTGAGATTGCCGTGATTTTTAAGATATATTACATTTAAAAAGCAAGGAAAAGAGAATGCTATTTTTATGTTTAAAAAGCATAGGTGGCCAGGAAAAGTGGCACAAGTCTGCAATCCCAGTTTCTTAGAACGCTGAGGCAGGAGGATTGTCAGTCAGCCTAAGTAGCTTAGTGTAGGGCTGGGGATTTAGCTCATCGGCATAAGCACCTGCCTTGCAAGCAGGCAGTCGTGAGTTCGATCCCTGGTACTGCTAAAAACGAAAAAGACAAAAAAACAAAACAAAAAAACTAAGTAGCTTAGTGAGACTCTGTCTCAAAATATAAAAGAAAAAGGGGATGGAGAGGTAGCTCAGTGTAGAGTGCTTCTAGGTTTTGAACCCCCATAGCATACACATAAAAAAAAGGTGTGGGGAAGAACATACACTTAGACGTTGCTGTGTTTCCTGCGAAGAGCTGGGTGCCTGTGGCTGGGAGCCCAGGATCTCAGGGAGATTCTTCATGATGTAATCTTCTACCTTTGGAGTTTCACACTATGTGATCGCATTACCCACTGAGTAAATTGTAAAACTATTTTTAAACATTGGAACGACCCAGAGGCTAACAGCTGCGTGCTCTAAATTAGTTTCCTCAGAGGACTCAGGCACCTAGATGGACTAGAGGACTCGGCCCAAGTCTCACTCTGGGGACCAAAGACAAAGCGAAGGTGGCCCCGCCCCCACCTCCAGAGGAGTATGGGTCCCAGCTTACCCATCAGATCCCGGCCTGGAAGGAGCATTATCAGAGGAGTTGGAGGAGGTGGAAACCACAGAGGAAGCCACGGAGGTGACAGACAGCCTCCGTAGTGTGGAGGACATGATGTAGGGCAGGACCAGGGACCCCGTGCTGCTCTGCTTCTTCTCAGGAAAGTTGGGTGGCTGAAAAACACGGGGTTCCTCGGGTCAACAGGCACAGAGCTCAGCCCATGCGATCCGGCCCACGCGTACTGGTTTTGTTGTTTTAATGAAACACTGGCTTAAGGAAATCTGCACAGCTGTAGCTGAACCTGGAGAATCTGCTGATGCACTTCCACAAGAAATGTCACCCAGGGATTACCCCAACAGGATACCATGCTCAACTTACTTGCTAATCCTGGCCTGCTTCTGATAATGCCTGCATTTAGCTGGGTAAAGATTTAGTCCTGCCGTCTGAAACTTTTGTGCAAAAGATGACAACCGGACATTGACCAGGGAAGTTCTCGCTTGCCATGATCAAATGTCACGCTATCGTTTGTCAGTATTTTCATGCCATACTGTTCTGACTCTATTCTGACTCTTTTGGCATCTGAAAAAACCTCAGCAGCATCAAGAAACCCAGAGCTAGCAGCAGTTAAGAAGTGAATTTATGGGGAGAAAGCAGGACCAAGCCCCTGGCTGACTGAAAGAGAGGGTTAGAAAGATCCTCAGGAGAGAAGTGTAAAGGGCCCGAAGGAAGAATTTGAAAACCAGAGGCTCAAGAATAAGATTGCTGAAGAGAGCAGAGCAAACTCAAGGACCAAAGAGCAGAGCAGCAACCTAGAACCAGCAATACAATTGCCAGCTGAGGGATGGTTAGCGTGTGCATTGCTCACCCAAGCTCCTCAGCAAGGGAAGAGAAAATCACAGATGCGGAAATGTGTTAAGCCTGGCAGAGCAATCAGTTGGATGTGTTATAAAAAGTAGTTGACAATTGTTTTCCCCTTTAAAGGCACAAAAGCTGTGAGTTTATCAAAATAGAAAAGATTTGGAAAAGCTAAAACATAGGAGTGGCCAGTGGCTGGGGTTAAGAAAAACTCAACTGCAAGTCTTGGGATTCTCAAAGTGCTGTGGCCAGCTGTGTCACCTCCGGATCCCCTGGAAACTTGTTAGAAAGATAAATACGTGGGCCACATAGATCTGTGGGATTAGCAACTCTGGGGATAAGGACTGGTGATCTGTTTTCACAAGCCCTACACTAGATGGGAGGGACATACCAGTTAGAGAACCTCTATCTAGCACAAGGACAGTTCAAGGTCATCAAAAGCAGACCACGAACTCTGTTCCTGCCCACATTTTCATGCCTAACCCACACTAGTCTGACTCACTCGGCACCTGAAAACTTGGCCAATGGCACAGAGGAGAGTAGAAGAAGCTGGAGGGCTGCTTAGACAAAGCCTACCAGCGTGATGACCCCGTAGAGCTTCTCTACTTTCTCCTTGAGTTCCCGGAAGCACGAAGACAACCGGTCATGTAGGGGCCTGAGCTGCTCCGTCAGCTTCTCCCCGTGGATTCGGATCCCTTCTGTGAGCAGAGGCATCTGCAAGGCAGGGAATAAAAGACATGAGGTATGGTTTAGAAGAGGGACAATTCAGATTTGGAGGTTGGGGGAGGGCAGAGGTGGGGCTGGACAGGTTAAGTGGCAGACAGGGCTACCAGTGAGAATTCAGCTCTCAGTGGACTGCAGGTGCTCTGGTCAAGATTCCAAGAATTTACACACCAAGGCTAGAAGAAAGCCCCGAACTCGGGAAGAGCTGAAGAGAAGGCAAAGCCATCTGAGCTTGGGCCTTTCTGAGGATGGGCACTGACAGGTTTTGGCCCCAGACTCAATTTAATGGCTGCATTTTCTACCACCGTCCACTGAAACAAGGAGGAAGGAAAAAATGACGCCCACATAAGCCGGGCATGGTGGCTCACGCCTGTAATCCCAGCACTCGGGAAGCTGAGGCAGGAGGACCATTTCGAGTTCGAGACCAGCCTGGGCTACAAAGTCAGCTCAAGGCCAGCCTGAACTGCATGGAGAGACCCTGTCTTAAAAAGACAAAAATGAGGGGCTGGGGATTTAGCTCAGCGGCATAAGCGCCTGCCTTGTAAGCAGGCAGTCGTGGGTTCAATCCCCGGTACCAATAAAAAAAGAAAAAGACAAAAATGAATGAATGAATAAATAAATATGACGCCCACATCTCTCTGTTCCAGGAAGGCACATTTCAACACTGTGCCACTCCTTACCTCCTCTGCCAAATGGATACACACACACAGGCTGCAGTCCCACGGAGTTTAAAGGGAGAATAAAGGAAACTCAAAAGTGGCTATGGAGACTGAAGCCCTGCAGAGCGGCTGGGAGCCAGGGGCTGGCCAGGGGCTTCCCTGACCACTGACCTGTAATGCTATCAGCCTCTTCAGTAGTTCCACCTTCTCCTGGTCCTCGGGGTGCTCCTGTAGGTATTTTTCTGTAAAGAAAGCCTAAAAACACAACATGCACAATCACTGAGTACAGGACACTCCCATCAGTGCCCCGAACGCTACCAGAGAGACGGGACGCGCCCAGAGGTGAAAAACATCCTTGCCTAGTTAGCAACGCCTCTCTATAAACGCGCTCCTTTCCTGGGATGGCGGTCCCACAGTGGATGATATTTAAAAAATATGTCCCATCTGTGGTCTTTGTGGAATCAGGAAAATTCTTGTGAGAGTTCATTCTCAATAATCACCAAGCTCCCACACTCACTCATTAAATAAGAATCACCAGCAAAGCAAAATAATCACTAAAACAACAGTGTTTCCAAAGGATGAAGAAAAGACCAAAAACTCTAAAACTTTTAGTTAAATTAAGTGTGTAGATATCATTAGGAAAAAAAACTCAGAATGTTAACAACAGGCAGGAGATGGAGCTCATAGATTTTTTGCTCTCTTCCCCCTGACTCCAACTGTATCACACATTTTTTCCGCCAGGGAGTGAAGGTAAGTGTCTTTACATCTCACTACTCAAAAAGGGAGTTCTGAAAACAAAACAAGATACAGACATCAGGACATCTGAGGATAGCACCGGCTGGTTGCTCTCACTATTTAACATCAGCAGCACGTTTATTACAAATATCAGCCACCATGTAAGGCAGTGGAACACAGAAATAAGCCCTAACCCAAACACAGGCTGTACCTAGCTGAATAGCTAAGGACAGACTTACTAGGAAAGAAAAAGAGACATCTGCAGTATACATTTCCAGCAGGAGTTGGATATTTTCTCTTGGGACCTTAATCTTCATTTTTGGAGATGTTTTTTAGTGGGTATTGGGATTGAACCTGGGGTCCTTGCATTAAGCTACAGCCCCAATCTCTCCCCTGCCCCACATCAACTTTTTTGAGGTTAAGTTCTAATTTGCCCAGGCTAGACTCTAACTTTGTAATCCTCCTGCCTCAGCCTCCCAGAGTGCTGATACTACACATGTGTGCAACCATGCTTGGCTTGAAAGAGCATTCAAGACCAACCTGCACATTTACTCTTTTCCTCTGCTTTGTGAAAGCAAAATACCACTATATGAAACAGGACAGAATTATAAAAGTGACCAACCCATTTTATATGGCAAACTGAATATGACAATCTCTTGTAGGCTGAGTCCTCCTTCCCCACTCCCCAAAATTCATACGCTGATGTCCTCACCCCCAGGATCTCACAATATCATCTAATTTTGGAAATTGCACTGTTGCAAAGTTAAGATGAGGAGATCAGGCTGAGGGTTTAGCTCAGTGGCATAAGTGACTGCTTGGCAAATGCGAGGTCGTGAGTTCGATGCCCAGCACCGAAAAAAAAAAAAAAAGAAAAAAAAGATGAAATCATTCTCAGGGATGAGTGGACCCTACTCTGATATGATCAATGTCCTTATGAAAAGGACACCTGCACACAGAGAAAGCCACGTAAGGAGACATAAAGTGACAGCAGACACCTACAAGCTTGCCACCTTTTGCCAGATGATGGGCATGGACCAGACTCTCCTTGACAGCCCGTGGAAGAAACCAACCCTGCTGACACCTTGATTTCATTCTTGGCTTCCAGAAAGGTGAAAGAACACATTTCTGCTGGTCTAAGTCACTCACGATGGCAGGCCAGAAAAACAAACAAAACAGAGAATATAAATACACGCATCAAGAGTACCAGCAAAAGGAAGCTCTAGTAAACAGCGGCAAAGCACCTCACCCAGGCCAGAACTGTAACTACGGGGAACAGCGGCAGAAACAGAGAAGTAGTCTTTCCTCAGGTTTTCACCCATGCCTACCCTTCAAACACAAGCAGTTTCAACTTCTGAGAGTTAAAGCAAGTTTCTGATAAATGATAAAACGCACCAGTGCTCTGGCAAGCTGACATTTGTCACCCTGCAGAGCTGCCCAGGACACACAGAACAGATGATTCAGTGCTGACAGCAGTGTTCCCATCTCTCAGGTGAGTCATAAAGGTCACCTGTATCTGGTATGTAGGGATGGGTTCCCCAGTTGATCATTAGTCATGGTGATTCATGGTACATTTTTTTCTAACGTTTAGGTAGTACAGAGTCACATGTATTCACTGAAAGCATACACTAGGACTTTTTAGCCCTTGGTTCTGAAATTCACTTTATATATCTTTCCTTTTTGACCTTCCTTGATTGACTGATAGAGTGAGCTGTATCTCTCTGCTCCCTTCTTTCTGTTCTGGCACTGGGGCTAGAATCCAGGGCTTTTACACTAAGCTACATCCTCAGCCCTTTTTACTGCTTTTTATTTTGAGACAGGTTCTCATAAGGTTGCCCAGCTGGGCTCCAACACTATATCCTCCTGTCTCAGCCTCCCCATGTGCTAGGATTGCAGGTACACACCACTATGACCAACTCTTTTTTTTAAGTAGAAGACTGTCATGTTGAAAAAATTTCTTTTTTTTTTTTTTTTTTTTTTTTTTTTGTTTTTTTCCTTTTTATCGGTACCAGGGATCGAACTCACGACTGCCTGCTTGCAAGGCAGGCGCTTATGCCGCTGAGCTAAATCCCCAGCCCCTGAAAAAATTTCTTAGGAAATTATTTACAGACATTTTCACATAAGAATTTATGGTTTAGGGGTATTCCATGAGCAATTGATATTTGGAAAAATACATAAAAATTAGTACCAGAAAAAATATATACTCAAAGCACTATGGTATTAAAAAGAGCAATGTATTTTGGACCCTATTTCTGTACTGACTTCTGCTGTAACAGTGAGAACTATTATTGAAACTGGCAATGAAAATGACAAAACTAGAATTTATCTCTGGTGTTGAGTCTTTCCCAGCTGCTGAGTACAGTAAGACTAAAGAAGGTTAAAAAGTTAAAGAGAGAAAAGACAGATTGTTCCTACAGCCAGGCATGGTGGCACATGCCTGTAATCCCAGCACTTTGAGAAGCTGAGGCAGGAGGACTGCTGCACGTTCCAGGCCAGCCTGGGCTAAACAATGAGTTCTAAACCAGCCTGAACTGCACAGTCAGACCCTGTCTCAGGAGATGGGGAAAAAAAAGATTGATCCTATAGCGGCTGCCACAGTGCATGGTGCATCACCCACGAAGAACATTCAAATTACCCATGCTGCTCCAGGTGGACAGGGGAAGCCGGAAGGAGCCGCCCCCACCCGCTGCCTAGATGACATCCTTTAAGCAGTCAGGCATTGCATAATGAAGTCTTGGTCACTAACTGACCAAGTGAACAATCACAGTGTTCCTGTAAGATCTGATCACCAAGTGACGACTTAGTTTGTGTAAATCTTTGCATGATGACGCAATAGCTCAATGGCACATTTCTCAAAAGGTATTAAGGGCAGCAGGACTCCACACAGGACAGTCACCCTCACATCAGTCCTGTGGGGTATTTTCCTCATTTGCAGAGACCTGGAGCTCAGAGAGGTGACAATGTCACCTGAGAGTACAGAGTGGTGGGTGAAAATCCCTAAGAGGACAGGACCACCAAGCCCCTGCTCTTCTAGGGCATCACAGAGGAGCAGAAGCAAGCGCATCAGCCAGGGATCGCTGTCTCCTTGTAGCAGCGCCTTCTGTTTCCTCCAGCCTGCAGCAAACGATTTCCTTCTTTAGTGTTCATTCATATTCAATAAGAAGACTCTGGAAGTATTTAGCTACCACAAATATACCACAGCAATTCTGAATCCTGCCTCTTTTTAATTGTACTTAACCTGTATTGAGCGCATGACGTCCGCTTTAAATGGTGCTACAATCACACCTTACATAACGGATTAAAACGGTAGTTGGGCCCCTTTCGTGCTTTTTCAGAACAGCAGATACAACCACTTATCCGAACTAATTTCATTCATTGTACATGTAAGGCCATCACTTGGTCTGCACCACAAAAAACTTGGACAAGGATTCCTAGAAACTCATTCTAAACAGTGAGTCTCTGCCTTTCCCTGCAGAGGCAGCTTCTCTTCCAGAACATTCTGGATTCCGGGGTTCACCTAACAGCTGTCTGCTCTTAGAGGGAAAGAAAGAGCGGGTACATAGACCCAGAGCATATGTGGGTGAAGTTCTTTCCCTGATGCTTTATGGGCCAGGGGCTGACCCCTGACTGGGTTATGGCTGCTCTCCAAGACATTTAAGGTCAGGGATAATATTTCTGCTAATTTTATTGCCTCTTCATGGACAGGAGAGTGAAAAACCACAGTGGTTGCAGAAACAAATTTGCCAGCTGTGTAATAACAGCAGACAGGGAGGCCTGGAGACCCGTGGGATTTGGGGACCCGCCCACCTTTTCGTAGTTGGAGAATCCCCCCATGACAGCTGGGTCCACGATGCCGTTGAGCAGCATGGACAGCGGGTGCACCGAGAGGGAGCGGTCCCAGGCGTGTTGCTGCACGCAGTTGCTGATCTTCTCATTGGTCAGCTCCATGGTTTCGATGGCATTCTCCAAAGGGCTGATTTCTTCCTGAGGGGCAGAGTGCAAGGAAGCAGGAGATCTGTGAGCACCACAGCAAAGACTGAGACAGCTTAATGACCCCCCTGCTAGAGGTGTCAAACGTCCATGAGCTGTAGGACAGTGAAGTTTTGCTTGTCAAGATTATGTTTATTTAGGACCCCATACTTTTCTGCAGTGGTGTTGATAAAGAGTAACCATAGATAGGGTCTATAGCTAACAAAAGTCAGAAATAATAGATTAGAATATTCAGGCTGAGTTTTAGAAAAATTGAAATCAGATGCCATATACACTTAGAGAGAGCTCCTACTATGGAGTGTGTTCCAATGCAGGTTTCTAGAAAAACCCATTATTAGTCACAGGACCACCTATTTGAAACTTGATTCCAAATGTCTCTATCCAGAATCGATAGCCAAGCTTGAAGAATGATTTATCTGAAGAATGTGCTGAGAGGGCTGGGGATTCAGCTCAGTGGTGCAAGCACCTGTCTGGCAAGCATGGATCATGAGTTTGATCCCTGGTACAAAAAAAAAAAAAACAAGTGCTGAGAAACAATTTTTTCTTTTGCATCGCTGAGGATGGAACCCAGAGCCTTGCACAAGCTAAGCAAGTGCTCTGTCACTAAGCTGTATCCTGAGTCCATGAAACATTTCTTGAGCAGCTACATTAAGTGCTATGCCATACACCACAGTTATTAAAGTGATTAAGACATACAGTCCTCCCTCAGTGTGATCAAGCTATACAGTCACCCCATTATCTGTAGAGGCTGAATCTAGGACCCCAGAGGATAAAAATATTTGCAGCCATTCAAGTCCCAGATACGAAATGGCATAGTATTTGCATACAATTACCTATATCCTCCCGCATACTCTAAATCATCTTCAGATTACTACTATAATCCCTAACACAATACAAAAGCTACTACACTGTCATGTAAATTACACTGCAATTATTGGACCATATTACTTAGGGAATAATGGTAAGAAGAAGGCCTGCATATGTTTAATGCAGATGCCACTGTCTTAGGCCTAACTACAAGGTGCACAATGCATGTGCTTCAGTCTGCAGCTGGCTGAACCTGAGGAAGGCAACCTGCGGATAGGGAGTCTGTTATAATTTTTGGCTGGCAGAAGATTCTAGTTTACTGGGGAGTGAAGACTTGCAAACAACATAGGCTGGAAAGATGTCCAGGTTACGAAAGCACAGACTAAAGGACACCTAACAGTACCTGAGATAAGGCTTTGTGGAAAAGGAGGTGCCCACACTGGATCTGGATGGGAGTTGTGGATTCCAGCTGTGGTGAGAGAACACTTCAGGCAAAGTAAAAGACCCAGTATCACAGAGGACTGAAATAGCACGGCGCTCTCAGTTTAGTTCCGATACACTTTCTGGGAGAGGGAAGGAGATGATGGAATAGGGACAGCTGACTCACAAAGGCCTGTCCACAGATGAGGAGGAGTCTGAGCTCTGCACCGTAGGAGGCTGTGAGCGTAAGAATGTGGAATCCTCTGTAATAGGGTACACCCAAGCCAGCGAGGAAAATGGGGGGTGAGAGGCCAGAGCAGAGAGGTCAAGGGGAGTCTTCTTCAGGGACATGAACCAGAGGTGACACAGGGACAAGAAAGTGGGGCCACAATTAAGGGGGCTGATAAATCAAGTAGCTCGAATAAATATTTAAGAAGTAAACAGGCAGCTTGAGGCAGTGGTGAGGAGAAGAAGTGAGCGTGACCGGGGATGTGATTTGCTGAGTGGAAAGAGAGAAAAGGGGCTCTGGGAGGGGAGATGTGAGGCACAGGACATTCTCCAGCGACATTCCAGAAATGTCTCTGGGCACTGGCTGGCTCCTGGAGGGGACAATGCTCCTCGGCCATAAAAGAGTCATTCACTGCGAGGAACCTTCAGGGGTGGCGCAGAACATCAGTTTTACAAAGAAGCCCTGTCCTACAATCACGCCTTTTATTTCTCTTTTGAAAAATAAAGCTGGCCACTGGTGCAAACTGCAAGAGAATTTAACAAGGCTGTTATTATATTTGCAGACAGAAAGCATCCCCCTCAGGTTCACTCCAAATGTCAATGACTCACTGTTGAAATCTGTTTGACTTCAAACCACTTGAGAATCCCGGGAAAGGTATAGGCCGTTGTGTACATGGTCCTTTCAATCCACATGTTCTGTGATGGGAAAGAAACAGAAAATGTAGATTAACTCAGCTTCAGGACAAGTCGCAACTGCCCCACCCCTACGGAGGCAGGCAGTTGAAAAACCTCTCCCACACACCTCGTCTTCGCAGGGAATAAGCCACATGATTATTCCTAAGTGTAGGGACTTTGGATGTTTGAGACTGACCAGGATCATCTCCTGGGTCCTCTGCATCCTAGATGGAAAACAGAGGCCTGGGAGGTGTGGCTTGCCCCAGATCAGCAGAGGGGCGAGTCTGAGTTTCCGGTCCCATGGTCTGGAGTCCCCCTTGAGATGACACCTGCTGTCTAGGTGATCAGCATTTAAGCGTCTCTTCTCAGGGGTGTCATCATTTCTGCCATGTACACTGTTGAGGTGAAGCCTCCAGCGCCCCCATACCTAGTTTTAGAAGGTGAATTTGTGCACTCACAGCAAATTCGTTGTCGGGATCTTTTTCTCCTTTCCGGAATGGTCGGGAATAGCTGAACTGCTGAACTTCATTGGCTCTGTAGTAGCTGGGGAAGGACAGGGAGACCGTGCTACACTCTTTCTCTTGAATAGGTGCTTCTGGCTCTAGACTCCAGGACATGGGGGCCTGCTGGCGCCAGGGTTCACCCCAAATGGCCCCTCACAGCCAACAGAGCCTGTGCTGACTTTATCCATCATGTTACTTTCTATTATTTATGAGTTTATTTCATAGCTCACAATGTTAACAGGGAACGTAATTATACCGACATTTCTGTAACCCATCCATCTCAGGAGGACTTCGGCGCCTCAAAAGATGAGATTCAGCTTCAGTCGCTGGGAACCAGCTGATCCTAGTGATGCTTCTGGAGTTGGAGGGAGTGCAGAGGGATCTGACCCCTAAATGAAATCCTGACTTCACTCTATCTAAACCACAAAATCCAAGACCTCTTGAATTACCAAGCTCTGCTCCTACATGTGAAATACATCAGGCAGTAGGTATTGCAAACTGTAATAAATTTAAAGCTTTGCTTTTGATGTACTCCAAAGAAAGGATGTGAGAGATAAATTTTTAGTAAAAATAAAAAAAACACTTACTTTAAGATCTGCTCGGGCACTGGCTTGTCCTTGTAGCTTGGGGGTAGGCTCATCACAGGCTTCACGGTGAAGCACTGCAGGTCTGGGACCTCGTTAAGGAAAGAAAGAACCAGCCCAGCAGCTGTGGCATCAGTGCAGCTCCCTGATCCTTCCAACTGACAGCTGCAAACAGCACTGGCACCCAACGGCCCCCTTATCACCCTGAAAACGGGGTTCCTGCAGCTGTCACCTGAGTGTCTAGTGCAGTGATTACTCAGGATTTCTTGTGGCCAGGGTCCTAGGTTTCTTGTTGCACAAAAGTAAGCAGCAATGAGATATCTGGAAGTAGATGGTTAGAAATGGTTTAAAGCCATTTCTTTTGGAAAAGCACCCTTCTGAAACAGGCAGAATTCAGAGCCATGGCACAGAAATTGCTTTTATCTTTGACTACCACCTGTTTATCAAGCGCCATGACAGAGACAAGAGTAGGTATTTTGATTCCCCTTCTGCAGAGGAGGATGCTTCAGTATGAGAAACGTTAAAATCCAAGGACAAACAACTGGGAGGCAGTGAAGCCAGGCCTTGGCATGGACTCCAGGCTAAAGGTATCTTCTCTGATTTAATGATGAGTCTCAGAAATAGCTTCTCCGGCTGCAAGGTCACAAGGGCAGACACAGTGGGTCCTCCACACTCAGGTTTGGTCTCTGAGTTAATCAGCTGAGGACCAGACATATTCTGTATAAAACTGTGTCTGTACTAAACATGCATGCTTTTATCCTTGTCATTATTCCCTAAACAATACAGTGCAATAACTATTTATATAGTATTAGTAATGTGTCAGGGATTCTAAGTACTTAATGAACAGATGATTTAAGTAGAGGGGAGAATGTATGTAGGTTATATTCAAATACTGCGCCATGTAAAACAAGGGAATTCAGCACCTGCAATTTGGAATCGGCAAGCCGAGGACTGAGGGGTCTTGGAACCACATCCCCTGAGGATATCAAGGAAAAATTATACAAATTGTCTCAAAGTCTATAAAAGAATCCCCAACTCTTTTAGAATAGGAAGTCTATTCTTTGCTTAAGATTCCCATCTGGCTAAAAAATGCATCCCTTCTTACGAAAGGTTTGTTACGCATCTCTTATCTAAGGATATTAAGGCCCCAAAGGTTTTACATGGAATGGGAGGCTGAGTCCTGAGAACCCAGGACACACTGCCTGCAGAGAAGGGCTTGCGACCCTTCACTTCCCTGGGCTGCCTCAGGGCACAGGCCACCAGACCACAGTCCCATAGCAAGGATGCACTGCTTTGGGGACATCTTGATGTCTTCTCCAGGGGGCGTGGTACTGGTCATCTTCTCAGCACTGGGGAACTGGGTCAGCAACCTCAGGCTGAAGTCCTCTCGCCTCTCATATTCCTTCCCCCGGTAGATGAAGATCTTATTCTGCAGGGAAGAGAAAACGGAAATCAGTACCCACAAAGAGGGAAGCCACAAGCAGAGTTCTGATGAAGGAAGACACCGGGCGAGGCACTGTACTGCCAGCCACAGCTCAGTCCACCACCCGCTTCTCCCGAGACCATGACATGCCCAGTGGTAGCATCACGTCTGACAAGATCTTGGGATTGAGCAGTTGCTTCGCATGCATTAATAATTACATGGCACAGGGCTCCTCACAGCGTGGCCCCACAACCACAGCCAGTCCACCAACAGTGTGTACAGATGTGCAAGGAAACAGGAGGCTTGTGTCCTAGTTTAAATCTATAGTACCTGCAGGCACCCTGTTCAACTTAGCTGATATTTTTCATTGCACGACATTTCTCCGTGGATGACATTTATACTCAGGTGTAAACCACTTCCCTATCTTATTAGGTGTAGTCCAGTACTTTCATTGGCACAGCCTTAGAGAACAGCATCCTTCATCCCAACATCCATCAATCCAGAATGCTTCCAAATCTGAAGCTTGTTGAGCACCATCATGACACTGCAGAAGTTTCCGATTTCAGAATATTTTAAATTTGGAGTTTTCTCGTCGGTTTCCCAGTTGGCTCCGAGTTCCCATTCATCATTTGATACAAGGAGCCATGGAACAAGAGGCGCATACAGCTCCTCCTGTCTTCATTAGATTAAGGGCAACACTAAGTCTAGAAACCCTGTGAGTCTCCCTGCCTGGTCCGCTGCTTTTTGACTATTATATGGTAACCTCAACCACAGCAGTAGTGTTGCTATGAACAGTGCACCAACACCTGTCTCTATTCTGGAACTATCGTTCAAGTTCGAGATCTGTGGATCAGATGCTGACTTGAGTACTGGAGGTTCCACCGTATCTCATGCCAAACTTCCAGTACCTGCCATGGCCTGACAGGCCCTCTGTGGCCTGGCACCACAGCTTTCTGGCCCCAGTCACTGGTCTCATGTGGAGGACCCTCACTCACCCCCTTACCATATCATGCAGCTGAAATGCTTTCGGGTTTGCTCCGAGGTCATTTGCTTGCTGAAGTCTCCCCTGTTCACTCTGTGTCACACTGCGGTTCCATCTCCATGCCTGTCTCTCCTCACCCTCCCCGGCCCCTGTGCTACCGCATACTCACTGGACCACGTACATCGCACAAGGCAGTGTTCAGGCCATCACTGCCTAGATGTTACCGATTTATCTCAAGTTTAGCTGTATTTTGTCCCAGTGATGGGGAAGTGACTAATATAAACCCCTACGATCACTGTGAAGAGATAGCTTTCTAATCTACTTGGACTTCATAGGGTCTTATAGCACAGGATACCTTTCTTGGTTATAGTTCAAATTTTATTCATTATTCAGCATCTCCCTCATTTTGAATAATATTTGTTCAAATACAGTCAGGCCTAAAAGAGGTGCTCTTTTTGAAGAGGTAACAGTTTTTCTGTTTTTTTTTTTTTTTAACTTTTTATCGGTACCGGGGATCGAACTCATGACCACCTGCTTCCAGGGCAGGTGCTTATGCCGCTGAGCTAAACCCCCAGCCCCTAGCTTTTCTGTTTTTTAAACTGCAACCCCTTACCACATTACAGAAATTTTTGAGAGAGGAGAAAAATACTGTCCTTGTCACAATTACAGTTTTTGTTGTGTGAAGACTCTTCAGAGTGCTATTCATAGGATACTCGCTTTCCAAGTAGCTCTGGCTGGAAATAAAATAAGCAGCTATCCAGACCAATCTACATCTGTCCCCAGCCTGAGCAGCAGCGGCTCCTTCCTCTTTCCACCAGGGGAGGGATTATGCGAAAGACCTGGCAGAAGGCTGTGGGCCTGGGACTCGGATGAAGAAGCCTGCACTCTGGAAGTGCTTTCCCTCCTGGCCTCCTGAGAACAAAGCCAGAGCAGCTGCTAATGGGCTGTCCAGCATCTGCATCTTTAAAGAGCTGCCTCTAGGGCTCTTCCTTCCCCTGGACCCTGTGGCCTCCTGGCCTTGGAGACCCCCTCAGGCTCCTCACCCGTAGGAAAGAAGGAAAGCCCTGTCCATAGTACCCCACAGCAAAGTACTCAGGCTGGGGCCTCATGGCCTTGATGATGTTCTCATAAAACGAGGCTCTTTTTTTCTGGAAAACAAAATAAGACATTCCGCCAAGAGGTTAAAAGGATGCTGTAAAAAAACAAAAAACAAAACAGCCAGTTTGCTTGGTTGTTTCTCATGTAACTCAGAGACCCAAAAGGTCTTCTGAAAACACACCCTAGGAACAAGGAGTGGCTTTACGGGACTGGAAGTTTCCGATCTCAATTCCACACATGTGGTATCATTACTCCTATTTTTAATTCTTTCATTCCTCACAAGGGCTGTGACTTAATGAAAGCCAACTGTCGGTAGCTGGACCTGGAGGGCTCTTAACCCTCACCCCACAATGGTTGCCCTGCCTCTCGATGAACCTACCTAGTGAGAGAGGGCAGAATCCTGTGCACTTAGATGGAAAGGCGTGACCAACAGCTCAGCTCCCTTCAGCTGAGGAAATTATTAAGGGCATTTTGGGGCTTATGAAGGCACTGGGGAATTTTTCAGAAAGTTTGTGGAAAAACAACTCCTCAAAAAAAGGTTCATTCCATGATGAGGGTAACCTGACCTTTTATGACTCCGGCCCTAAAAGTTACCCTCTGCAGCAGCACCTTTTGGCTACAACATTTATTTATTTATTTTAGTTTAATTTTTTTTTGGCCTTTTTCCTTTTTATCGGTACCGGGGATTGAACTCACGACTGCCTGCTTGCAAGGCAGGCGCTTAGGCCGTTGAGCTAAATCCCCAGTCCCAACATTTATTTATTTTGACAGCACTGAGGGTTGAATCCACTGCCTCACGCATGCTAAGCAGGTAACTGTACCACTGAGTCACACACTCCTATCCCTTTACAATTTTTCTTTCCAGACAGGGTGCCATTTGGTTGCCCAGGCTGACCTGGAACTTGCAATCATCCTGCCTCAGCCTCCCAAGTATGCCGTCATGCTTGGCACCACTGGACATCTAAAAGGTTACTTTTGTTTTCACTTTATTGTTTTTAAGCAGTTGCAGTGTGCCCACAGCCAGATGTCACATATAGGTATGGGGGACTGTCAAAGTTAAGCATCCAGTGACAAAGGGAAAAGGAAAGTGGCAAAAAAAAAAAAAAAAAAAAAAAGAATCTGGCAGAAGCATTTACAGCTCACCAAGCTGTGCACAGTGGTGCCCCGGAGACATAGCTAGGTCTTAGCAGAGACGTGAGGATATGGACCACAGGGCCACACCACATCCTCCCTCCCTCTCTCTCTCTCTCCTTCCCGCCCACCCATCCATGTACTCCTGGGATGGACTCCTGATCACACGCTTGCAAGGCAGACACTTATGCCACTGAGCTAAATTTGCAGCCCAACGATCAGAACTTTTGAGTCAGGCTTCTTTAATTTCAAGTAAGCTCACTTCTGCATCTCAAAGAGCAGCACTGATCCTGACTTCCCTTCATCCACAAAAGAACATTTTCGTGAGCACCTGTCCCAGCGGCCCTCTGGGCCCAGACTCACCAGCAGGCTGCCAAGGCCCTCGTAGTCAAATATCTTGCTCTCATAGTTCTCAGCCAACTCCTTGCTCAGTTTGATGGCCTTCTCCCACATCTTCGAAGGAAGGAAAGCAGGTGAGACTTGGCGGACAGAGCATTCACTGGGCCCAAGTCAGCAGACAGGCAGTCTGAGGGTTTTTTCTCAATGCGTTTCAACCGTTGCATCAACACAATCTTTCCTTCCTGAAGCCACAAGGATGCTACAAGTCTGAGAACCCCTCATCCCAAATGCCTGGGGCTAGGAGGGTTTCCAATTTCGGGGTATATTGAGTTTGGATATTTGCATAGAAGTTATGGGGGTAACATCCTCAAACTAAAATGCCTTGAAATCTGAAAGTTTGGGTATCACGTTGGTGAGGGTCCTGAAGATATTTCCAGGGAGCCAACGAGGTCAAAACTACTTTTGTAATAACACTAGTATTATTTCTTTCATCCTCGTTCCAGAGGTCACATGATATACGATACCACAGTGGAAGGAACACAGGGGCCCGTAGAGATCCTGCTGCTTCCACTGATCTAGCCCTCATAAAAGTTTGCAAAGTGAATGCTGGCATTAGAAATCTCTAATAAATACAGTAATTTATCACAATACATATGATCCACATTAACAGGTTACAGACTTGGCATTGTTGTCAAAGGAGCTAGCAAGTAAATATTTATAATGTTCTGTGTTTATTTCTAAAAGTACAAATACAAACAGAATCCATAAGAACAAAAGTACTTTGGGAGCCTCAGTAATTTTTTAAGAGGACAAAGGCTTCAGGATCTAAAATGTTGGAGCAAACACACCCAGCTTCTAGATTTCAACTTCCTCACACAGAAGACAGAGACAGTATCTACCTATTAGAGTATAGGAAGAACTAAATGAGGGGGAAAGCCTAAAAGTCATTAGAAACAGTAATTAGCAGCACTAAACAGATGACATTCTATCATGATGATGATTTAGCTTATGTACTATCCAGCAATTTAAGTAAATAACACAGACATAAAGGCTGGAAGAGACAGTCCCCAAGCATTTTCTAGGCCCAGTTTGAGATTTGTTTAGCTAGCATGACACAACTTTCTTGCTTTTCTTCCAAACATCCTCTAAATTTCGTTTTTCCATTTTTAAGTTGAAAGCTTTTCTACTCATCCAGTCTGCTGCCTCAGACTCCACAACTTCTGGCCCTGTTTCTGTCTATTTTACCCTCTTGCTCCTGTGACTGGTTAAGTTCCCTGTGACCTCCAACCCCTGGGGTCAGGCCAGGGTGACCTGTGAATGGGGTGTGTGCCACGTTCCTCCAAACAATCTCTTGAGAATGGGTAGCTACTGACGCTTCTGACACCCAGCAAAATTTAAACAGAAACCAGGGTTATAAAATCATGGGGCTTTGGCCTGCGCCTTCTATCTTCATGATGAAACTGTCATCAATGGAAGGCTCTTCACTGACTTCAGACCCAAGGTACCTAGTCGCTTTCACACTCAGCTCCCCCAGGGACAGGAGTGTGTTTGCTGGGCCCCTTGCACCAGACCAGACTCTATGCTAATGAGTGGCTAGGATGGGCCCCGCCTACGTTTATGCTAATAGTCTCAAGAAGGGGCTGGTCTGGCCAGCAACATCAACCTGGTGAAGAGGAAGTTAGGGGAGGCCTGGTGGAGACTGAGTTCAATCACTAGCCAATAATCCAATCAAACAAGTCTATGCGGGACAGTTCTGCACACAGAGGCTCTGGTGAGCTTCCTGGACGGCAAATGCATCAACTTTTTTTTGTTTTGCTCTGTTTTGTTTTGAGTTGAAGGTCTTACTATGTTGCCCCAGCTGCTCTCCCATTCCTGACCTCCAGTGATACTCCTGCCTCAGCCTCCTGAGGCACATGCCACCTGCCTAGTGAGGATGTCCATTTGCCAAGAAGGTGATGTACTCCAAGTTCAAAGGATAGGAACAAGACTTGTTTGTGATACCTCTAGATCTGGCCCTGGGTGCTGCTTCACTTGCTGGGTTCTGATGAGATTCCCTACATATAATAGAACTGTAATTGTTACATATAGCATTTTTCTGAGTTCTGTTACACACTGGGGGTCATGGGCATCCCAACATTTACAGCCCATTGGTCAGAAGTATGGATGGTCTGGGGACCCCATCAAAAGTGAGGGAGGTTTTCATGGGGATGGTTCGTTTAAACTGTGAACTCTGCACTGACTCTGGGTGATTAGCACCAGAAATGCACCCATTTTGGTCATTTTTCTTTCTACTGGTGTGAAAACAAACCGACACTCACTTTGCCTTTGTCAAAGTAGGATATAATTTCCTGGTACAATTTCTCTTTCAGTTCTTGCTGGGTATAAACATAGTAACTGTCCCTCTGAAGTAGATGGGGCATACAGGGCTTATCAGACCACTAGAAAAGAACAAAGCAACGTAAGCAATTAACACATCAAATTCATTAATTAAAAGTCATGCAACCAATATTTATGACAAAAAAATCAGTGAAATTCATTTATATGTGTGACTATATTTGACTGAACCATATTGTAATTTAAATTCTTTATTAAATGAAAAAGTTATGCACAAACACACACTCAACATACTAGTGCCAAAAACAAGTGCAATGCCAAACCCAATGTTGTCAGGATAGCAAGGACCAAAGACAGACTGGTAGCCCACATGACCAGCATGGAGATGGAATGAGTAGCACAAATAAAAACAAGTTAGGTCTATAAATAAGGGTAGGTACAGTCATGGTTGTATTTCTCACAGTACGAAGCCATCCACTGACAAACCACTACAGGCAATAGAAGTAGGTAACTGGATAACAAAAAGTAATAGCTCTGAAAATAGATTTCAGATGAGATAAGCATATAGAAGAGCAGGAAATGCCCAAATTGAGAGAAACCACAATAGATAAAATAAGCTAGCGTCAACCTCGCACAGACTGCAAAACTGACAGACAGGTAACCTGAACCTATTATTGAGGAACACAAGAGCAGATCTGTGTTGTCAAGATCTCAGATTGGTAAGGAAAATATGGCTTATACTTAATGTTATTCCCACTGAGTAGCGATTTGGGAAAAAAACTGCATCAGCACCTCACACATTACACCAGGATAGGGCAATTTAAATTTTTCAGTAGCTCACAAGAAAAGACCTACACTTAAAGGTCCCAGGGTTTCTCTGGAATCAGCCTATAGTGAAATCCACAGTCACCAGGTCTCCCCCACTAACTCACGCACGGTAAGCTCCCTAGTGCCCTGATCTGGACTATAACTTCCATGAACTTCTCTGGGAAGTATGAGGCACGGAACTCCTCTGCTTCCTAGCTTTGAACAATGCACTTCTTTAGTATAAAATAAAATCGTAGCTCAGTGGAAGAGTGCTTGTCTAGTCTGCTAACGGCCCTCAGTTCCATTCCTAGCACCATAAAACAATAAGTTAATTCAATTATAGAGGAAAATTAACTGCTGGGGAAACGAATGGAGCCCAAGAGGCCTCACAGGAAGGAGGCCAGTGTAGTATTCAAGGTGAGACACACTGATGGCTTAGGCTAGGAGCCAGCAAGGAAAGAAAAATGGGCAGATGAATGGGACATGCTGGGAGTCACAGGGACCCCTAAGTTGTTCATGGAGAAAATGAAAGGCAATGACTAAAAGAATCAAAGGTGCCCATGAGGTCATTGCCTGGTCCAGTGACCAGATAGTGGTGCCATTTAATGTCACGGTAAGAAAAAGGAGGTAGCCATGGGCTGGGAAGGGGCAGAAGTGGGGAAAGCACAAGGTCTTGTTATTGATATTAAGTGTATTATTCATATTGATGTCAAACGCTTATGCATGAATCCAAAGTTAGAGAACGGGGGCTGGGGATTTAGCTCAGTGGCATAAGTGCCTGCCTGGCAGGCACGAGGTCATGAGTTCGATCCCCAGTACCGCGCAAAAAAAAAAAAAAACCAAAGTTAGAGAACGTGGTCAGGGCTGGAAAGAATTACTTGTGATTTGTTGTATACAGATGTATTTATTTCATGTCACCATACAATTTTACTTAGGGAGCGAGTATCAATAGCAAAGTACTTTTATGATACTTTATATCATAATTCATCTCACTGCTGTTTTACAAAATCCTTTATGTATTAACCAATGCATGTTTTCTTTCATGAATTAGAATGTCAATTGCCAGACATCTCTTAGCTGTGCTCTGCTTCCTAAGGCTTTTCAAATAGTTGATAAACGGTATTTCTCCAACCTTGGGCTGAAAGTAGCTACGTCTACTCAGAAGGTATGAAACTGTCCTTAGATAACGGACTTCCCTGGTGTAAGGTTTTTTCTATGCATCAAGGGTTCAGAATGCGGTACGACAGGGTCAGGACATCTCAGTGGCCTTGCACCCTGTCCAGACAGGCTGCTGACCCACCTACCTGCAGAAGCTCAGCGTGTAAGAGAAGAGTATAGGCAGCCTCTGTGTAGTTCTCGCAGTCTCGGTGCAGATCTCGAAGCTTGTACAGATACCTGGTAAGAAGGGCAGACAGGACATGCTTCAGGATCTAGCATTCAGCTCCTGCCCCGGCCTGCCGCTCAGCCTTCTCTGCAACTACACAGGAATGCGTCACTTTTCATTGGCAAAGGAGCTGGTCACTTCCCATCTCTTATTCCCACTAAGCTGCTTTTCTCCCTGTAACTTTCCTGTTCTATTCTTCCTTCTCCTCTTCCCGTAGGCAGCAGGACTTAACTGCCTTTCAGGTCTTCCTCTCCACTGGGAAGAAGGTGAAATTTATGGAATCCTTCCCCAAGAGCACGCATAATTTATGTACCACGTGTTTCTGCCTCCAGGACTCAGGGCTCCAGGAGAGGCCTCCAAGGTAGGTGAATTCTTACGCCCCTTCCCTGCAGGGCCTCCCCTGATCACCAGGCAGAAGTCTCTTCCTCTCTCCTTCAACCCTAACAGGTCCTGACTTATGCCCTCCCTCACATTTACTGATTTGCGCTTCATTTTGGGACAATCCATCCCTGTGCAGACATGGAGGCTCTCACAGCAGCAAGCATGGTGTTGCCCCTTGAGGGACTAAACGACAAAGCCATGACATAAAGAGAGAAAGCACTTCATTTCCTTCCGCTTACCTGATGTAAATGTCTTCTCGCTTCTTTTCTTTATAAAAATTCTGCCAAAGAAAGGAAGGGGGATCATCAAATACCAATGTAAACGAAAGACTTAACAAAAACCAGCTCTTCAACTCTTTTTCCAAAATGTTCATCATTTCCTTTGCCAGATTCCTTAAGACAGGACAGGTTATAAAGAAGGTAAGCTAAAGAATGTTTTTAAAGGACCACTCTTCCAGGAACATGAGAAACCTAATGGGATAGACTCTAAGCTCACCCTGAAGTCACCTAACACACTGCTTTCTCAGGGAATCAGGACACTGTCGGTTCTTAGTTTGTACTCAGCAGAGGAGTCTTTGGCCACCTGAGCCTCGGAGGTCTGTCTTTCCAGGTAACACATCCCCAGGGAAAGACAAGACCAAAGAGTTTACTTTCATGTGGATGCTATGGACTAACTCTTTGTGGTACAGCGGTCTGGCTGTCTCCTATAATCCCAGCAATAAATCAACCACCATGCTATTAGTAAAACAGAAAAGCATGGTCTTTAGGAAGAGTTGAATTGGTGCTTGTGCTGTATTTTTTTTGTTTCCAAATTTATCTTCAAGGCCTACACCTGCTGGCTTATGTGAGTCCAAAGCTGAGTCAGCCATGTGATTCAGCAGGACAGACTGCTCCACAGAGGTGATGCAGGGATCCTGTGCCCCTGGGAGAGGGAACTAGTACTGTGCCAAGGGCAGCAGGGTAAGCAGGCCACACCCTGTTGCCAGCCCGGGGTGGGCACCTACCAGCACATTCACGGTGCAGCTCATGCGATTCTCCTTGCTCTCGTCCTGCATGATGATGGTTCTGTAGTCCAACAGGTTCTCCAAGAGGCTGCTGACCAGGAGGGCAAAGACCTCCCCAGAGCTGGAGAGGTACTTATGCTTCCGGCAGTGTTCCAGGAGCCTGCAAGTGGTTGTGGTAGAGAAAAGTGCCCCGTTGTTACCCTGTGCTTTCAGGACATTGGTGAGCACCAACCAAAGTCCTCAGAGCAGGTGGCGTGAGACTCAATTGCCAGGATGTCAGGTGAGCAGGCACTCGCTTGCCCAGCCCTGCTCTACCTCAGTATGTTCACTTAGGCTATGCCTTTCCGTTTCCCTCCACATCTACATGTCCATTAGGGGCTTGGCACGACTCCCAGCCCACCACGCACTTCTGTGAAGTTCAGTTTGTGCCTGTGGCTTTTTCCATTGGGCATCACAGAAATAAGAACCTTTGTCTACAAGGCTCACTTACGCTGTCTGGTGACTGTAACCAGGGTGTGTAAATACCATCTTTCCTGTGCAAAGCCTGGCATTTCATGGGCATTCTGGGAAGCCTTGGGCTGGTACTGAGCCCAGAGGAAACTGGTGGACAACAATGTATGTGATTCTTCCAAAAAAAGGCTTAAAAAAAAGAAAAAAAAGATAGAAAAGAAGAATTGTAAATAAGCAGCTAAACTTGTGGTCTTAAAAGAAGTTTGTGGCACAGAGTACTGGAGCTTCTTGGATTGGATGATTAAAAGAAAAATTAAGATGAAGAAAAAAAAAGAAACAGAAAGAAATGGGTCCAAAAAGCTAGTCTAGTACAGGCTGCAGGATTATTCTTGACATTGGAGATTTGTACAGTCATACTTTTCTTAATCAGTGATCCTGAAAGAACAGAGAGAACAAAGATTTTTACATGAAAAGCTGTACAAGTTTTTAAAAATGAGGAATTCACACATGTATAAATATTATGTGTGTTTCTAACGTATGTAAGTGGTCTGCTTAATTCCATGTGGGATCACAATAGTTTAACATCATAAACTGAAGGTCTGGAGGTCAAGCAAGGTAAAAGCACCACCAAAAGTGCTTAACATAATTAAAAACAAAATCAGAAGGACTGTGAACTCAAATATAGACTGTTTATGAAGTCCATCGTACTTCTGCCTATTTAGAGTGCTGGCTCCCCAAGGCATCTTAGAAAAACAAAAATCCTTGGGATTCCCTGTCCTCAAACTCAGTCTAGCACACAAAGCCAGTAAGTAACAAAAAGAACCAGATAAACATTCAGAGGCCAGTATTATAAAAGATCAGAGAACATGGGAGATCGAGCCTAGAGTTGCTGTAGCCCCAAGAAATGATAGAAAATTTGTAAACAATAAGAACATAGCATGCCACCTTTTTTTAGAGCATGAACTCTGTAATGTACGTTATGTTGGTGTAGGGTCTTATTTAATCATTTTTATCACTTGATGTCATTTGAGAGTGATATACAAAACTACTATCCTCATCGATGGACCCAAAGGACGTCCTGGGCAGGCTGAGTCAGTGGATGCAACGTCAGACGCCTCATGAGTGGAGAAGACATGGGTTGAAGCTCAGCCTCTTAACACCAACCTCCAGTGGATTTTAAACCACTTGTCCTCCTTTTCCATTCTGGGATGTGTGCAAAAGAACGGAGAGGGCAAGAGGGAGAGAGTGTGTGTGCGGAGGGGGTGGAATGGAGCAAGGCAAAGGTGACCACGTGAGCTAAGATGAAGCAGTGCAAGCGGCACAGGGCCGGGGCCAGGCCGTGGGAAGACCAAGCTGGCGGGGATGGAACTGCTTTGTTCCTAGAGGTCTTTTAGGGGACATGAGGTATTTTTATATATAAAGTGGATCTTGAAATGTTTTTCGTTTAAATGGTCACTCTGAAGCCATAATTAGAGGTGCTAACACTCCTGTTGAAGTTCAAAAATTCAAAGCCTGGACAAAATGCCACCACTCTGCATGTCTCCTCCTCTCCTCCATCTGCTCGGTCCTCCGGGGCCCGGTGGCCAGGATGACACAGGCGTCTGACTCACATGGGCGAAACAGTGTCAGTGACGGGTGCTGCGGACCCCGTCACAAGAGGACACAGGATGCCAAGGCCACCTGAGTCTGGTGCAGTCTGGCCACTGCTCAACGCTGCCACTGACTCAGGGCTTGGTCGCTGGGATACTCACAGCTTCTCCAGGAGAACTTTGTACTGCTCGTCTCCTCGGCCTCCTTCCACCTCCTGGTCCAGCTTTGTGATCAGCTCATTCTCGAACTGAAAGCAGAGTGAGAATTTCACAGGACGCGGCCCTCTTAGCAGAGGACACGAGTGACCTATGTCTGACCTTTCCAGATCTAGGCCCCCACCACCTCGAGTCATGAACAGCTCACAGCACAGCTAGGGAGGGGAGGATTCCTCTTCCCATCACTCCAGCCGAGCACACCAAGGCCCGGTCAGAACGCTCTGCGGCAGGCTCGTGTGACTCTGCCCTTTGCTAAAACGTAACATGATATAACCATAAACCTGAAATGTTACTTTCTGTTATAACTATAGATATAAAAATAGTTTAATGATATAATTTTTTCTGCATTATTTTTATTTCTTGTCTCAGTCTTAGAAATGGGATTGCTTTTGCTGAGCTTCATAGCTGCGAATTCTTCTCAGCACTAATGTATTTTGTAGACAAGGAAACTGGGGCACAGAGAGGACTTGGGCAAACTGCAGTGCTCAAAGCTAAAAAGTGACAGAAGGGAGCTGGACCCACTGCACCCTTCCCAGCTTCCTGTAGCAGACAGGTTCATCCCCTCAGTGACCTGCTACACCGCAGCAGAGAGGATCAAAAGCACACCCAGCCAACTTCCCATCATCCGAGAGACACTGTCCCTTCAGGGAAACAGAGTGAAAATCACTTTCAGGCTCTGGGCTGGAACGTCTGATTATATCTCTCATCGCTTTACAAGATGAAATGCAAAAGGGAATTTTTACTTCGACTGGATTTGTATTATTGAGGCTACTGCTTCTCCGTGCAGGAAGACAGGAAGGGAGAGCTGGGCGCCCATGCACCAGTAAGAGGACAGAGTCTACTGCTCCTTACCATGTGGAAATTGCCGTGTCCACTGAAATTGAACTCACACTGCATCATGTCAAAGAAAATGGGGATGGTGGCTTTCCGGAGCTCCACTTCTGGGGTCAGAGTGACCTCCAAAATAGGACCCACCATGGATGGGATGAATTTGATTTTGTGGGGACCTGAAATGAAAGGAAATGAAAATATTTAAAATTTGCTTCACTGTCAGTAAGGCGTTACATCCTTCCTCCAGCAGGCCCATCCATGAGAAAACAGGTTTCTGTGGGTAACCACTTAGTTCAGAGGCGACTGAGAAAACACTGCATTCTGATAATGTGCGGAGGCCACAGTAAGAGACAGTTTACAGTCAATATCCCAGTTGAGGTGAGGTGTAGAAGCCACAAATCAACTTTTACTTCCAGAGACGTACGGATACATTTCAGGGTTACATGAATCATTGCCCAGGAATCATGCTGGGGCGTTTTCAATGTCAGACACTCACCCAGGTTATACCACATGTCCCGGATTCTAAAGCCGATTTCCTTCCTCATGTCCCCATACCTAGGAAGATCATAAGCCAAGAAAAGGGTTTGCAGTGGAAACTAGATGGATGCAATACAGCTGCCCCTGGGTGTTTGCAGGGGACTGTTTCTAAGAACACCCGTGATACCCAAATCTGCAGTGCTCACATCCAGTTTATTATATTATATTATCTGCCCATAACACATACACACACACACCTTCTCTTATGCTTTAAATAATCTCTAAACTATAATATGTAAATACTTGTTATACTAGATTGATGAGGGAATGATATCAAGAAAGTATCTATCAAGTACAGATGTCATTTTTCCCCTAAATACTTTTTCTCTGTTCATTGGTGGAGTATGCAGAAGTCACAGAAATGGAGAGCCAAGCAGTGATGATGAGGGGAGGAAAAGTAGCCCACATCCCTCAGGATGACACGTAAGACAGAGGCATTGGGGAAATGAGTTTCAATCAGGGGAATTTAACAGCGGAAAAGACCAAGTGGAGATGCTGAGAAATCACTGGGGAGTTGAGTTTGAATGATGAGAGGAGGGTGAGAGAAGGGTGGAAGATGAGTGAGGCCTGACTTCCACAGCCCTGGAACAAAGTCCAACACACAGAGTGCCATTCTGTAGTCGTGCTGGGGTGACGCACACCCACGCCAGCTGGAGTTCAAAGTCCTCAAATAGGAGAGTTCCAGACCAGTGATGGGGAACCTTCTAGAGCTTTCAATGATAACAAACAGTCAGCTGTGACACATGTGTGCCATAGGTTGGCCACCACTGCTCTAGACCACATGTTCCAAAGGGGATAGTACTATCTACAGGAATAAAAACTGGTCCTTCAGGGGCAAAAACAAATCTTACTGTATTTTATCACTTATCCATTTGTTGGTTCATTCACTCATTTTTGTAGTACTGGGGATTGAACTCAGAGCCTTTGCACCAAGCCATGTCCCTAGCTCTTTTGTTATACTTGTAAGTTGTCCAGGGTGGAGTCAAACTTCCAATCCTCCCACCTCTGCATCCCAGAGTGTTGAGATTACAGGCATGCACCACCATGCCTGGCTGTTTTTCAGTAGGCAGCACAGATAATTTATACAGCACATCAACAGATACAGTTTATCCGTGGCACTGAGATTTCATGGGAGTGTGATTATGAAAAGAATATCTAAAAAAGGCTTCTTATCAGAGCTGTATTAGTCAAGAAACACTGGTCTAGGAGGGATGATTTCTGGCTGGAGGCAAAACAGAACTGCTTGAGAAGTCTCCTAAAGGATTCTCATGCCAGAGTCTAACCCACAGCACATAGCACATTTGGCTCTGGGAGCTGAGAAATGGAATTTAGGTGTCAAAAGTGGAAGCTGCAGATATCTCTAGTATACTTTAAATCAGGCCTTTATTATGTCATATGGTCACAGCTCAATACTCTTTTCATATTACAGTTGCCCCAAATAGGACTCTTTTCTTTGTCAAATTTCTTCTTTGGAAATATCTTCAAAAGCCAATATTTTTAAAATCATATTTAAAAATTTTTCTTAATTCCAGAACAGATCTGGGGTGAACACAAGAGGACACATCCCTCAATGTCTCCTTAGTCTTGCGCATAATTTCATTCTGAATTCCAAGACAGGTGGAGAGCATCTGTAGGTTGTGTTGGAATTTGGGTTGTTTTCATAGGCCATGAGACCAAGTGACCAAGTGACTATGAGACACAGTGACAGCACAAAAGGCCTGGGTTTGTCAGGGAGGCACTAAGCCTGCAATTTGCGGGAACTGCCAGCAGATGGCAGGCCTTCCCGGCACAGGAGGCACCTCTCCAGGAAGCTTCTAGAAAAGCATGGGATAACAGATAGGAAGAAAGATGGAGCTCTCAGGAAAGAAAGAGTGAGCCTGAGGGAATTTTAGGTCTGTGAAGTGATTAAGACCCTCTTCTCTGACAACATGGATAGTCACTGAACAGTAATTCCAGCCACGCCAAACACATAACTGAATATAAACAGACAGATCACCTTTCCAATTTACAGGGAATTGAAAGGACACTTACTTCTTCACAATTTTGTTTCGCTTGGCTTGGGAGAAGGTTTCAAGCTGAAGAGACTCATGGGTGAGAAACGCCACTGCCAAATGGAAATAATTGTTCCAGAGCTGTTTAAAATGAATAGTGTGGGCAAAGAGAAATGGAAAATAACATTAGTAAGAGTCCTAACAAAACAGAGCCACATGGCAGAAAGGCACTAACCAGGGAATCATGAAAAACAAAATCCACAGCACTTTCTGTTCTTTCTTGGGTTTCAATGACTCAGTCCCTAGCTTTGGGTCTCAACATTAAGCTTTCATAAAATTCAAACTTTATATTCTTCTTTTCTCCTGGGATAAAGAAAAACCACTGCCAAGAATTATACCTATTTATAGTAGGAGGTCTGGCAATACATATTAAAGGCCTTCACATTGTGCCAAACTTTTGAACTAGTAAAGACTCCCAAGACTTTTCCCTGTAAAGTAACTGTGGTTAATTAAAAATATTTAAAACAAGGAAGGTCACCACAGTACTATTTAATGTAACAGACAAATGCAAATTATCAAAATGTTCTCCAGAAGAATTCAGGCAACTAAATCATGATCCAGTCATGTAAGGAGACTGTCTTCACCAATTAAAAACACTGTGAAAATATTTAGCAGCACCAAAAAAAATTATAGGCCATAGAAAAAGTAAAGAAAGTAGATTAACAAGTTACCAAAGAATTAAACATCTCAATTCCATTTTGGTGCATACATACAAATACACACACATGTATGCTTCTCATCACCATGTGAATATAGTGTCCTCTATGTAGGATGCCCAATTTAAAAGTTCCACAGATGCAATCAAAGGCACATGGCAGAGAAAAAGTATCAGGAACAAAACACACTGTGGAATATGAACTCTACAAGAGGGACCTGATGTGTCTTCATCAGGAGTAGAACAGCGTCTCGTCCATGGAAATGCTCTTACTATTTTGTTGGACAAAGGAAGGAAGACAGAGCGAGTGGACATGTGTTTTGCAATTACACTGGGCTTTCAAATAGGATGCACGGGAACTGCTTTTCAGAACAGAACCATCTGTTGGTAGAGGCGATGTCCATACATGTGCCTACTCGTAGGCATACACGTTTGTGAATATTTATGCGTATATACACTGGATCAACAGAAAAATGCTGTCAGCAAAGTATAAGAGAACTTCATTTTCCCCTGCTACACGGATTTGATGAGGTTTCTGTTATTTGCAGAGACTATGCTCTGAAAATATGTCTTTACATTGATTAATCTTTCTCTTTTTTTCGTCTTTTTGAGTTTCACTATGTGGTTCAGGCTGGCTTGAGCTCACTGCGTAGCCCAGGCTGAATTCACAAGGATCCTCCTGCTTCAGCCTCCTAAGTGCCAGGATTACAAGCACATGCCACCATTCCCGGCTTGATAAATATCAGGGGTTTGGAGGGGGGGTGGTAGAGTTTGATACCAGAGATCAAACTCACAACCTTGTGCTTGCCAGGCAAGCGCTTATAACTCTAAGTTAAACCCTTGATATACTATCTTACTAATTGTTCCATTTCAATAGCAGTTATTATTTTTATCTCTTACTGTGCCAGCATTATAAATTAAAATGTTAACCTGTGGTTCCAAGCATCTGCTGCTGGCCCTGGAACATGCATGCAGAGAAGGGAGACTGGCATATTTGTACCTTCAGTATTTTTTCATTTTTAGTATTTCGGTGCTGGGAATAAAATCCAGGGCCTTGCACGTGCCCTGCTGAGCTACACCCTCAGTCCATTTCATTTCATTGTCAGAGACAAGGTCTTACTAAGCTGCCCAGGCTGACCTTGAACTTGTAATCCTCCTCCCTCAGCCTCCTAAATAGCTGGGAATCCAGGTGTACATCACTGAAACTGGTTTCAGATTTCTTATTTTTGCTTATCTTAGTTACATTTTCTGCTACAGGGCCACTTCTTTTACTCTTCATATTACGTTTTATTTGAAAGAAAGAAGCAAACACCTTATTTTGTTCAGAGAATGATGGGACAGGAATGCATGCTATAGGAAATGAGAAAACAGGAAAAGCTTTTTATTGGATTGTGATGAGTCTGATAGCTCTTTACCAAATAGAAAGTCCTTTGCTCTGGCCTAGAAACCCAGGGAACTTACCTGAAGTTCAAAGCTTGCCTGGTCCATGAAGGATCTTGTGAGAACCTCAGCAAACTGATTGATAGCGCGGAGGAAAACCCTGGGGAGGAAAGCACCCGGTGAACACAGCTCCCCTACTGTGTTAAAAAGGAAACCACACCAGGCACAGTGGTTCCCACCCAGCAGCCCAGCACTCTTGAGGGGCAGAAGCAGGAGGAGCAGACATTTGAGCCCAGCCTGGGCAACTCATGACTTGGGAGACTCTGTCTAAAATTTAAAAATCCAAAAAGGACTGGAGATGCAGGTCAGAGTGAAGGTCCTGGGTTCAAATCCTTAGTGGAGGGTGGAAAAAATTAGCAAGCAAACAACTGTGGCTTGGCCAGAACAGACTATAAGAGCTCTATCCATGAGCACAGCAGTCTACCAAGAGCAGCAGAGGCACTCAGGCTCCTGACCTGGCTGGAGGAGTCCCCGGACCACTCACCACCCAGCTTCACTTAGGATGGAGCTGAGGCTGCAACTGGGGCTGGCTGAGCCTCAGAGGGGGTGTTCGCTCTCTGCTCTGGTGCTTCTCCTAATTTTAGAGTTACAGTTTCTGATGGAGTTTTTCTCCCATCGGTACACAGTTGAGAAGGGCATTTGTAACCAGTTGTCAGGACCATGCCAAGTTAGTTAACTGTGTATGATAATGATTTGCACTGTTGAGCTAATTAAGAAATTCCATGCTCTCTTTCATACATTGTGTATTTGTTTCATTTCACTCAGTTCAACAAGTAACAGTGGAGTGGTGTGGGCACGGTGTGGCTTGGGAGTCCATGGGGACAGAAATTGTGAATTAACCAAGGTCTAATAGAGAACATGAAAATAATTTGATGAGTCAATCTCAAAGGCACATGGAAAACCAGAGGAGGAACAGACAGACAGACAGACAGACAGGCAGACTTCTGCCGTAGGTGACCCTGAGAAGGGGCTGGGAGAAGGCTGACCGCCAGGGGCCTCGGGAAGGCATCGCAGGTGGAAGCAGTGGTGTATTGTGGAGCAGGGCTTGTGCGTGCTTAGAGGCCAGGAGCTCGCTTGCATGGAGCGCAGGTGACACCAGGGGGATCATGAAAGGTACAGGGAGAGCCTTGAATGTCAGGAGGAGGCAGCCATGCAGAGCTGCCAAAAGGCACCACAGAGAGCCGTTGTGGGGGAGCAATGGGGGACCACTGTGGGAGCGGGGAGGAGAGTAACCCAGAGGACCCTGGAGATGAAACTCGGGGGCCAGGTGAGATGGAGATTATGGGGGCACGAGGCAGGCTCGAGGAAGTGGGGGGCGGGGGGGAGGCACAGCGCTAACAGCACCTCGGCACCTCCCAAAGAGCACCCAGCAAACAGTGGCGATCAGGGTCCATGCCTCTGGCTGGCCCCGAGCTCTCCTACCTGCTCTGCGTCATGTTCATGACCATCCAGTCCTTGGCATAGACGTTCTTTCCAATCAGGTCCTTAAACATGATGAAAGTCTCCATGAGGAAGTCCTGCGGAGAACAAAGGAGGAACGGCGGGAGAAAGCGAGCCCACTCACAGCCTTTCTTCGGGTGGGTGGACAGAAGGACCCTACAACAGAGCAAATGTAGTCTCAGTCCCAAAGGGACCGCCAGGCTTTTGGGGACAAGGAAGCATGCTTACAGCAAATAACCATAGTGTGGGATGTTTATGTTGCATGGTTCTACAAGGAAAACGAAGGCAAAAAAGTTACCCACGTTTTACAAAGGGTACAACCGGCAGGTGTGAGAGAGCCTGGTGGGAAGGGTTGGAGGCCAAGGGCAGCTGTGTTTTCTCCTCGGCCTCCAATTCTCTCCCCCCTTCCCAGACTTCCTCACACCTGGCCCCTGCAGATGTGGTCACCTACAGCTCTGCTCCCCACCCCAGCCCGCTGGGCCAACACAGCATTTGGAGGCTCCATCACCCAACTATTCCAATGAACAGTGCTTTCTCCAGTTCCTTAACTATGCATCTCTTGGGCTCCCCCCCCCAAAAAAAGCCAAAACAAGACAAACAAATAAAAACCAAGGGTGGGAGTGAGGAGGAAGCTGTCAATGCCCACAGGCTCTCAATAAAATACACACCTAAAGAAAATCTAGTGCATAAAACTGGGATACATCTGGGGGACGGATGTCATTTGACCAAGACTTAGAGTCCCCTGGCTGTAGTTTGCTAATCCAGCCCCATGTCCAGGCCACTGTTCTGCAAGGTCAGGTGACATCTCCAGGGACAGCACTACTCTGCTAAGGATTCCCTGGAGCTGCAGCCAGGGGCCTAATTTGGCTTCTTGGATGCATACATCACAGCAGCTGTAAGAACAATTCTTCAGCTAAGCGAGACAGAGAGGCGGCTAGTGTCCCTTTCCACGAGACACTAACTCCTCTCCGAGCAAGAAAGATTTCTCCAATGTCTCTAAATGCATGACTCAGGGAGTGACAGGCGACCCCATGGTGCAGTTACTGTGTTCTTCTGCAAACCATGGCAAAAAAAGTTAGAGCCAGCTCTCCTCTTGGTAACCACTGTGGATGAAACCCTGTAGCCCTGCCGGTGGGTAGGAAGAGAACCCTGGACTTGAATGCTCAACTTCAGTTTTTGTTTGTTTGTTTGAACAATTGTAAGAAGTCTTCAGACTATCAGGACCCAGCATGGCAACTTACGATGATATCCTGCCTGGTCTTGAAGGTGCTGATGTAGTGGCTGTAGTGGCTGTCCTCCATCTGCCGCAGGATGGCGATCATGCAGGCCACAAAGCTGCCCTGGAAGGGAAGCGGAAACACAGATGCCAGGCTCCACGGACCACCAACAGACGAGACCCAGGCTGGACACCAGGTACTCTGGTGTTTCCCACCTGCTGTACTCTGAGCTCCGCCTTGGGGCAGGGTTGTAGCATAGAAATTCAAGAGGAAATGCCTCAAACGCTTACAGCAGTTTAACAAATCTGAAAATGGAGAGCTAGTGTGAAGATGACAGGTCCAGGTTGAGCATCCCTAATCGGAAAACCTGGACTCTGAAATGTTCCAAGTTGTTGTGAATTTCAGAGCACTGTGGATTTTGGATTTTTTTGATTGGTGATGCTCAACTAGTAAGGTTTGCAAAAGCCTCCAGTCCAGAAATGTTCAAAATTTGAAACACGCTACTCAAGCTATAGTGACATTGAGAGTGGACAGGTGGACAGGGGACAGGGGACAGGGGAGGTACTGACTCCCGGCTCTAACACTTGAATCTGTTTTGCTAACCCAAGAACCCTTACGCCAGTGTCTCCAGTAAGTGACCCACGGGGAAATGTGTGCTGGACTGGGCAGAAAAAAGAAATGAATAACATGACCACCATGGTTTGTGCATGGAAGGCTATGACGGGTTAGTGCAAGCAAGTCACACGTATATAGCCAGAGTGAATGCCTCAAGGCTCTGCATCTTGTCTTATCTATGTCAATGCAAATGCCACATATTCAGATAAATCTGACACGGAGGAGATGAAAGCCCAGCCATTGGAGGAAGGGAATGTCTTACTAAACACAAAAACAAAGCAAGACTGCCCGTGTGCTCCCCTCTATGACCGAATGTCTATCCTGCACTTTTTTGCTGAAAAAAATTTTTTTTCCTTATTATAAGGTCATGTAAACATTTTGGGCTAAAGTTTGGGGTATGCAATGCAAATTATCATACAGTTTGTGTTTATACCGCTGTCTAACATTAGATGTGTCTCCAGGCCCACTGGGTACTGAATTTAATCTCACTTTTGGTTAATAGGCATTTCTGGTTTTCTGTTACCATTTATTTTTCTCATTTGGCTCCCTGCTCACATTCCTTACTCATTTCTTTATTAAATAACATATTTTCTTGTGGTTTTTTTTTTTGTTTGTTTGTTTTTGGTTTTTTTTTAGTATATTAAGTGCTTTTTCCAGTTGTCCGTGGTGTAGTTTTGTTTTGGGACAGGGTCTCACTGTGTAGCTCAGGCTGGCCTTGAACTCTTGGTCTACCTGCCTCTTGGCCTACCTGGGTGCCGGGATTACAGGTGTGCAGAATCACAATAAGCAGTGCCACTTTATATTAAGACTGTTAGTCACCTGCCACTATTTAAGCACATAATATGTCTTTTTTCTTAGCATGATTGTGCTTATTGGCCACTTGCTGCATATATTATAATTTTTACACTTTGGTGCTTGACACCTAATTTCCATATATGCTTTCCTATGTAGGGGTTTACTTTTTTTTAATGTAGCATAACTTAACTTTGTTTTCCTTTTTAATTCTCTGAACTGCAAGAATCTGGGTTTTTTGTTTGTTTGTTTGTTTGTTTTTGTGATACTAGGCATTTAATGAGCTATACTCCCAGCCTTTTTAGAATTTTAAGACAAGTCTATGTTACCAAGTTTCCCAGGGTGGGTTTGAACTTGCAATCCTCTTGCCTCAGCCTCCCAGAATGCTGGGTTCACAGGCATGAACTATAATGTCTGGCTAATAATCCTACTTCTTGTAAGATATTTTCATGTACATTTTTCCTCCAGCTGCTTCTTAAATTTTTTACAGTGAACTCTTCATTCCATTTGACATTTATTTTGAAGGGTTAGGGTTAGTGTTAGTCAAATGAAATTTTTCTAAAATTTACTAAAAGTAAAAAAAAGTTCATATAATCAGATCAACTTTTCAATTCCCCTGGTTCTACTCTGTTGATGCAGGTACAGTACTGTATGTATATTATTATTATTTTCCAATCTGACAAGTAAGCCCTTCATATTTCCACTTGGCAATTCATTTACCTGAAGCTCAATTTTTTTTATGTGCAACGCTAGATATTAAACTCATAGTTTACACACCCAGTACGCAAGAACTCTACCAACTGAACTACGTCCTGCCCATAAATCTTACTTTTACTCTGATATATATCACTCAATTAAATGGAATTTTTCTTTACAATGTCTAAGTAGATACCAGTGTTACATAGAAAGGGCCCTGAATATTGTCTACTGTAAAGTCAGCAAGCTTAAAAAAACTGATTAGTTTTATGAAAATTTCAGTTAACTCTCAAAATGCTGGCCATTTTGGCTACAAAGAATGACAATTACGACTATTATGGCTCTGTCATCAACAGTTATATTTATCATTTGTTCCTTATTAAATTTTTTAGAAATCATAAAAAATGTTAAGCAATGGAATTGAGATTGAACATCCTAATTCTCCCTTCTGTGACCACTGAGTATCATGATTCCTTGTGATATCACAGTAAAAACATTTCCGTCTCTTATTAACTTGGAATGGATGTTTTACCACTGTGGCATCTACAGACAGAATCATACGGCTTATTCCTTTTATTGAATTAAGACATTCTGTTAATGTATTCTGTAATATTTAACCAGCCTTGATTAACCAGAATAAACTGTACAAAGCTATTTATATTCATTTTCTGTATTTGTCTTTCTGTCTGTGCTTGTGTTTGTTTGTACATCTTGTCCTCATTCTTAATTTATTTTTATTTTTTTAGGGGGACCAGGGATGGAACTCAGGACCCTGTACTTGCCAGGCAGGCGCTTATGCTGCTGAGCTAAATCTCTAGCCTCCTCATTCTTTACTCTACTCAGGTCCTTCTCTCAGCCTCCCAGAATGTAGAGTTTTTAATGTGTGGACTACCATGCCCGACTCATTTGTCTTTTTTCTTGAACAGAGCAGGGCTCATGGTTCACACCACAGAGAATAGAGAATTCATGTAAGAGCTGAGATCGGCTTTAGAATACACCCAACACACTGTGTGTGCAAATGGGACACGGAAGCCACGGTGTCACCTCAGAGACACTCACGATGTGGGGGGACTGCCGGCTCATCCCAATCACCGTGCGGTTGATCCTTCTCAGCAGCCGCTCCATGATCAGCTGGATGTGTGCTGCTGTGGGGCCCTGCGAGAGGAACACAGGACACAACATTGTTTCCTCTGACTCGGTTTCCCTCTTCCCCGAGGAACCTTGGAGAGAGGAGTTCTCACTGCAGATCCCATTCTGCTTTTCCCCAGGAAGCAACCACTTCTCCAAAAGAGAAAATGGTGTCTCGAAACAGCATGTAACTTTGTAAAGGAAGTCAATTCAGAACAGTCACTTAAATCATTTATAAGGCGAACTTGGAGGTACAGGAATGAAATCACTGCCCACCCAAACCCAGAGAGCTCAGGTTTGCCGTGAGTTTTCTGTGGCCACAGATAGTCAGGGGGAGGCACTGAGCAGATGAGAGCTGCCAGGACATCATGCACATGGAAGGGAGCAGAAAGCGAAACTACAAAGCTCTTGCCACTTTCTGTGTAGAGAAAATATAAAAAAGAAACTCAAGCCAAGAGGTTTGTTAAGAAGTCAATATTTGTGTTCCTTTCAAATACTTATCTTAGAACTCTAAATCCCAATGGTATTAGTAGATGGGGGTTTTGGGAGGTAAAGTTAAGATGAGCTCAGAAGAGTGGGGCCCTGATTTAATGGGATTAAAGCCCTTATCAGAAGAGACAACAAGCTTGTGGTATTTCTTGTGGTATGTTGCACACCTGTGACCCCTGCACTCTGGGAGGCTGAGAAAGGAGATTTGCAAGTTCAAGGCCACTGTGGGGAACTTAGATGTCATCTCAAAAAGCAAAAAAGGAAGGGAAGCAGCTAAGTGTGAGAGTCCTGGTTCAATTCCAGAAATACACACACACACACACACACACACACACACACACACACACGCACACGTGCACACACGCGCGCGCGTGCGCACACACACACACGGGGGTGCAGGCTCCCACTCAGGCCTCTGTAAGAAGAAAGCCTTCATGAGAACCTGGGCATGCTGGACCCTGACCTCAGGCTTCCAGCCTGCCGAGTAGTGAGATTTAATTTGTAACTTTAACTCATTATTCAGCTTTGAGGTGCTTTAAGTTTTTAGAGCTGCAAATAAAAGGCTACTTACTATTTTCTTAAATGTGTTAATTGGGCCAATAGTGCTTGATAAATGTGTGTTCATTTTTCTTTCTTTCCTGTTCTGTTGTTAGATGTTACTCATTCAACTCCGACTTCTCCACATTCAATTTGAGTTTTTCAGCCTTTATCCAGTCTTGCTTCACAACAGATACTTTAAAACTCCTGCTTAACCACAGCACTACAATTTTTCCTTAATATGGTATTTATTATTTCTAAATCATTTCACTGTTGAAATCATAATCAATATGTATGTGATGGTTTAATATGTGGATATTATGATTATAATTAAATTAACACACCCATCACACCCATGCCGTGCAGTGCATTTGCAGAATTTGTTCATTTTTTAACTGTGTACTAGGATATCTGCACACACATACACCCCAGGGACTATTATTCTATTCACTGCTTCAATGAGTTAAATATTTTTTTTTTCTTCAGTGTTAGGGGACTTAGGGCCTTCAAACTGAACTATATCCCAAACTTTTTATTTCTCAGTTTGAAATAAGGTCATTGTGTCACTAAGTTCCCCTGGTGGGACTTGAACTTGTGATCCTTCTGCCCCAGCACTCTAGGAGCTGTATGTTATCAAACCTAGCTTACTCGGGCCATCTGGAAAGACTCCTTCTGTTTGGGGAGGAGGCAGGCAGAGACAGAGGCACTCTTGGCTTGGCAGTGGAAGAGACTCGTAGTCATCCAGAACAGTTCCCACATGTTGGAGGACAGCAAAGCCAGGCTCTGAGATGTTCCTCAAGATGTTCACAGTGGGACTAGAACCCAAACACGCCAGTTCCCATGCTTCAGATTAGGTTTAGACCCGACGTGTGCTTTCTGTAACACTGAGACCCTGGTTAAGCCACCATTCTTAGTAAAACGTGGCCACATTTATATGGCTTAGAACTTGATGCTACTATTTTAGATAATTACTTAAAATATCATTATGTTTAAACCATGATTGGTCACTGGAAGGAAAAGCCAGCAGATGTTTTCCCTTGAGATGTGACCCTTCCTCGTATTCCTCTGTGCCCTGGAATTATTAGGTCTAGTGATTTGTATACTGCACACAACCTTCCTGATCAAGGGGTGTTCAGCCATGAGATGGACCAGTGACCACAGACTCAAAGACTCAAGCCTGAGCATAACTCAATCCCTTTAACACCTCGCAAACCCTGCTCTGTAAGGATTGCTTTCGGCTCTTTGGAGCCATCGGCCCCTCTCAAGTCTTTATTTTAAATAAAGCTTGTCCTCCCGCTAATTTTTCTTTTTTTCTACTTTTATTTCTTCCAGTCACATTTATTTATTTGTTGCAATGTCCTTGGTTAAGTACTAAATCCCAACCAAAACTTCTTGGGAGAATTTATTCCAGTTTATAAATATGATCCTAGAAACACATTTAAACTAACAAAAGGGTGAAAAGTGGCCTCTAACGAATACATAGCAAATGAAGAGTAGGAATGGTAAGAACATGTGGTGAGTTTTGCCACGGGGCGAGGTCGGGGAGGAGCAGGAGAAAGCGATGGGATCCTCCTGTGCTTCTGAGGCTTGGGTGGGCTTGGCGAGACAGTGGGCAGCAAGGAATGACAGATAAATTCTGAGGCCAAAGTGCTGGCCCTGGACAGGTAAGCTCAGGGTGTAGACAGAATCAAACAGCCATCTCCTGTTTTGCAGGAAACCCCGTGGCCTGCAGCCATCATGGGAGTGGTTTGGGGTAAGAGGCTCCTTCCTATGAGCCCTGAATTTTAACTGCACAATTCTGTTCACTTCTCTAGCCTCTGCTGTGGGTCTGTTAGGCCCATGCGACGTGCTATCTTTAGGACATGGGAAATCCAGGCAAGCTCAGTCCTGTATATTCAGGAGCTGCTGGGATCTAGATCACAGAGGAGATGCAAGATAAGAAAAGCATAATTTCCACCAGGGTCTGGAGAGAGCAGCAGTGTCACAGAGAACAGAAAAACAGATCTTCTCAGAAGCACAGAAGTGTTTACAGTAGCATCAGGCATGAGAGGACTGGGGCAGAGGCTTCTGCAAAAGACCAAATCTCTAAGGGTCTTTGCATAATATGGGAACTTTTGTGTGCTCACGGGGATCTCGGATGTGGCTGGGAGAGTCCACTAACAGGGTTCCCAGCAGCAAGTCGACTTTACTAGGACCCACAGGTGCACAGAAGGTGCTGGCCTCTCCAAAATGAGCACAGCTTCCCAGTACTGGGGCTCTGGACTGCCCGAGACTAGGAAGGTCTTGGAGTCCCTCCTCCCCGGGGTGAAGGGACCAGCTGAGCTCTGCACCGCATAGATGACACAACTCACCACATCCTTCCTATCCAGCACCTCCAGGATGCTGCTGAGAAGCTGTGAGCTGGCCTCGTGGTCAGGCTTGCTCGAGTGGTCGTCCAGCTGGCCGCTGAGCTGGTCTGTGAGCAGCGGCAGCAGCACCTCTCTGCACTCTGAGGAGGAAATGCAGCAGCTCACATCAGGAACTGCCCACTCCCTCCGGGACTCTCCCCAGCTACCCAGAAGCCCTGCAAGGAGGAGACTCTCCAGGCCTCCAGGGAGTGTGTGGTTTTAGGCATGGAACTTTAACTTCACCCCTGTTTTACATGCACTAAGAAATACCCTTCCTGTGTATGAATGCCAGCACTGAGCACAATGTTAATCTGTAAATTATTTTTTGGCATTGCAGGGATCAAACCTACAGCCTCTTGCATGGCATGCAAGTACTCTACGCTTAATCCTACCAATGTGCAAATTATTTAACCATTTTTCCAAATTTTCAATTTTTATTTTTTTTCTTTTTGGGATTCGACCTAGGGCCTTTCACTCACATGCTCCCAGTGAGCTATACCCTAGCTCCTCTCTTGCTTTTTAAAATGACACTTGAGGGGCCAGGGAATTAGCTCAATGGCCTAAGCACCTACCTGGCAAGTGAGGTTGTGAGTTTGGTCCCCGGTACAAAAAAAAAAAAAAAAACCAACAAAACGATGACAACTTAATATGTGAATGCTAAGTCATGTGACACCAACAAAAACTAAGCAAGTCAAATGTTTTCTAATGCTTTTTCATACTTGATGGGGAAAAGTTACTGATTCTTAAGAACAGAGAGTTTCCTGGGTCCATTTCTCTGGTCCTGCTTTTGCAGACATCAAGCTTACAGAAACTAGAGGATATCACAGTATATCTTCCTACTGGGCTCTTGGAGATTACACATCCTTAGGATGGGTCCAGGTACAGAAGTGCCTGCTAACTGGGATCTTACTTCCTCTCATTAGAATTACTTTGTGCAGCCAGGAGCGGTGATGCAGTCATGTGATCCTAGCACTCCAGAAGGCCGAGGCAGGAGAATCACAAGTTCAAGTCCAGCCTGGGCAACTCAGTGATTTGGCAACTTTCTGTCTTAATAAATGTGGGGGTTATGTGGATCTGGAGTATAGTTATCAAAGGCCTTGGGATCAATCCCTAGCACAATAAAACAAACAAATGAAAAATTATTTAGTGTGTCTCGCTCTTAGATGCAAACATCCCACCTTTATTGTCTCCATTATCTTCTTTGCATCAGTAGAAGCAGGGTTTACCATGCATATTAGGATGTTTAATAATTATTTTTCTCCTTAGCAGCATCCCCTAGCTTAGTCAACACTACCTCCAACTACGTCCTAGGAACATTTGAAATTTTACATTTTAAGCACAGATTAATAGGGTCAGAATATATACAGACAGCACCTAGTTCTTCCCTTGTGTAGAAACCCAAAATTGAGACTTTGCATACCTCGCCAAGGGAAAGGCTAGGAGGGTTCTCCCATCCCTGGGGGTTGTTAAGGAGGCCCAGGATACACACCTAGCATGAGGTCCTCCTCTGGGACTCCTCACCTGGCCACAGGAACTGCAAAGAAGTCCCCAGTTGTCTCACTCTAGTGTGTCCTAGATTTATAAGGAAGGAACAAGTACTGGACTCCTTCTTATCATCAGCTTAGGGCAGGAGCACACTGATTAAGACTTGGTGGCTGCATGCTCTACTCTGTTTACAAAAACCTTACTGCAGTAATAGCGTGAGAGTAAAGAGTGAGAGATTTCTCTCCTTTGTGCCCCTGCCCAGTGGAATACTGGTAATCCAGCTTCCTTCATCCTCAAAATGCCCTGATGATAGTGCTGGCCAGTTTCTATGTGACTACATCCATGACAGCTCTGAACACAGATTCAGGGAGGGTAAAGAGTGGGTTTGGAGGTAGCGCCTCAGCTCTGCCTGCCCTGGCTCCTGGCTGGAGTGTTGAAGCACTAAGTATAGGTCAAACAGAGTAAATCTGATTGAAAGTGTCATCCTTCTTATTTGCTTGCCATTTTCTGGAGCTCCTCTTTCGAGAATGAAGTTATCTAATTAATGAACCACCTGCTGATTGTTCCTTCTTTGAGACAGGGTCTCCCTATGCGGTTCAGGCTGGCCTTGGGCTCACTTTGTAGCCCAAGCTGGTCTTGAATTTGCAATGATCCTCCTGCCTCAGCCTCCAAAGAGCTGGAATTATAGGCATGCGCCACCACAGCTGGCTGACTGTTCTAATTCAAGCTTAAACACACAATTTTGCTCCTTCTGTGATTACGAGAAATACTCAACTGGCTGCAGCTTCTTAAACTGGTGTCTCAGAGGTGCTCAAGTACTGACAAATTGGCAAGGAAATTACCGACATTTCAAACACAAAAAGGCAGATGATAGCCAAATGCCGCAGACCTGAGCCTGGTTGTCCAGGAAACGGCCGTTTCTGCTGTGGACTCACCTGACTGCTGGAAAAGGCTGCTCTCTACTATCTTGGTCATGCAGTTGAGCTTCTGCCGCACTAGCTGGTTGTCCGGGATGCTCTGGATGAACTTGCAGAAGAGCACGCTGCAAGAGAGAGCCCAGGTCCAGCGTTCTCACCCTGCCAAGCCAACAGCGCCCCTAAACAGCTTTCTCCTCCACTGATACACCTGTGCATTGAGTCTGCCTGGAAAACTGTGAAACGGCCCCTGGTCTCAGAACACCCTGAGAGTCCCACACACCTGGTCCCCAGATGTAAAGCACCCCATATATCCACAGTAGCCTTCCAGGCCTGCCCAACACTCAGCTAGCATGAGAGGCCTTTTCTGGCCCCCTCCACACTAACACTTTGCACTCCTGGGTCCTCAGGCAGGGCTTCAAATGTGTGATTATGCACTTTCCTTTGGAGTTAAATTTTATGTTTGCATGTTCTGTTTCCCCAAAGAAAGTGCAAACCTCTCTCAAGGATCAGCTGTGTACGTTCTTTTGCCAAAGATTTGCAACACTTACCTGAGCTCAGTGGGATCGAACACGAGTTTGACATCATTGATTATGTTTGGCAAGTATTTCAAAGCTGCCCCCTGTAAGAAAAACGCCAAAGGCAAACTCAGTTGCCAAGCAAGACAAATACAGAACTTACAGCTTGATCCCTGGAAAAAAGGGCTGCACCTGGACCTGAGACAGGGAACTGCACACAGATGCCCTTGGGAAGAGGAAAGCTCATGTAGCCAAACACAATCTCCTCCTACCTTTCTCCTGAAAGTACAGGAGACACAGCCCTCATTCTCCCTGTGAGTAGGGGTTAATCCATTCTGGTAATCCTGTGTTTCCTAGTCCTTTGGAATGACTTTTTGAAAGAAATAAATTCTCAAAGTCTACTTCACAGAGTTACATAAAGAACAAGGGACCTAGGATAAAATTTAAACTGCAGCCTTTGAGGATTATGTATTTCATGCTTTAATCAAACTATTGCCGCTTTAGACACCGGAAAATGAGCAAATGAAAAAATAGAAAAATCTCCCTCATTTCAGCAGGGAGATTTCTTTTTCTTTTCTTTTGTAGTACAAGTCGAACTCAGGATCTTGCACTTGCCAGGCAGGTGCTTATGCCGTTGATCTGGACTCCCAGCCCAAAATGTGGCTTTGTTACTTGCTCTCAAATCTTACTAAAACTCACACGCTTTCCATGAAGCATGGATCACTTGGCTCCTCTCCGACCTCAGCCAGTTCTGAGTTCTTCAGAACCTGGTCACCCACAGCCTTAAGAGAGCCACCCCAGGACCCTGGCTGACCTTGATCTTGACGGCTTCCTCCAGGGGTCTGTCCATCAGCATGTTGAAGGAGAGAAATAACTGGCGGATGGAGTTATTAAATTCGTCTCCGTCATCACTCTGGCCATAAAATCTTAAAAGCAAGAAAGAGAAAAATAGTCAGAGTTTCTCATCTTTAAAAGAAATTTTAAAACAGATTTGTGGCCTCAATAAACAAAACAAAACAAACTCCTCATACTGGATGCCAATGCCTCACTGGATACCACCTTATGCGGTGTAGAGAGAGATGGCTCCTGGGGCAGTCTAAGGTGGTTCTGGGAGGAAATCTGACACAAGACCGTGACACAGGGCTCTCCTATCGCTCTGTGAAGATCAGCCCACTGAATAGGACTTTCCGGAAGTGGTTTGGGAAGCCCTGTGTAGGTGGATGCGTCCTGAGCCACTAGTTTACGGGCACTTCTGGCAGGAAAGAGAACACCAGAAAGTCACAGTGTCTAGTGCAACAGGTGAGTTCTAGATGCCTGATTTCTCCGTTCATCAGCAGAAGGTCCCATGTGAAAGGGACTCCTCCAGCAAACGGCTGGAACTCACCGCACGGGCCACCTTCTCTCCTCAGCATCCCTCCTCCCTTCCACCTTAATGGCCTCATGCAGGTCATTCTGCAATGAACGACCACAGAGCGTGCATGCCTATAATCCTAGTATTCTAGGAGGCTGGAGCAGGAGAATCTCAAATTTAGCACCAGACTGGGCCATTCAGTGACTTAGCAAGACTAACATCTGTCTCACCTAATCAAGCCTTGACTGTATGAGCAGAGGTTCCAGACAATGAATGGGTACAGAAGCTCCTTAGCCCAGAAAGGTGCTGAACCCATACGATCCAGAAAAGCAGTCAGCATCCGACCTGTCCACTACTGATGCTGATCTCCTCTACCACAGGGCCTTCAACTGCACTGCTACAGGTTTGTTTGATGAACGTTTCCAGCTTTCCCTCACAACATTTTTTTAAATCAACTGGAAGGCTAATTCTTTTTCTCCAAGTAGAAATCAAGAGCCTTTGGCCAATTTACAGAAACAGTGAAGTCCCCAGCAGCAGTGCCTGGGCTTACAAACTGGGTGGCAACTTCAACATCAAACAGCCAAGAGCAGAAGATGAAGTCAGGGTTTTATGGACAAACACAAATGCACACATACATGCGCTAGTTGATTTAAATCAGTCTCCTCCAGGTATCCACATACCATGAGCACCCCTAATCTGAAAATCCAAAATGCTCTCAGATCTAAAAACTGTAAGCACTGACATGACACCACGAGAGGAAAATTCCACATCTGACCTCCTGTGGTGGTTTCAATCAGAAAGAGGCACATTAGCAAAACTGCATGTAATACCTCCAGGTTTGTGAAGAGGACAAAGATGAACCAAAATCAATTCTGTGTTTAGATTTGGGTCTCATCTGCAAGATTTCACCCAAAACCCCTAATAATCTGAAATACAAAACTACTTCTGGTCCCAAGCATCTTGGATGAGGGATATTTAATCTGTAATTCTTATGGCAGCTGCAGAATATGACCTCCCTCAGAAAATTATTATTTCATCAGAAGGTGATGGTAATTGTGAGTTTACTTATTTGCCAGAACTAGCAACAAAGAGCTTTTTTGGAAATTAGTTCTTAGAGTATCTTAAAGTAGAGCTAGAAGAGAACTCACTGAATGTTCCGCTAGGCACTTAGTATTCCAAACTTCAGCAGCGCCTCTGCCCACCCCAGCGCTGAGGCTGTCTGTGATCCCTGCCCTTTCCTCACTGCAACAGCAAGTCCCATTGACTCCTCCTCTCCACTTGCACCTACCACAATACCTTTTCCACACAAGAAAGGAGACAATTGCTTAGAACATAAACCAGATTGCACTGCTTCTCAATCAAGGCCTTTCCATTGCACACCCAGCATCCCTCACTGTCAGGACCCCTCAGCACTCTGCTGATGCACAAGGATTCCACATGGACCTTCTGCAAGGGGCCCGCAATCCACTGCCATCCTTGGCATTGAAGTTATGGAGTCTGGTGAATCCATGACACACTGCTCAGACAGCTGAACGCAAGTGTGAGGAGTGAGGGAAATGAGGAGGAGAGGGCAGCAATGGGGCCAAACTGTGGCGACCTTTACCTTAGGTACAGCACCCGAGACTGGATGATGAACCTGAACAAGTACTTCAGGGCTTTCAAAGCGGCGAAGAGCAACTCTGTCTTGCTGGAGTCGTCTGCATTAGCCACATAAAAGTTCAGTACCTTGGAGAGTTTCCTGAAAAAAAATAAAAAAAGAAAGAATAATTAAGCCAATGAGTAAAATGGAACCCTGAGGGAGGGGAGGGTGGAGAGCAAGGAGATGACTGGAGTCATAACTCCCCTTATATTGGTTACAACACGCCCTCCATAGGCTCACTAACTCTCCGGAGATTCAGCTTCCTCATCTGCAGGGTAGATTTGGAACTTGCCTTACCAGGCAAGTTGGAACACCAGGGATCAATGCTTCCAAATGGTGGGAAGTTTCCCTCCTTAAAAATACGGATCAAGGAACGAAAAAGTGGAAAGATTTCAAAGCATGAGGAAAGTTTAATCTCTGGCACGAGACCAACATCTTCAGATGCTCCTGGCAAGCAGATATGACGATAACCTACAGGAATCACTTTAAAATCTAGTTCGCTCCATTCTGCCCCAATCCTTTAGATGCATAAATACAGAGCCAGATTGAGTGTGGGGAACAGAGCTCGATCCAGCTCTCCAGAACACTCATGGTTCTGAACACGTCCATGGACAAAACCCTTCTGGGGGATTTTAGATTGCTCTTTGTGTCTTTCTGGTCTGGGGACCAGGGATCTTGATCTGTGGTCTTGATCTTGTGGTAACTCAGAACTTTGAACGTTTGGCTATTTTGAGCTCTCCTTGAGACTTTATAAGCTTTTATAGAATTACCACAGAATCCAAAGCAAACATGTGGAATTAACCAGATGCTGTGGAGAAACCCAGACTGTTCCTACTTGGGGGTGGGGTGAGTGTTCCATTCGGCTTAGTGTATCTAGGATCCCTGGCTAAAAAGGATTAAACTTGTAGCTGCTGCTGACTTGGAACAGGAGGCCGCTGCCTGGGGAGATCTCTACTGCTGGTATAGCACCACCTCCTCCTGCCAGTGAGCATCACAGCCATCTCACCAGCTGCTGAGTGTGCTACAGTACACCTCCTTTACGGAACTTGTTTCTGTACTGCCATGCTTATTTAGTTTAGGAAAGAACACCAGGGATCAATGACCTGACTCGGCAGGTCAACCAGTAGCAATCAGCATGAATCACTGTCCAGAAGACTATTTACCCACCCTGGCTACATCCTGTCACTATTTATTGCATTGGTCTGGATCATGACTGCAGTGCAAATGGTGGGAGTGACAGGCCACATACACTAGGATGATCTGAGCACTCTAGGGGGAAACACAGTGAGTATCAATTGTTTTCTCCGAATAGAAAGCAGACTGAGCTGCAAGAAATGCAGAAACCTCTTCATTTTTATGCAAAAATAAGAAAAATGAAATCGTACATCCCATGAATAATACAATCCATGAAGCACTAGTAGAATACGGCTGAGAACATGCCCTGCTCTTCAGTCATATTTGGTCTTGTTGAACTCACTGTTAGACACCATTGCTGCCACACATGGACCTCACTGACCTCCAACTCTAAAGATCTTGAGTTTGGCCATCTGTCCTTGATTCTGCTCCTAACTGGCTTCAGCCACTACATTTCTGGATTGGTAAGAGAGACACTGCCTTATCTAAAAGGATGAGTCACAACAGATGACTTTTTTAGGTTAGAATACTCAGCAGGTTCTGTACTCAAAGCTACTTTAGTGAATTCAGGTTCCTTGCATGTTTTCAAAACTCCAGCCCGGGGAGCACAAATTCAACAGTCCAGCAGCACAGAGGTCTGATGAGTCATACTTACACATATGCCAATGTGGCACTGAAGTGCTTGTAAATGTAGGTTTCAAGTACAGGATTAAAATGCTGGAACTTGATGTCTCCTATCAGTGAAATAATGAATACCTGCCAAAGTAGAAAAAAGTCAATGACAGGCATTCTGTCAACAGGCTGCACGCTAACCTCCTGGAACCTTCTTTTCTAGCTTAATCATTTCTGCAACATTCCTATTCTATGATTCCAGAGCTAAGGTCAAGTCTTGTGGTTTATATTTAATCAGTGCAGAAGCAAGAGTTACTATGCATCAGATACTGGGTGATATGGTACAGATACATGGTGGTGAAGCTATGATACACGTGTCACAGGGGGCTGTCTGGATCACTGAGAGCTCTAAAAGCTTCGTCCTCACCGGCATAAATGAACCAATATAAACCAGCATCCCTGACCTCAGGGAGCCACTGGGTCAAAGGGAAGAGGGTTCATGCACAGGTAAATTAAGTCCTGCATCAAAAAAGCACAGCATGCCAGCGATTTAGCTTAGGAGCATAAGCACCTACCTTGCAAGTGTGTGGTAGTGAGTTCAATCCACAGTACAAAAAAAAAAAAAAAAAAAAAAAAAAAACAAAACACCCCAAACAAAACCAGCAGGAAGGAGACTATGGAGACAGCTATCTGTGCAAACAATATCTAACCCAAGAACACAGCCAATCAAATAGCCTGTGGCATTTCTAGTGCTGCTGGAGAGAGCACAGCCTATAACATCTGTATTCTGAGTACAGCATAAGTGTCCCTAACAACCTGAGCTTCACCATGGTTTGGCCTCCTGATTCTCCCCTCACACCTCACCTCTAGTGGGTGTGAGGTACATAATCTGCAGATAACTAAACTGCACCTAAAAGTGACAGAAGTGTGCAAAGAAAAAGGCATTTGGGATTTCCACCCATGCCCATGGCCAGCTGCTCTGTCCCCCAGGGACTGAGCCGCAGACTTTGCGCCATGGCACTTGTTACCCACAGTCTCCCTTTCCCAGAGACCCGACCCTCCAATCTTGACCTTCTCTCTCCTCATGTCATATTGTTAGTGTCTTGACCGCTTAGTGGAGGGCGAGTGACCCATGGCTGCATGGAGCGTCTCCCTTAGCGATTACATTCAAGTCACATTTGCCCTGAATTTCCCCACACCAGGAGGAAATGGTGCCTGCTGTGGTTATGTCCACTTCCTCCACCTACACCTCTGCTCTTCCCAGATTCTGGTCGTCACTCATCCTTCTGCTGATTTCAGTTCTTGGAATGCACTTCAGTGTTTTGTGTGACTAATTCAGTTGTCTGCTGGGCTGCACACAGCACCTCAAGAGGCCAGCGGGATTCTCCAACCAAGAATTCAGCCTCCTCACTCAAACACCTATGCCACGCAACAGCCCTGCTGCTCACAGGTGTCACTGAGGTTCTGACTCCCCAATGGCAAAGTGAGTCAAGATGTTTCCTGCTTTCTAAGGTAAACCCTTTGATTTCCCTAATGAGAAAGCAGAAGCTGATGAAGAGTGAGCTCTAACAGAAAACCAAGAGATAAAGGCCTGCAAGAGGAGTTCTTTATTTCTAATTTTGCATCAAGAATTTTAGTCTGAGGAAATCATGATGATGTATTACAAATATTCGTGCAGAAGCAGATTCATGGAAATTAATTATAATAGGGAGCTGCAGAAGACCACACATGTGGGAGGACAAACACCAGGTCATAAGTAGTAGGTAATACATTTAGCTGCTCACCAATGCATCGAACACAAGGAAGTCATATGATTCATTGTCTGACATTTCCATCATGATGTTAAAAAGTGCATCTAGTGTGTCCTGTAAAAACTGAAGGTAAGAAAGTGAGGTTATTTCAGTGACTTTCAACTTCATGTTGTACAAATTTGGGGACAATTAGGATTCAATGGAATAGGCTTAAAAATAGCATTTTCTTAAAAAGCAGTACCCATGCTTAGCAATACAGGAAACCAGCCTTATAGTGACAACAGGTAAATATTAGGTTAATAGGTGAAGCTGATCATGTGGCAGGTATGGTGCTAGACATGAAGATGTACACATACCTTCACGATCTCTCCTCCGTCCACCTCCATTAACTTCTTTAGGTTGTGTGTAATGTTCTGAGAGTTGGAACGCCAGTTTAACAATCCTAACAGGTCAACTGGGAAGAAGCATGACAAACCACAAGTGTCAGGAGGACACAGCTACAGAGGGCTCTGGTAAAGATAGCTGCTTCTGCTAGCTCTTTTGAGAAATGCCTTGTCTGTTCTTTTCCCTACTCTAAGAAAACCTTGTAATCCTCTTTCAATCTTCAAAGAGGAAGAAAAATGAACTGCTAATAAGAATATAGGGGCTGGGGATTTAGTTCAGTGGTGCAGTGCCTGCCTGGCAAGCATGAATTCCTGAGTTTGATTTTCAGTATAAAAATATTCCCCAAACAAAATAAAATCTGATTAGAACTCACAATTTTTTAAAAATAATGACATCATCATCACAAAACAGTAACAGTAGGAAGCAGCCAGATGCAATGGTGCATGGCTGCAATTCCAACTCTTTGGGAGACTGAGGCAGGAGGAGTGCAAATATGTATAAGGCCAGCCTGGGCAAAGTGCAATCCTGTCTCAAAATGGGGAGGAAGGTGCACTGTGGGCACAATTCAGGGCAAAACCCCAGTCCTGGGGAGAAAGAAAAGCACCCACATACTCCTAAGTAACCATGCTACATTTCATTTGCTGTCTTATTCACTCTTCCCTTCCTACCTATGCCTGGGTGGATTCAGAGAGAAGAGGAATTTGTACACAATATGGTAATTAATGCACTTGGCCACCACAATGGCCTCTGCCTCTCCCTCACCCCAGTATTGGGGACAGAAATACAGGATCTTTGCACTGGGTTACAAACCTTCAGCCCTGGCTCCAATTTGTACCCTCCTGCCTCAGTTTAATTCCTTCTGGCCATACTGGCACGTGGGTCTCACAAGGTAGCGCACACTGGCCTTAAAATTGAGATCCCCCTGCACCAACCTCCCTGGAACAAAATTTGATTTTCTGAGCCAGGGTGGTGGCACACGCCTTAATCCCAGCACTCTGGAAGGCTGAGGCAGACAGATAACAAGTTCTGGCTCAAATTAGGCAACGAGGCAAGACTTTGTCTCAAAATTTAAAAAACAAACAACAGCAAAAACCAAAAAGGACTGTGGATATAGCCTGAAGCAAAGTTCCAGGGTTCAATCCTTAGTATTACAAAAAATATAAATAAATAAGTAAAAATTAAGGAGGGTTTCACTATGAAGTTCAGGCTGACCTTGAACTCACTTTGTGGCCCAGGTTGGCCTCAAATAAATGGCAATTCTCCTGCTTCAGCCTCCCGAGTGCTGGGATTAGAGGTGTGCACCACCACACCCAACTCAAAAAAATCTTTTAAAAAACTTTGTGGTCATTAATCTGGGAATGCTGATGGCCATCTCAGGGCCCTTTGTCCCAGGGAGCGGAGGGTAAGATGACTTGATGCCTGGGACTCAGCAGAGACGAGGCTTTCTCCTGCAGGGCTGAGCGCACTTCTTCCTGGACTAGAAACCCTTCTGCACCTCTAGCCAGCACACCAAGGCGCTCTGCAGACTGGCCTGCTCTGGGTTTTTGAAAGCAAATTAAATGAGTCAGTAAACGTAAGAGCCAACAAGATCTGTTTGAAATCAGTTCCTGTGGTCTGTCCTGCGGTTTCCCAAGCCTGAACCCCCGCCCTCAGCCACAGAGAGGGGCCTCCGACTTTCTCATCTTCAGCTCTTTCTTTCTCCAAATAAATGTCATTGGCTCCTCCGATTTCCTTGAAGTCACAGGAAAGCAAACCCAGGAGCGATTCACAGCAGTCCCCTGGAGCAGACGGCCTCCTGCTACCCTGGTCTCTCTCAACTCCTTTGCCAAGTGAGTGATGATCTCTCCTGCTCCTGCTGTCCGAATTCAGCTGGCTTTTCATTACAAGTTAACCTCACAAAAGCTAATTCCCCGTTCTATTTGTTCTTCTTTCAACTCCAGCTGGAGGGATAACCTAACTGGATGTTCAGTGAATGCTGTCTCTCTTCTTGAGTACCCCTGGATTTCCAGGAGTCTCACTCCAAATCGTCCCCACAGATTTAAACAAAACAGGGATATGATTTTTAAAAACTGCCATGTCCTGGACAATGTTTTAAAGTTAGCATTTACCACTACATATGTTTTACATTTAATTATAAAATTATAAATTAATAAAATCATGTAATTCAAGCCAACCTTCACTACTGGACATTGGGTAGGATCTGGTGTTTTCCGAATATATGTACAGGGAAACACCCTCGGAAATAGACTTCTCACTGTTGCCAAGGTTCAGCTTCTAATGGTCAAATCGTCTTCCATAAAAACCTGACTCTCTGAACACCCATTCTCAGTTTATCACGCTGCTTCTTCTTCTTTGCCAGAGTTATATGACTGGTACAATTAATTTTGTTTTGTCTTCCATGAGGCTCCCAAGGTTTTCCAGCTTAATTTCTGATGAGCAAGTTCTTACTTTCCCCTATGCATCTGCCCCTTACTCACTCTGTTAAATGTAGACGCTATAGCCAGCCACGGCTGACCCCCTCTGATGATCCTCTAGATCTGATCCTTCCATGTGTCTCGTGGTCTACCTGTGTGTGCCACAGCGCCTGTCTGTTATCATGGAAAGCTCTAGAAGGTTTGCCATCACTGGAACTGTGTGGTCTGTCTTTCCTTCTGTAAGGCTGAATTCCTGCCAGGTACCTCACCCAAGTCACCCAAGGCCAATGGGACTGATGATCTACACTTTAAAGGGAATATGGAATTTCTAAAGCAGTAAATTGTTGGCTTATTATATTCAATTGGACTCCATATTGGTTTTCTTTTTTTTTTCCTTTTCTTTTAAGGCAGAGCCCAGGCTCACCTCCAACTTGCAATCCTCCTGCCTCAGCTTCCTGAGTGCAGAGAGCACAGGGATGCACCACCACACCTGTTCTCAGTAGGATACCTTGTGTGAGGTAGGTTAAAGGACTTAGAAGCTGCTGATGGTGAGCACATTCCATGCAGTACACAGGCGAGGCCACAACTGACACCAGATTTGAAGGAGAAATAAAAATGAAGCCTCATTGGAGCTGTTCAGTGATTTTATGAAAAATTCTCAAATTCTTGGGTAACACAGAAAAGAGAAGCGTCCATGGGGGAAGGAGAAACTGCAGCGCAAGGTGCAGTGTGAGTGGATGGTCTAGCACTCGGGGGGCTACGGCAGAGAACTGTGGGTTTCAGGTTGGCCAGGGCTACATACTGAAGGCCTGGCTCAACAAACAAACAGCAACAACAAAAAGGAAGGAATGAAGGAATGAACAAAGGAAGGAAAGGAAAGGACTGTAACAGGTATCCTTGGTCTCTGGCACCCTCATCAGGCAGGAAACTGGTTCCGACCGGAACCCTTCTCTTGTGACCACCCTCTTGCTATCTCTGCTTACAACCTGCATCACTGAGATTCCTGCTGAAGGAAGAAAACACACAGAAACATGTGGAAGCAGTGCTGGGATTTCACCAGCACAACCTAGAACGTCGGGAGGAGCGGGCAGTGGAAGCCAGCGGCACAGCACCCACCTCTGAAGACCTGACCCACGTGGCCCAGGCCCATGAGCCCAAGCAGAAAGCTCCTCTGTGTCCCCGTCACCCTGCACCTACCATTCTGGGTGAGCTTTGTGGAGCAAATGAGGGTGGCAATCTGAAAACTGTCCTTTGTGCTGTCCTTGCTGGGGGTAAAGGCCACCTGGTTTTTGGCTGCCTGGAGCTCCTTTTCCTCCATCTCCAGCTTGGTCCCAGGCAGTGTCAGGTAGAATTTTGCATCTTCCATTTTCTTGTTGTCACCCTGAGGAAGAAGCACGTTAGACACCAAACAACGGGCAACATCTCCTGTGTGAATGGGGACCAGGTCCAAAGTGACATGGCTTTGTCACTTTATACCCATGGTTCCCTCCAACTCAGGCACTGTGATATCTGCGCCAGAAGCAATTTTTCATAGAATGGAAACAGGTGTGGGTGGTAAACTAAAAGCCAGAATATCCTAGTCTCTGCTGGAAATAAATAACTGTATTACAGAACACAGTTGGACTACATCCTCTTGAATCTATAAAGGGTCTGTGCGGCACTTCCTTGGGGCGAGGGAGGCAGAAATGGCTTGCTACACCTTGTGGAAGTTTTACAAAGGATGGAGACGTTATGGAAAACATCCTTCAGGTAGATGCATCTCAAAAGAGCTGCCACCTGTGCTGCCGCCTCCTGGTCCAGATATTCCTGGATATATGAGATTCTCAAGTGTCTGCTTTACACTTTACAATCCCAGCAGATGCAACAACTCAGCAACAGTCAGGAAGAAAGAACAGGGATACACACACCGGGAAAGGAAGCGAGGTCCCACACACAGAGCAATGGTGGCTGCTTCAGGGTGATATGAAAACCACCATCTGCAACTCCCACCACCACCTAAGCAGACCTGACCAGGAACTGCCTGCCACATGGGTTGACACAGAGCCCAGGAGGGATAGGAGAACGCATGGGCATGCGATCAGAACCCGCTAGGTTTCGACTTTCAGGATAAACGCATATAGTCTCAGGAGGATTCTGATCCCTAAGCCAGTTTCTAAGCCAGTTTCAAAGGGAGTAAATGTGCTCTCGGCTACTCTGGACCTCGTTCCAGGAGCAGCACCTTATACACCACCAGGTCGTGCCTCCCATCCCGCAGCGTGGTCCCGTCGGGGTTCATCAGTTTCACGAAGGCCACCCCAAAGGGTCGCTCTGATTTATCTCTGGCTGAAAAGACAGAAAGGTATGTCTGAGAGGTGTGGAAAACACCGGCAGGCGATAGCTAAATGTCGCTTTTGCTCTGAAGTGTGATGTTCAATCACACTATAATAAACACAAGTCAGAAAGGCATAGTGAGCGTATGCATGTCGGGGTCCCCCCCACACAACGAAATTAGCTGCTACCCCAGGCAGGCACCTCTTCCTACACACCCTAATAAATGAGTCCAGCATGCACATAAACCTCCAAAACAGAAACACTGGGGTTACTATTGACTGTACCCACACATGCATTATATCTTAAAGTCCTGTGGGGCTTGTTCTCTTTGTTTCTCTCCATCTCTTTGGTCTCTGCCTGAGCCCAGGCCACCCTTACCTCTTCCATTTCCTGCTTCTCCTCTTTTCCGTTATGGAACTAGGGATTGAGTCCTGGGCCTTCACACTGAGCTACACCTCCAACCCTCTTTCAACTTTTTTATTTTAAGTCAGGGACTCACTAAATTACCAAGGCTGGGCTCAAACTTGTGATCATCCTACCTCAGCTTCCCAGAGTGCTGGGATTACAGGTGTGCACCATGATACCCACTCTCCTGTTTATTTCTACAAGTCCTTCTGTCGCTACCAGGGGGAGTTTCTGAAAGCCAAATGCACCCCAGAAAACTTCCTGGCTTCAAACCCTTTAATGAGATTGCTCACTTCCTGCTGTTCTCACAGATGCTGTGGTATTTATTAGGCTTCAGGTTTATGCTGCTCCCTGAAGTCTCCACCACCTCACTCCTCCCCTGCACAGGGGTGCAACCTGTGGTAGCTGAGCAAGAACTTCTGGGCAGGGAGAAAGGGCATAAATCAGCCTCTGGGCCCACTGCCCCATCTAGACTTCTACAGCAGGGCACTTGTATCAGACACAGCCCCGGGGTCCCAAGACCCCATGCCACTTCACCAGTTTCTACAGCATTGTTACTTTACCTGCTTACACATTTTCCTGCTTATAGTGATCTGGGCTATTCCAGTGCTGGGGGGTTAGGGGCAAAGCTGTTATGAGCACAGGGTGTCTTCCCACCCTGCCCCCAAACCAAAATCAGAAACTAACTTTTAATAGTTCTTTTCTAACATTGTAAAAAAAAAAAAAAAAAAAAACAAAGAACCTGGGTCCTGACCATCTAAAATCATCTAGAATCAAAAGCACAGGGTCGGTCCAACCCCATCACTGGTTACCCTGTGGGCTTCTTGGTGCCTTGGGTTTTTTATATGCGAAGCTTGGGAGAAAGTTCAGCTCTAGCTTAAACTAAGTAGTAGCATATAAAGGGGGCACCAAGTAATGGTGGGCACAAACTAAGATTCAGGATTAAACTCTAGAGGTGAGAACGATCTCACGCTGCTGCTGGTGTGGACCATGAGGTTAGGATGCGAGAGCCACATCTGCACTGAACATGTGCAAACCCTTTTCCTTCTCGTTATTCCCTGCAGCATGACAATTATGTGCACAGCACTGTACTGTGTCATCATAAGTGATGTAGAGGTGACTTAAAGAACACAGAGGATGGCACAAGTTACAGGTAAGTTTCAGACTATTTTACCAGGACTTGAACATCCAGATTTGATTTATTTAATTTACTTATCTTGGTACCAGGCATTAAACTCATGACTTCATGCTTGCTAGGCAGGTGCTTGTGTCACTGAGCTAAATCTCCAGCAAACATTCAGATATTAGTACCCCCATGTAGTCCCAGAAGAAATTCAAGGATGTATGTACAACCATATGAAGTGACCAATACTAAACATTTTAGCCTACAAAAATGGTGATTTCATGAAGTTCAACATGATAGTACTATTGCTATTATTATTTGTGCTACTGGGAAGTGAACCCAGGGCTTCGCACTGAGCTACATCCCCAGCTCTTTTATTTATTTTGAGACAGGGTCTGGCTAAGTCACTAAGTGGTCCAGGCTGGGCTTGAATTTGTGATCCTTCTGCCTCAGCTTCCCACAGTGCTGGGATCACAGGGATGTGCTATCGACCTGCTATTATTGTTCTTTTCTTCTCACTTAAACCATGCTGAGCTTATTGTGGATCCCTGTATACACTTCTTTCCTGGGCCAGCTTCTGCTCACCCTCGAGGCTCAGCCAAGACACAGGAAACTCTATGCAGAAACATGCAGACTGGGTAAGGAGCCGCGCCACCAACTCCCTCACAGCTCTGCCTGTGTGGCACAAGTCACCCTTTTCTGGACACAAGCACCTACTTCCCTGTCCATCTTCCTAACCAGACCCCAGGGGCTCTGAGTAGCAGCATCCTCCTGGCTGTCAGACTCTGAGCTTCACTTGCAGCCTGGCACATGGACCTGTGCGGTCCAGTCATTTTGGACACAGGAGTTACGTTTCTGTACAGTGCTCGACGAAAGCACGACGCCTGCAGAAGTGTTGAGAGCAGCTCAAAACAATCTGTTTTCTACTCTTACTGCTTTAGAAAAGCCACTGCGTAAATTGAGCCTTAACATTTGAAAGAGTTCTTTCATGAGATAAGTGACAAGTGCCAGAAAGGAGAGATCAAGCCAGCAGTTTTCATGCTGCAGGCCATCTTGGCTGGACACACTATGACAGTCTAAGAGGAAATGTGGTTTCCTTCACCTCTTCACTGTGAACCCCTTTTTTTCACCATACAGCACCACTAGTGTCTTACAGAAGGTCAGCATTCAGAGAACACATCGGGGAAACGCCGGACACAGTCCCAACACAGACTATGGAAACCCAGCAAAATTGATGATCCTGATTTGCTTTGTGCCAATAAATTCTCAGATAAAGTTGCCAACATTCTAGTTTCCAAGTACCAAACTAGAGCACAAAAGTATTGTCAAGCACAAAAAATATTCTTGAAAATAGAACTATGTCACCATCTTACTAATACTTACATTCCTGCGATGACCTGTGACGGAAGGTAAACCGTATGTGGCAGCGTGCGACGTCCTCTATTGCAATGAACACCTGCGAGAGGGAAGGAGTTGACAGCTTCGACACCCAGGACCTTGCAGTCAAAGCTCATGGTACAGAACCAGGTGCAAGGTAATGAATTTATTTATTCCAACACAACAATAGGACATTTCCATTCATGTATATATTGTCCAGTCATCAAATCACGGTAACTTTTTTTCCATTTTAAACATTTTTCTTTATTAGTATATGTTTCTAGTACATACACAATTATATCCATCTAAGAAGGAGGAGTGAATATGTGGAAAATAGTTAAATAAATTATGGCACGATTATAAAATGGAACATGCACATAATGTATTATTCTTTCTTTATGCTGAGTATATTCAAAATCCCTGCTCCCAGATATTTTGAGATATACAACAATAATTAGTTTTGCTTTTAATATCTTACTATAGCACAAATACAGAGTGAGCCTGCTATAAGGTTTCATTAACAGGAGATTAAGTTGTATTTAAGATAAAACCATCTCAGCTCAGCCTGGTGTTTATCATAAATTCAAAGCACTGTAGATATTATAAATTTCTAATGTTTCCTATTATAGACAGTAAATACCTCAGAGGGAAAAAAGCATACTTTGAGATCTATGTAGCACCTTTCAGATTGCAAGATGTATATGATATGGTAACAATCAGAGTCTAGTTCAGAGAAAAAAAAAGATAAAGGGAGGCTCCAGGTTAGACACACAGAGGGAAACAGCCACAGGCAAGAGAAGGAGCAGCAAATGTGTGAGAAATTGTTCAGTAAACTATGGCCCGATTATATAATGGGACATTATGCAAGTATGTGACATTATGTGAGTATCTAAACACATTATCTCTGAAGAACTTACAGTGTCTGAGACCAAACTGTGAGCTGTAAGACTGTTGAAATACTAGTGGGTTTGTGGGTGAGACTTGACTTTGGTTTTTTGTGAAGAGGTCCCATGACTTTGGCAATCAGAGAATGGGGCACAACCTCGGGTTCAGAAGAGCCTCCAGTTCAGGAGCTGACACAGGGGAGGCTCTAGGATCTTGGGTGTCTCGCCTTTGAAACTCGGTCAGAGTCAGAAAGAGGGGTCAACAACCTTTGTTCCTTAGTTGCATGCGGGGCCACATGGGCCCAAGGGATGTGCTTGATCTGAGAAACCCTTCAGAATCTGTAAAACACTTTTAAACTAAAAAGAAGCCCAGACGACTCGGGTAGAGGCCAAGAAAAAAGCACAGTAGGCAACTGTGGAGAGTGAAATGTCCTTTGGTTTGGTTTTGCATCACTGTGGTAGGTTACTTCCTCATTCCAGCTGTTACATTTCTCTGTTCAGATTTCTGTCCATTCTTGAATAAGAATACCAGTGAAGAGTGCTGTGTTTATGAAGGACGGGTGCTCTGAGACAGAATTACAACTACCGATTCATTCAGCTCACCTAGAACTTTGAGGGTAAGACCAGAATGACAGGGGAGTAAAACGGAGACAGGCATATAAGTGAGGTCCAACAGGTGGCAGCAGTGACAGGCAGCGAATGCTTACCTTGACAGTCTCATACCAGCAGGGCTGCTTGACTTGGTAGTAGACTACTGATTTGTATTCTGACAGGCCCTCGTATCCAGCGCCAGGATGAATCGCTTTCTTTGGATGAAAAGAAAAAAGTTGGGAGAGGATACCACCACCTTGGAAAGTAAGCGCATATTTCACTCACTGTGCATGAGACCCCGACATGTTGAGCCACATCTTACGCCAGCATCAATGAGCTAGTGGATTTTAGGGGCTGGAAAGCAGAGCGAGACTGAATTTCTACCACTCTTTTTACAGGGTTTGCTGGTAGCAGCGAAAGACCCAGCACTACCCAAATGTTCTTCTGTCCTGTGACTTTTAGTCTACTGTTCTCAAGCACACATTCTTTCTCCTTTGTCCTACCTCTTTCCCTCCCTCTCTTTCCTCCCTTTGTGGTGCTGGGGATTGAACCCAGGGCCTTCACACTGCAACACACCCCATGCTTTTTTTTTTGGAGAGAGTTTTGCTGACAGTTTTTTTTTTTTTTTTTTTTTTTTTTTTGGTAGAGACAAGATGCCCGGGCTGGGCTTGTATTTGCGATCCTCCTACCTCAGGCTCACAGTATGGGGATTACAGGCTGGCAACACCACACCTGCCTGTGTGCTGCTTTAAGACCTGGTGGAATGGCTCAGCGTGTTAACTGAAACTTGGAACTGCACTTTTTCCAAGCAACGAATCACCTTGTGCAGGAGGGCAAGGACTCGATGGAGGTGCTCCCAAGCTGGTTAGCAAAGTTAGGAAACGAAACTTAGGAGCGGATATGTTGCTAGGACTCATGGGGCTCAAAGGCTCTATCCAAAACTGAGTATCTGCTTTCTTCAAAGACAGGAACATTGTGGAGAAGAGCACCTTCACAAAAGGACACTCAGTGAGTTCTGTGACCCAAGCGTCTGCCCCTTGGATTGCACAGCTGTAGTTCCGACTCATCCCTGGGACACAGGTGTCGGCGGAAGGGGCGATGGTCTCCAGTGACCACCTACCTCCCCTCTTCTTTAATGGCAGAGTCAAGGCCTCCCAGGCTTGCCCACATGTTCTATCTGTATAGACAGAAAGCTGCCAGAGATGGAGCGCACTGCACTGAGCGTCATACCAGCTCTTCCGCTAACTGCTGAGTTTTCCAGACAAAAGTTCACTATTTATGGCTGCAGATTTCTGAAGATTAAGCACAGAGCAGTGGAGAGTTGACCTCTGCCCCAGGCGTCTCTGGGTTCCACCTGCCCACTGGAAAGTAAGGAGCCTTTCAAAATGGCAGGGTACCTATGCCACCCTGCTCCAGTACCAGAGGAAATGATGAAGCTAGAGAGTCACAAAAAGGACAAAGAACACTGCATCCAAGGCTTCTCCCTGATCCTCAGTGGCTGGGGCTATTTTTCAGCCCAAGAAGACTCTACATGGCTTCATTAGTAAAAATGGTCCTTGATGATCACAAATTTCCCAGGTTTTATACTGTTTCCTTGTGAACAACCAAAGGCACCCCAACACAGAGAACAATTAGTAAGGCTGGAAGTGTGTCATACCGCAAAGCAGCCATATCATACTGCGATGGCAGTGAGGTTCCCGGGGGTGCCACCTACCTCTAGGAGGTTGCCCTCCTCATCAAACACGGACATGGTCACCTCCACATTCTTGGGTGTCTTCTTTTTCCCTTTGTCAAACTCGCCGTGGATCAGGGTGACGTAGATGTCATTCCGAATGTCCCCTGCAATGGGGACATGCGTGAGTGTTGCTGAGAAAAGCGGCTGTGGACTTTCAGGATGCGATGCAATGCGGAAGGGAAATGAGAATCATCTATACAGTCAGCAAACGGGTTTCACCGACATCTTTGTAGGTGTGGTAAAAAAAAAAAAATTCAGTTCTTTTCAGTAGTAATTCTTTACTACTAAGTAATTACTATAATTATAATTATATATATAATTATATAATTATAATTATTAGCTAATAACTTTTCCAACAGTGCCTTGTAAATACACCTGTTAATAACGAAGACAATTTTTTTACTGCATGCTGAGCCAGATCCTGGCTAGCATCTTATGTATATTAATTGAATAGATTTTGAGTGAAATTTATTAAATGATAGGTTCATCTCACCAGATAGGTGCTATTTCTAAAAGGCTATAGTATATCATATATTTAATTCAGCTTTTTAAAATCAATGCCACAGTATTTTTTACTTTTTGTTAATCAGCAGAAAAAGTATTCTAATTAATTAATTAATACATGAACAACTCTCATAGAGAACAGAAGTTTAAGTGCTGTCGGGGTACCCAAAGGACTGGAATATGTGAAAAGCGTTTTGCGTTCCAAGTGAGAAGACTCAGTGTTAAACAATGACAGTACCAACTGCACTGTATGAGCTGTCTTTCTGTGTGAACAATAAAACAGTTACAGCACTGTGAGCAAACAGGGTTGCCTAATTTGAGCATTTGTCATTTTTATCCCTTCTCTTATGTGAAAAAAAAAAAAGATCCTGCCTACAGTTTTTGATGGAGGAAGAAAAACAGCTGTTTTACCGAAGTCCGGCTGAAATCTTCAGTGACATACTGTCAGTGGAGGAACTGACAGCTTATGTCAAAAGCCTTAAGTGACACCCAGTAATTCCAACGCTAATATGTACCAAACTGCAGGCATAAATGTTTCAATGTCCTCCCAAGAGTATGCTACCTAGTGATGCTTTAGTTTGTAACCTAAGTACATCCTGATACTCGCTCCACATCAAATCCTCTAATGACACTTCTCAGAAGGTAAAACCACTGTCAGACAATGCGTGATTGCATCAAAAACATAGACAATTAGCTGGCTGAATACATTCTGGCCTAATCAGATGATGCTGTAACATTCACTTAAAAGAATTAGTTGGGATCCAGGTCTGTGCCATGGATTGCGCTAAGTGCTGGGAAGACCATGGCAAGCCACGCCCCCGCCGAGCTCGGGGGGGGGGGGGGGGGGGGGACAGGCACGTCAGTCACATAATCACAGCTGCATGTCCAAGGAAGACACGAGGGCATCAGTGTCCACCGTGGCCATGGAGACAGAGAAGGTGTCGGCTGGAGAGGTCCTCCAGAGGGGAAACTGGTCAGGTTTCATTGTACGAGGAAAGCAAAGTGAGATGGCCAAGTGACTTTCAGCTTGCCGTTTGTGCAGATGAGTGCATAGGGGTGGCTTCCCCTGGGAGAAAATACAAGAGAGGAGCACCAGCTGTGCATGTACAGGAGGGTGAGGCATCCAAGAGGACACTGAGGAAGAATCAACCAATTATAGCACAGAGGAGATGGACCCGGGAAGGGGAAGGAACCATCTCCACTCAAGTTCTGACCTGAGGAGTAACTGGTCACACAGATTCGGAGCTCAAAGGGGTTTCAGTGGTGAAGATATGGTGTGAACAGTGGACAAAGGGAAGACACGGACGGGCAGAGTGAAGTCCATGTCAGGACGGCAAGGTGATAGTTGCCCACCAGCCAAGAAGAAAGACTTCATGGGAAACCAACAACCAGACATCCTGACTGTGTACTTCCAGAACTGAGAGAACGAATTCCTCCTGTTTCTTTTTATACTTCCTACTCTGATGTATTTTGTCACGGTGATCCTAGCAAATTCACACAGGACCCAAGGACCAGGTACTAGGGAAGTGGAAGAGGAGGAATGAGAGCAGAGGATTCCTAGTAGTGGCCTCAAGGGGAAGGAGACAAAGACAAGCACAGGCAAGAGGGCAGGGGGTGCTCTGAGGAAGGAGTCCCACTGTGCCAAACGCTGCTGAGAGTTCAGCGTTGATCAGGAGGCTCAAAGACACTGTCAAACTCAGTGACACTGAAACTGTGGGTGACCCTAGGAAAGGCTGGAAGGGACAGAAGGGGGGAAATTGAAGTCGGATGGAGATAATCGGGTCCAAGGCCCTGCCAGTTAAGATGAGGGTGCAGAGGCAGAGTGCCTGAGCTGGCCAGGGAGCTGGGAGAGCAAAGCTAGAAAGTAACAGAGCTCGTGCAAATGGGGACAGCAAGCAAGGCGCTCGGGTTGAAGGAGCTTTGTCTGCACTTGCGTTTTTCAGATCTGGAATCATCCCAGACCCACCTGGAGCACTGAGATTTGGGCTCTGGAAATCTGGGTGTCTGCATCACCAAGTTTCCCAAGTGTTCGAAATCCCTGACCAGGGAGACCGGCGTTGCGAGGCTGCTGAGAACAATTTCAAAGCCCATTGCTGCCTGGTGAACCAATCCTATTGATACAAGCACTGTAACATTTTCTTTTTCATGCCAAATTTCAAAAATAAACTCATTTTGTCCAAGCAATAAACTTCTACTCTTTCAAATTTCTTTCTTTCCTAGCAATAAAGATGCTTTCATTAGGGACTATTACCTGTCTTTGTTTAAACAACAAAAACACAAAACATTTTCCCAGAACGTTAATGGGTATACAGCATAGTAAAATCACTCTGGAATGGATGCACTAATTGGTGAACAGCTGCCTGCTCTTATGAGAAGAGGTGATCATCCCACCTTCATAACTTCCACTCATTCATTCCACCGATATGCATGCAACGATGATCATATGCAGACAACGTACGCTGCAACAAATCGCTTCTGTCCATTAATTTCCAGGAAGAAGACTAAGTTCTTGAATGACTCAGAAAGAACTAAAATGTTTATGTAGTAGATAACAAGTTGGTTCTCTAGGATTTTTTTTTCACATGATACGATTGGTCTTCTAGAAATTTTATTACTATGTATGACTACCAATGACCACTGACATTTAAGACCACGATGAAGATCACTCATGGCATCAAAGGACAGAAGTCAGCCTGTGTAGACAGATCACCAATATGTGGTGGCAAAAAGGGGAAATTAAAGCAAAAATGTGCAAGTTGTTACCTTCTTGTCACGGAATGAGGAATATCAGTGCAAAGAAGGAGCTCAAGAGTGTGAAAGAGGGTTCCCTGGGACCGAGCCCAATGAGGAAAGAAAGATACATACAAATCAAGCATGTGAGCCTCCTGCATCAGGAACCCCAAGTAGTTACTTGCTCCCAGAAGACTAGGGAAGGATTTGCAGGGAACAGAAACGGAAGGAGGGTAAGTAGACAGTGCCAAGTTACATTTCACAGGGTTTTCCTGGCTTTGCCCACTAGGCAGATCTGGCATTCCGAATCCATCACTGTCGTGATGCCACTGAATGGAAATGACTGAGTCTCATGGACTCAAATGGCAATCTGTCCTATCGGGGAACTCGTACATGGAAGGGGAACAGAACACAGGAGACACGGAAAGGCTTACCTGGGAGTATTATTTCAGGAAAGCCCATTTTGCGGGCTATGGCTGTTGATCTGTCAACCAAGTGTGAAAAATTCTTCTGAACTTGTGTGAGGTCACCAGGCAACAGCTTCAAGGACACCCAAAGCCCTTGAAGGAAAGAAAAGATAAGCTTTCGGGTCTCTGTATGATTTTACCAATCTCTGGCACACAGACATGAAGAAAACCATGAGTTGTGTAATATAAAACAGGTCCCTTATAGTAAAGATGCTGGGCGTGATGGTGCATTCCTGTAATCCCAGCACTTGGGAGGCTGAGGCAGGAGGATTGTTCCAAATTCAAGACCCTCCTTAGCTACAAAGTGAGCTCAAGATCAGCCTGAACTGCATAGTGAGACTATGAGACTCTGCCTCAAAGAAACAGAAAAAAAAAGTTCATAAAATCTGAGATAGGAAATTTATGATTCGTGTGTGTTTTTGTGTGTGTGCACGTGTGTAAACTCAACAGCACGATGAAAGTGAGTAATTCATCTTCAAACTGCTTATTAAAATGCGAGACCGCTTTGTGGTTCTTCTTTTCACCTTCAAACACATTAGTACAGATTTTTCAACACAAAGCAGGTAAGAGAACAAGAATGAGTTCTCCACCCCGGTGCCTGGCACCCACCAGGGAGACCTAGGATCCCCCAGCTTGGCAACATGGATGTCTTTGGTGTAAGTCTTTCTGCCACAGGACCCAGAAGTCCTACTTCCAGAATTTTCTTGGGGAGTTAACCTCCACATATGGGAACAGTTTCACTATAACAGTAATCATTATAGATGCATTTAAATAACAATGGTGACAATCAGCTCTTCCGGGTTTACCTCTACAGTGGACTGAATTTTCTTAAATCTATTCTGTAAAAATTACTAAAGGTCATTGTTTTGGACTAAGCTCTCATACTGTATCCCAAAAAACGAGGCTGAAAGTCAGAGCAGGGTCCACCATGTCAAAGTTCTCCATCATCAAAAGAAATTCACAAGCTATCTGACTTCCAGGCAACATATGGATTAGAGGTAATAGCTAAATTTTCTAAACTGCCAATTTCAAACAGAATACTTATTCTATTTTAAAGAAATGGTACCTGATTTTTTTTGTTTGTTTGTTTTTGGTCTGTTGGAGGCAGTCTCACTGTGCAGTTCAGGCTGACCTTGAGCTCATTTTGTAGCCCAGGCTGGTCTCAAATTTGCAAGGATCCTCCTGCCTCAGCCTGCCGAGAGCTGGTATTATAGATATGCACTGCCATACCTGGCTAAGAAATGGTGCCTGATTTTACAAGAGAAAATGAAGTTAAAACTAACAAATAAAAAAACCTTTTAAATACGGTTTTAATTTTCTTTTTGAGTAATTTAATCAATAAAATATTAATGGAACAGCAAAAAAATTAGTAAAGAACAGAAAAACATTTGAAAAGTGTTTGTCATGTTGTTCTACATCAAAAAGAAAATACTATTTTTTGTTGTTGTTTTCAGACAGGGTCTTGCTATGTAGTATAGGGTGGCCTAGAACTCACGGTCCTCCTGTCTCAGCCTCAGGTCCTGGGATCTTGGGAATGTGCTACCATGAGTGTCATTAAAAAACAAACAAAAAAAAGACATAGCAATCTATTTAGCATGAGTTTTGCTCTAAAAGTACATTGGTAGGTAACGACCTCCAAGACACCAAATCTGTTTAGTTATTTATTTATGGCCCACGCTATTTATTGTCCGCTGAGGATACTTGTGTATATACCAGAAACTAAATTTACTGAAAATAAAGCTTTATCGGATTGCTGATCTTTCAGAAAGGAGGGTAGTTGGAAAAAAAAAAAAAAAGTAGACCAATGTTTAACTTTATCCAAATATGGTCACTATCTTGGTATTCAAAGTTTAAAATTTTGATGATTTTCATTGTTTTTGGTGTTTACCACAAGTTTACAAAAGCAGAGCTTTTCTCCAAGTTAAACATCTGACAGCAGAATATTCAATGGCAGCGCTGGAAGGAACTACCAGGCTCTGTAGGCAGCCCATTTCCTTCCCAAGGCACATTCCACGGACAGGATTATGGTCTCCCTCCTCTGAGGTTTGAGAAGTGTCATGGCATCAACTTACTCACAGGTGGAACACACCTACTCCTGAATCTCTTTTTCCTTTGTGCATTTACTTAGAGCCAACACTGGGAGAGTTCCACAGCACTCCCAAATCCAAGTGTGATGCAGCCCTTTCCTGTTGGGTGGGTTCCCCATTCCCCTCTTCAGGGGTTCTGCAGTATCTAGCTCTAGTGGGTGGTCCCCAGCACAGGGCGTTTTATATCAGGGAGGGACAGCACAGGGCAGGAGTCCAAGACCAGGACTCCCAGTGTCCCCTCCCTCCTGGCCAGAGGCCCTTCCCAGGCTCTGACAGCCTCTGTACCTTGTCCTTTGTGATTCACTTCCTTGGTTGCTATCACTTTATTCAGGACTGAAGTGAGTGGCTCATTTTCTCCAATCACATTGGAAGTTATCAGGGGCGACATGAGTTGTCTCTGCCGGATATAGGTCTCCATTGCAATTCTGGGAAAGACAGAAAGAGACGTGAGAAGTGTGTGCCATGGGTGTGTGTGTGTGCACATGTGTCCATGCATGTGTGTACGTGCCTGTGCATGTGTGTCTGTGTCTCTGCAGCACAGCTGCAGGTGGTAGTGGCCTTCAGGAAATAATAATGAAATGTAAACACCATATCTTATCCAAAGGTGCCTTCTATTGTTATGGACAGATTACAGGGGTCCACGGTTTTAGACCTGCACTGGGCTCCTACAAATAAGGCTAAAAATCAACATGGAATCACTCCCGCTAAAAGTCTGTGCTGTGGAAGGCAGAAACTAAGTTAACTCTGACCTTCCAAGAAATCAGGATAAAAAGATTAACAGCCACACTTCAAACAGGTCAGTTTCAATGGGCTATCCTGATAATGAAGTTCCCCCACCGCAATCCTTTTTCCTGAACAGGTAACCAATGAATAGATTATTTTCCATTGTTTGTATCCCAGTCCCTGTCCTGCAGTAAAGTAGCTTTGAAATGACTAATCCATTGTTCCTTTTGGTTAGTTGTTTTTGCCCTCTCTATACAACCAAACTCTTCTGTTGGGACTTTCATTCTTTTGTTGTTGTTTTGAGACAGGGTCTCCATCTATAATCTAGGCTGGACTTGAACTCTCTATGCAACCCAGGCTAGTTACAAACTTGTGATCTACCTGCCTCAGCTACCTAAGTGCTGGAATTATAGGAATAAGCCACCACACCTGGCTGACTAACACTATTTTATGGAGCACAGGTTTGGCCGATCATAGAGCAGAAAATAAAGCCAATTAAGATCTTTAAATCTTCAGTGGGGCCCTGTGACACACACCTGTAACCCTAGCTACTAAACAGGCTCATGCACGAGGGTTAGAAGTTCAAGGCCAGCCTGGACAGCTTAGTGAGAGACTGTCTCAAAACAAAGCACGAGGCTGAGGTTGTGACTCAGTGGTAGAAGAGCACACACAAGGCCTTGGGTTCAATCTCCAGTATAGCAAACAAAACAAAAAACAAACTGTTGTAATTCTGTCCTTACCACTAATCATATTTCCTTTTCATCTTTGCACTGACTGCCTGTCTTAAGCACTGAATACATCTTGGAAGTGACTCGAGACAAATAAGAAAAAGCAAACCCAAGAGCAACTAAAACCGAAGGCTGTGAATAACAGAGTCCGAGCCAACGCTCAAAGCTCTTCTCTGATGGCCCCTGGGATGGAACTGAAGGAGGCAGCAGAAAGGCAGATGTGGCTGTGCTCTGCAGCAGGCTCCCTTGGGCCTCAGCTTCCTAGCCTGTCTGACCACAGACTTGGATTGTCCCGAGGCCACCATCCACCCTCACCATCAGCACACAGGTACAGCCTGCATGCAAGCCCTGGGATGTGTTCCTAGATCCACACTTAAGATCACAATGGAGGGAGGCCCAGCTGACAAGTTCCGCTTTGGACCCTGAAGATGAAAATGTACCACCACATGTGACTGGGAACTGGACTGCTACGACCTGACGTGTTGCTTCCCAACATAACTCTCAGTAAAGGGACCAGTGATATAGACACACTTCCTTCCGGTATGGAACACTATCAAAGATCATGAAAGCCCTCACTATAAATCTTAGAAGTCAAGCACCAGAGGTTTGCAACTGGCAAGGCAAATCTGGTGGCTGCCAGCTGCAAAGCAAGTGGTAATCAAATTACGGCTGGATTCCCTGGGGCCTCCAAGCATGTATCGCTCTACAGTGGAGATGATCTCAGGGCTGGCTTCTGCCACACAGCTGCTGATTCAAAAATCAAGCGAGCAGGGAGACATATGACCAGAGGGAGAGCCCACCGGCAAGGTGAAAACGGATACAGTCACAGTTCAAGCCACTTTCTATTCATGAATGCTGCTCCTAAATGGAGATACACGGGTGGAATAATATTTAAAATATATATAACACATACAACAAGATTGTATGTGCACTCATGAATATGAATATTATGTATTTACATTTATTCAGTGTATTTTATTTACTTAATAAATTTAACGGATCAATGTAACATTAATACTGTGTTAAATGTAATCCATGCATTTAATACACTTACATGTATTTAAGTATTATATAATGCACAATACTGTTGTGTACAACATTGTAACATCTTAGTCACTAATACACTGCATGTATTTGATGGTCTCAGAGAAGTCTGTAGACTCTGGTCATTTTTGTGTCAGTCCACTCTGTGATGCTGCCACAATGACAAAGCTGCCTAAGGATACGTTTCTCAGAAACATATCCCATCAGTAAGCGATACAACGTGTGTGTGTGTGTGTGTGTGTGTGTGTGTGTGTGTGTGTGTGTGCGCGCGCGCACAGTGAGCCCTAAGATGTGTGAAATACTGAACTTGTCCTGGAAGGTAGGCATTTAGGTTATAGACATCAAAAAAGAGTATGCTTTTAAAGGAATTAACAGACTGCCTCAGGTTGATGTGGGATAAATTGCCCAGCATGAGCTATCTGTAGCATGACAGAACAGTTCAAAAGTGCCAGATTGAAAATGGAAAGATCAGGATTTTTATGTTTTAAACAATATAAACTATAATATACATTTATTGTGGAACACCAAAAGAAGCGATGGAACCACAAATAGTTAAACCCAGAGAAATAATCGCTATTAATTATGGCGTACATAATCTTAAGATCTGAATGCACTGTAACAATTTATACACCTAGAAGCAAGACGTATTTCCAAACACCTGCCCAAGCCCTGGATAGCTTGTAGAATTTAAAAACTTGGTCAAGTCTAAACTTTGTTTTAATCTACATTTCACTGAACTTCAATGCATTTATAGTGTGTGTGTGTGTGTGTGTGTGTGTGTGTGTGTGTGTGTGTGTGAGAAATGCTTAGGTTATTTTCTCCAAAGATAATACATTTGCATGATTTATTTTTCTCTGTTTGCATGATTTATTTTTCTCTATTAGGGGGCAGCCGTCATTTGTAAAAATGATATATTAACTGGAATATCCTTGGGCTAGTTTCTGGAAGTGTTTGTTCTATTGATTTGTGGCAGTAGCTGCCAGGTAGCAGAGACAACACCTCCAAGGGGACTATGGGCCCTGGTGGGGTCATTTCCTCCCTGAGGGGAACACTGTTTGTGGACAGGGTGAGGCGTCTGAATGCACAGGGGTCACAAGCTCCCACCTGTACTTCTCAGCTGCAGACGACTGAGATTTGCTCACTCTCAGCCCCAGCCCAGCTCCACAGCTCGGTATGAAGCCCTCATACTGAGGGCTCTGCCTCAGCTCTGTGGGCGGCCCTTGCCAGTCCTCCCAGGCTGCCTTCCTCCTGTGCTCCCCAGTCCTTCCCTCTTCACCTCCCAACGCTTCCTACCCAAAAAAGGGCTGTGTGGACACAGTGTCATCAACATCATCAGGCGAGTGTCCTAGATGTAGACCTCAGACCCACTGGGTGACGTTTGCAGATTCCTTGGAGATTTGAGTCTATGACACAGTGTGAGAAGCCCTATGCTGCCTAGTGTGATTCCCGGTCTTCTGAGATACCCATCCCATAGGACGGGCTGCGGTTACACTTCACAGGATTCTCACACCTGCAAGGTACCTTTCTCTGGTTTTCAGGGCACACACACATCTTTTCCATTCCTTCAGTTATTTGTAGAGAATCAGGAAAAGCCCAGTTTACCTTTCCAAATTACAGCCCAAAATAAAAGACCTTGAGGAAAAAGTCTTTAGCCAACCTCCTCATTGAGAATCTTCGAGCAGAGGGGTTTTTTCTGTCCCCGAGAAAAGGGTTCCTAGTACCTGGCTCCAAGTTCACACACCATTTACACAGCTAGTCCTGGTCTCAAGTCACCTGGGACTCGTGCCTAAGTACTTACTGCTGAAAGGGAATGAAATGCTGCTTTTCTTCATCATCCACCTTCCCATGTATGATATCAGTAATATCCATCACTAGGAGAGAGATAAGCTGAATTAAAGAAAGTAATTGCTTCATGCCTCACTAAGTCGCTATAGAAAAGGACAGCATCAGCAAACCCAGGACACAAGAGGAAGAAAGATACCAAGCTAGGACACTTCTTTTATTCCTCTGCCAATGATTATTGCCCAACATAGCCAGCCCTGAAGCAGGTGCCTGGGAAGGGGCTTACATTTTCTCCCATCAATCCCACACACCACCCCTTTGAAGAATTCTGCAAGAATAAGTTGCTAAATTCTTCAGAAACTGGAGAACAATTATTTTTTAGGGAGCTTGCATTCAACCCAGGGAGAACTCATAATTTTGGCAGGACCATCAAGAGAATTAAAGACTCAGAGAGAAACTCAGAACTTGAAGAGGTCATGCATTTCTTTGATTGGACATGTTCTCACCTGGCTCCCACAGGAACCTGAGGAGCAGCATTACCAAATAAATCCACCCGTGATTTGCTCTTCCCCCATGAGGGTAATTAACAGGGCACTGTGCTAAGCCTGCTGTATGTAGTAAGATATTATTAGGTCTTCCTTAAAAGCTAAGGTGCAGGAAAATTAAGTACCTGGCTCTGAGTCATAAATTTAAGAGGGAAAGCCAGGGTAACTCCAGAGTCAAATCATGTAACCGCCTCACTTGACTGCCTAGAAAAATAGTAAGCAGGTCACTATCAAGCTCTTGGCAGGAAACAGGGCACCTGGAAAGGGCTGAGTCCTTGGTTAATAAATTAGGCTCACTGTAACACACACACACACTAACAATCTACCACTCAGATAACCTCTCCGGAGATTATAGGAAGAGCTGGGATGTAAGACAGTTCTCACACAGAAAATCCAGGAAGAAGGGAAGAAATGTGTTCTCCAAAATAACTCAAGACAGTACGGTGTGTAAGGCGTAAGAAACACTGTTGGTGCCAGGAAGGTGTGGGAAGCCAAGCATTCATGTCCCTCGTGCTGTTAGCCCTTAGTGGAAGCTTATATCCCCCAACCCCCCACAATACTGAGGCTGAGGGTATAGTTCAGCAGTAGAGCACTTGCTCAGCAGGGGTTAGGGCCTGGGTTCAATCCCCAATGCTGCAGAAACAAAGCCTACAAAATTGTACTGATCTCCATAAACAGGTGATGCATTTGCCCAGGCTGTCATCAGTGACTCCTGACTTCTGCTGATAAATTAGTCTCCTTAGTGTTCCATGTGTTCAATATGTTACACACCCTTGCATACATACACGTGTGCACACACAGACATACACCCCTTCCTTTCTGCTAAGCTGAAAATCAAAAACCCCAAGCTTAATTTTAAGTCTATCTTTCCCCTGCTCCCCTTTTTAAGTACTGGGGATCAAACCTAGAGTTTTCACATTTATCCTTTGTTATTTATTTTTAATGAGGGTCTTGCTAACTGAATTGCCCAGCCTGGGCCTAAAGTTAAGCTCCTCAGTGAGCTAGGCCATGCCTATCTTTTCTGGCCTATTTTGAATAACAATGTCATTGAATGTATTCTAAGTCTTTTTAGGGAACAATGCATACATTGCTTTACAGGTAGGCTAAACAGTCCTGGTCCACGGTGTCCTGCCTTCTCTGATCTTCCAGGCTGATTCTAAGTAGAGTAACGCTATTTCTCTCATCAGCCCTGGTGTGGCCCATGGGGGGCAGAGGGGAAAGACTCCAGAGCTGTGGGATGCTGACAGCTGCAGGAGGCATGTCATTGTTTTTAAGTGGTAAACCGCTTTCCAGAGAAGCTGAGTGGCAGACAGTTTGCCTGGCATGGTTCATTGCCCCTGACCACCATCACCATCACCACCACCACCAGTACACAGACACAGGCAGCAGGGACTGCATAGCCAGTTCTGAGGCTCTGCACACACAGTGCCGGTGGGGATGGGAGACCAACAGGAAGACAGACAATCCAAGAGAAGAACTGGCAGCCTGGGCAGTAAATGCTGTACGCCTGACTTGGCCTGTGTCAATGGGAAACCCTCTTCCCATCTCTGGGCTCTCTTTTTCTCTCTCGACTGCTATGGAGTCCAGGCTGGTCCTTCACTGAGTGGCCAGGTTTAGTTCAAATGTGCAATCTTCCCACCTCAGCCTCCTTTGTGGTGGCATTACAGGTGTGTGTCACCATGACAGGCTCATCCTAAGCATTCCTAAGTGTCTAGCTCAGGGGCACAAAGCACATTTCCCCTGGTGTACACCATCACCAGAGCCACCAGCAGAACCTTTCGTCTTCCCAAACTGAAAATCTCCACCTAATCAACACTGTCCCCCCTGCAGACCCTGGCGGTCCCTACTCTACTTCCTGTCTCTAGGACTGAGATTTCCCCTCAGAAGACCATGTAAGTGAACTCATATGGGATCTGCTTTCTTGTGTCTCTGGCTTTTACTTGGCATCACGATCTACAGACACACCGGGCTGTGCCCTGGGTGAAAATTCCCTTCCTTTGCAGGTGAACGATATTTCCTTCCAGGGATAATTCACTGTACTTTCTTAATCCTCTCACCCACTAACATGCACTGAGGTTGCTTCCACCTTTTGGCTTTTGGGAATAATGCGTCTATGAACAATACTGTATGAGGTTGTCCTTGATATAGCTTTCAATTCCTTTGGAAAAAGGCCCTCAAGCGGGATGGGTAGCTCATACTATTGACCAACCGACCAACCAACCTGCCTTCCTTCCGCCTATCTCTGTCATCCTCTATGCCTCTCTCTCTCTTTTTTTTTTCTCCATTACTAGAGATTAAATCCAGGGCCTTTGTACTGAGCTATGTCCCTATCCCTACTTATTTTGAGAAAAGGTCTGGCTGAGATTCCAACTGGATTCAGACTTGCCACCCTCCTGCCTCAGCTTCCTAGTGTGCTGGGATTATCGGCACGCACCATCAAGCCTGGCTGCACCATGTTATCCCAAGTGCTGCCTTCTGCTGTGTGCGATATTTGCACCATGCACACTGGTGTCTGGGCCTCTCACCTGCTACCCCGAAAGGTCTCCGGAGCCCACAGGTGTGCTTTCTGCCCTCCTTCAGTTCCATGCGGCCCACACGCACAATCTGGCACACGAGGCTGATGCGGGGCCGGATGAGGTCTGTGCTGCTGAGGTCCTGCAGCATGGAAAGAGAAGCCAGGAGAGATCACTTGTATCATCCGTGACTATTTCTCTTTTCATTCCATAGCAGTGACTGGTTCCGAGCACAGTTCTCAATGCTGAGACCTTGGAGAAGCTCCTTTCTTTCCCCCTTCCCATCCCCAAGCCATCATGGCATCAGAGAAAACCATTCCCCATTTATACAAAAGCACTTTTCTTATTCCCCAGTTCCTACTTCAAAACTCTATAATGGATTAGAGCCAATCGGAAGTGTCTGGCTTCACTCAGGTGAAGTAGGGTGATTAAAAATCAGGACAGCTGCAGCTGTCACTTTACATCCTCCCAGGATGTAACTCAGGATAGTGGCCTTTCAGTGCCAGATGCATGCAAAGATGTGTGACAGTGACATTCACGGGGTCTCCACACAGGCCTGTGACATTTCATTTCATCTCCAAAGCAGTACTGGGAGGCTAACGGGATGCAGGCCAGGCCGAGCACTTGCTTTCCAGTGGCTGGGGGAGGAGGAGGGCACAGGATGAAGCTTTCTGCTTTGGCATACAAAGCTGAGGTCTGCAAGGCTGGCAGGCCCAGCAGGGAGCTCACACATCTTATTCACTTAACATCACAGCTAATTTCATTGCAGCTGGAAATCTCCTTATGAAATCTGCTCAGTCTCCTTTACTAAATCAAGAACTACTTTTCAAATAATTATTCCAAATCTATTGCCTGCAATTAAGTTAAATCAGGTCACCAACGCAGGAGTATCCACCAATAACAACATCCGCCCCACATCTCTGCTGAGAGTTCTGCAGGGTCTCCATTCATAGAAGAAACACAGGCTCCAGGTGGCTGGTTAAGAAAACGGTGGCATATTAAATAATACACAATCATGGATGAATGAAGTTTCTTAAGAGTAAAGAAATGGCTACCACATTTTACTTAATGGAAAAAGCCAGACATGACATTTACATAGTAAGTGGTCCTAACTGGTATGCAATTGTGGGGCAGGAGGAAGACCAGGAAAATGATGTTAACTAGAAGACGGACCAAAAACTAAATAATGCAGTACCCATTTTTCCCTGTTTGTATTTTGAGACAGGATTTTGCTCTGCAGCACAGGCCATCCTTGCACTTACCGTGTAGCCCAGGCGGCCTCCAACTCACAATCTTCCTGCTGCAGCCAAATCACATACCTGCATGCCCAACTAGCCACCATTTTCTGTACATTGTAAAAAGTGTGTCACAGAGATAGAAAAATGCCTTATTGACTTCAGGAAAGGAAAAAAAAAAAACCCCCCACGTATCTTAGAGCTAAGGAAACACTAGGGAGGCTTCAGGCAGAGTTCCTGAATTTCTCCCTGCCTGCATTTCCTGGGTGGTGAAGATCCAGACTGATCAGTGTAGGGAAAGGAATCGGCCCCTGCTTGTCCCAGAAGGGAAATGTTAACAGAGGGAGTAAAAGTGAGCCCCACAGGGACCACAGATCACTCCTGTTGTTCCCTTTGGCACTGGAACCTGGACACTGATTTTCTTGTCCTAAGAACAGGAAGAGAATAAGGACATAAATGCGGGTAGACTGAGGAGAGAAGAGAGAAAGCTGCCCCTGTACATCCAAAGACCAGTGTCATAAACAAAGAGAAGTCCAGAAGATTGTGAACCCAGGAGGGAGATGGTCCACGTGCCCGAACATGCAGCCCAGAGCATTTTCCTGCTCTGAGCTGTATGCAGTGGGAAGGAAGCTGGAGAGAAGAGAAGGAGCGGGCCATGGAGATGCACAAAGTATGATCCAAAAGCACAGTGACTGTTTACACTAGAAGCTTTTTACTACAGTAAAAGACACACTGCCATTATTTGCCCCAGAACTCCTCCGCTTTGCTTTGAACGCAGTTTCTACCACTTTCTGAGGTAGTTTTGCAGTCTTCTTCTGTACCTTCATCTGGTTTGATAAAAAATACCACGAAGGCTGTTGCCCAGGGCCATCCGGTGGAAAGGGAGGCTCACGCACATAGCCCTGTACTCCACTTATCTACTGTTTATTACCTGTTTTCCCCATCAGGGCAAAGCTGCTCAAAAAACAGGGCCTTTTTCTTTCCTATTTGTTCATAGATACGTTTTCCTCCCATGATTTGCTGATGGATGTTTTATAAGTGCCTAAGTCAGTGCCTGGCGATGAAGAGATGCTCCCTACATCTCTGCTGAGTACATGAGTGGGTATCCCCGCTGGGGGCTTACAATGGTTTTCCATCTTTTACATTTTCCACATGCATCTGCTCTCATCAGGGTAATAGCGAACGAGGAAAAGATGGTGAGACTTACCGTAAACACTGCTTGCAAGTTGTTGAGCTTCTCTATCTCCTTGGGCATCCCATTACTGCCCCAACGAATCAGATAGTTCTCACTGGCAAGAGAAAGAAAATAACTTTTAATTGGAGGCAAAGCAGGTGTGAAGGTTGCCCTGGGTATGGAATCATAAGGGTAAGAAGGGGCAAGAATGCTCAAGGGAATCCTGCAGGCAGCTGGGAAGGTAGCACTGAGAGAACATGCCTGGTCCCTCAGGCCATCACAGGTCTTTGGCTTTGCACAGGTCCCTTACTCAAGGAATGTCCACTCAGATTGCAGCAAACATTACTAAGGAGGAGGCAGACACAGCACACTATATGGAATGCGACTGTCCTTTCACTGTCCAAAATGTGGGACTCAGTATTGAATTTAGGGCCTCTGTACTACACTGCATGCCCAGCACCTTTTATTAAGAGACAAGGTCTTAGTAAGTCACCTAGCCTGGGCTGGAACCTGTGCTCCTTCTGCCTCAGCCTCTCGGAATGCTGGGATTACTGGCCTGCACCACCAGATGCCTGGGGCCTTCTTTCCAGCTCATAGATTCTTTGCATGGGAGTTTTAGCTTTGCTCAATCAGGAATTTAATTTTCTAACAGCCATTCCACATCCATACTTGTAACCCTCAGTATCACACAGAAAATGGCGGTTTTGGAAGAAAGAATTTAACAGTAAAAAAAAATTTTTTTTGGTCTGTCTTTTTGAGGCAGTGTCTTGCTGTGTAGATCAGGCTGGCCTCGAACTCACAGTGATCCTCCTGCCTCAGCCTCCAGAGTGCTTGGATTACAGGCATGTGCCACCACATTCAGCCTCAGTAAAGGTTTTTCATCTACCTTCTCAGAAGTAAACCTGGGTCCCAGAGCCATTCAGCAGGTTTTCCTCCTAAGGCTAAATAACATCGACTATTATTTCTAGCAGTCTTTTATACATTTCTGTGGACCAGTTTTTAAAGCAGTTTTAAAGCAAAGCTGACCTGCAAGTATAGAGTTGCCACACACTGGGCACCTCCTGTGCCACCTGCATCCTCAGCAAGGCAGCACACTGGCTCTAACCAAGGAGCCTCCTTGGACAACACCATCACCAACTAGAGCCCACAGGTGACAACGGATTCTCGGTCTCGTGCATTCAGTGGATTTGAAGGCGTCTAATGACGAGCATGAAGAGTACCCGCACTGTTTCAGCTCTGGAGCGCAGAGGACTTTTCCTTCTACTGCCTTGAGATCCCCAGCTTCTCCTCTGAGTCCCCTCCCCCAACCTAGCAACAGCTCTACAACCCCCTCCCCAACCTAGCAACCTACAGGTAGCTTTTAGGTGAAGGCTGAGGACTTTGCGAGGCCAACAGCAGGTGATGTGGGGATCTGCTACCTGATGAAAGTGGACCGGTCTGGGTCGTAGAGGGCCATGAACAACTCTGCATCTTCCCCGATATTGCAGACAAAGTTCTTGAAGCTCACGTAAAGGCCGTAGGTGTGGGCGCCACTGAAGATGGCCTGGCTCCGTAGGTCCAGGTTCTGCAGAAGGGACTGGACACAGAGGAAAACACCTGGGTCACAGCAAGCTGCAATGCTAGCGAAGCAGCAGCTTGTGTGCACAAGACAAATGCGATGGCCGCCAGGAGAAACACGTGCTGAAAAGAGCGGGTGTGAGTAGACCGAAGCCCTGCAGCTGAGCGGGATGCAATCTCATCATCACTCAGGGGCCCAAAGCAGCCACACGGGAGGACTTGAACTCAAGGAACTCAGTGCAGGGTGACTGAGCAAGATCACTAATGGTGTTAGCGGATACAGAGTGCTCACGCGTTACAACGACTGCCCTCGGGAGCTCGAAAGCACATCTGATCCATCAGTTATGGGAATAACTTTCATTGGATACAGAAGATTCCACTAGAAAAGCGGCCCCTTCAGGTATGGTTGCCACTGGATTCAGACACACATAGAGAAATGTATGTGAATTAAAGCTGGGGCTGAGGGACAGTGCCCGCCTGGCAAACTCAAAGTCCTGAGTTCGATTCCTGGTACCAAAAAAAAGCCTAAAGAGAAATAAAATCTTAATTATCAGGACAGAAAGACTAGAAGAAAATGTATCAAAATGTCAACACCAATGGCTTTAGGCCAGTGATGGTGAACTTTTTAGAGCTTTTGATGATACAAACAACCCAAACAACTCGCTATGGTACATGTGCCATAGATTCACCCCCACTGATCCAGGCAGTCATATGGGTGACTTTTTCTTTTTCTTTCTATAGCTGTGTCATTTTTCTTTAATATATAGTTATTACTTTCTATACCTTCTGAACAAGTTATAATTTTTTGGATATCATAACACAGGCACCAAAATACAGAAGGTTATAGAGTAAAATCTCAGTTCCCCTGAGATACCCATGAATAATAATTTCTTGCCTATCATGTGAGAATTAGGCTATGCACATGAAGCACTGATATATGCCTTTTTGTATGTATTTTTTGTAACACAGATAATGGCATTTTAGATAACCCTGTTGAGCATCTTGATTTTTCCACTTTATATGTTTGTATTCATTCTGCAACAGAACATGTATAGTAGCCTTGTTCTTTCTGCTGTTTCACTTTTAAAACGAAAACACAAAAGACTTTCTAGACATTGCTACCTCTTGTCAACAATTCTCTTTCACTAAAAAATAAAGCAAAAAATTGAATCTGAGCAGCCAAAAGCTGCGACTGGAGAAAGCGTACCTTCTCTTCCTGGATCCTCTCCTCGATCCTTCTGGAGGCCACTTCGTGGGCCTTGAAGAGGGCAATGGTGCTGGTTTCATCCGGGTCTAAGATGTTGCCATTGTCGTCACGCACTACCAGATCCAAGCCCAGCATTCTGGAGAGAAGGAGACAGCCAGGTGACCCTCTCCTCCAGAGAGGTCTCTCTGCAAAACAGCCCTCATCAAAGAACCCAGAGGACTTGATAGGAAGGTAAGGTACTGAAGGAGTCAGGGGAAGAACAGGTGACTTCTCCCCTTCAGCTTCTGCCTCCTTTTTGTCTGAACAATGTTTAAAAACAATGAGATAATGTCAGCAGAATCTGTGGGAGAACATGCTCCGTTATTCTGTCCACAGATCCTCAGGAAGAGAAGCTAAATTGGCACCGATTCTAACCAAATCTGCTTTCTAGTGTTTCTTTGCTTGACTTTCTGTAACTGGGCACAGCAACTACGAAAGACCAAGGCACAACTATTTAAGAGCTTGCCTAGAATTTAGTTATTCAAGTCAAGACCACTGTAAAGGAGCGCTAAGAAGTAATCTCAGACCACTGCCTGTGGTGTTATTTAGACTAGGATTTAAACCTTGGCTTTGTTAACGAGTTTCCATTGCAATCCCTTAATTCTCCAAAGCCTGCTTTTCTTCAAGTATAAATGTTTCCTGTTCCTCAGGATCGTAAGGACTTAATGCAATAATCCATGGAAAGCCCCTAATATACTATCTCTTGCTTGCATACAGCACACAATAAATATTAGCTCTTATGGCTACGAGTGGTACAAGAAAAACTGGCTGTAGTAAACTGCTGCTCTGAGAGCTGGATGGGAGGAGGGCCATGTGGTATATGGATTCACCATTCTCTTCCAGGCTTTTGGGCCCAATGGGTACACAAAAGTAGAAACAGATTCGCTTCACGGAGACTGGTGAAACAGGATACTGCTCTGTGAATGCTAAGCACACATTCCAGGCACCAGCTATTTGGCAGTGGGATGTCCAAACAGCAAGAGGACTCAAGGGAAACATGCCAAGTCTGTTGGAACAAAGCAAAAATTCCTAACTTCCCACTTCCCTGTGTTTTAACATCTCCACCAACTGATTTGATCTGACAGGTCCCTTTCTGCAACAGCCAGACCCACAGGCCACCCAGACTCTGAATGATGGCCCTGCTGGCTGCTGAGGGACAGGATCATGCTTGCACTGACACAGGTTCATGTCCTGAGCTGCTGCTGAGGGCTAAAATGGGAAAGGATGTGAGTCCCACCATTGGGGGGGGGGGGGTCCTTACACCCTGCCCCAGAGACTGGGGACCTTCGGGGCCAATATCAGTGTGGCAAGGTCCCAAAAGAGAGAGCAGTCTATGTGCAAAGGGAACTGCCTTATCCCATCTTAGCTGGCTTTTAAGTGAGTTATCAGATATCTGGACATGGTGGGGAATGCCTGGAATATCAGCACTCTGGAGGCTGATGCAGGAAGGAGAATCAAGAGATGAGATAAGCCTGGGTTGCATAATACGATTCTATCTCAAAAAAACAAAGTAAAATAAAGAAAAGTAAGTCTTCTACATAGATACAGAAATGGATTTTATAAACAGATCCTCAATTGCACAAGAAATAACAGCAAGAATCAACAAGTGGGATTATATCAGTTGAAAAATCTTCTGTATAGCAGAAGAATCAATTAGAATAAACAGATCATTTACAGAATGGGAAAGATTTTATTGCCAGCCACTGCTCAGACAAAGGACTAATATTTAGAAAAAGAACTCAAAAAATTTAACCACCTACAATTAAAATCACCCCCGTCAAGAAAAAGGGAACTGAAATGAACAGACACTTCACAGAAGAAATACAAATGGCCAAAAAATACACGAAAAGATGTTCAATATCTCTGACCATTAGAGAAATGCAAATTAAAACAACAATAAGATTCCATCTTATTCCAGAAAGAATGGCAATCAAGAAATCACAAATGCTAGCTAGGCTGTAGTAAAAAAGGAAACCTCTTACAATGTTGGTGGGAATGCAAAATAGTACATTATGGAAATCAGTATGGAGATTTCTAAAATAATTGAAAATAGAAATTTCATATGATCTAACTATCCTCCTCCTATGAGCTTAAAACATCATATTACAGCAATACATGCCAATGTGTCTAGCAGCACAATTCATACTAGCTACATCCTAAAAACCTGCATACTACTTGACTACAAAGGACAAATTTGAGACATTTGTAGGAAAATAAATACACCTAGAGAATGTAATGGTTGGGTAGTTTGTGTGTTTGAGACAGGGTCTCACTATGTAGCCCAGGCTGGCCTCAAACTCCCCAGTGGCTCTCCTGCCTCAGCACTCTGACTGCTGTGATTACAGGTGTGCCACCTCACCTGATGAAAATGTAATGTTGACTGAAATAAATTAGAAGCTTAAATATAGTTATGTATGTCTCATCAGAGCCAGGCAAAGTACAAACTAAGAGAAAATGAAGGAAGGATAGAGTGAGATGAGAGATGGGTCTCTGGCAGATGGGAAGGGGCCGAGGGGACCCAGGTTGAGGGGTGCAGAGGAGGGAAGGGGGAAATAGGCAGAGTGGAGATTGCCTGGTACAAGATCCTCATAACCTCAATGAATGTGGACATTATATGACATAGACATGAACTAAGATTAACAGTGTAAACAAAGATAAACAGGAGAAAAGGATTCAGAGGAGGGAGGGGAATTAATAAAAGAAACAAGCTGTATAATGTGTACGTACTCAACCCCCCAAGATGATGGTAAAATGCAGGCACTGCCAACATGTGCTAATAAATAAAAAAACATGCTAATAAAATAAAGCTCTTTAAGTCTTCTGGTCTTACATAACTAGCAGTACAATCACTAAGTTTAGTCTTCAGGTTGGAGCAGCCTGAATTCTCAGCCCTAAGAGGGGAGCATTAGATGAAAAATCAAAGGGTTTGGGTTCCAAAGTAAGTTTTCCCATCAGCCACACAATTGGGAAGTGCCACTCAATCAGGCTGTAGGTCATCTGCTGCAGCTGGCGGAAAAGTGTCACCTGGTTGTTCTAAGATGGGAAAATGAGGTAGAGGAAAAGCAGAAGGGGGAAATCGCTGGCACACGAGTGATCTGGTTCCAGAAGTGTAAAAAGGAAATAAGAACGGTGACTTCCTAGGGTTACAAGGAACACACACAAAGTCCCCTCCTAAACGCTGACTGAATCTGAATCCTGACCTCTGTTCACGCCAGCCATTTCAGAATACAGCTGATGTGGTCAGACACCGATGTGGTCAGGCAATGAGCCATGCTTTACAGGTCCATGAGGGGATCCAGTCCTGAGGCTGAGTAGAAGCGGACAGGAAAAGATCACATATACCAAAGTTGGAGAAGCAGAGGCCCAGGGAGGGAAACATGATACACACGCAGAAGAAACTGGATGCCAAGCGAATCCTCAACAAAAACCAACCGAGGGGCCATCTCTCTTTAAAAGGCCTGGCCTGGAGGCATAAGCCCCAGGCCACCAATTTCTAAGTTCCAAAAGCTGATAAAATCTGGAAGCCATATGTCTGCCTCAACTAACAAGACAGACTTGCTATCAAGTGACTGGAGACGTAATCCAGCCTGGAAGCAGGCTGGCTGCTTTGGAGAACTGAGTTTTCATACACTAAGCACCATGGTCCCCGTTAGCGGAAGACGGAGATAATGAGTCCGACATTGATTGAACAACTGTTGTTAGACTAAAAGTAGGCACAGTCTCCAGCACTGGGCCAGCCTGGCTGTTACCCGCTGGCTCCAGGCGATCAGACAACACAGCACGTGCACCAGAAACTGGGCTGTGTGTGACATTTTTTTCAATGAGAGTAAATATTTTCCAGGACACAGAAGATAACAGGCATTCTCTGGAACACCGAGATCCAAAGTCTGTGGGTAAATGGGAGTGGTGGGGAGATGTGGGCATAGAGGATGGTTGGGGGTGCTGGGGTGTAGCTGGGGAAGAGGAAATAACTCATAACTAATAACACGTTGTACTCCTGTACTAAAATGCGGCACGGAGCCCACAGAGACCCCAATCAGTATGTGGTCATTTCAAATGAAGTTTGTTGTGACCAGTGTCCTTCACACAAAGGTATGAGTTGCACTCCAAGTTCCCAGCGAGAGGTGGGCCCCAGTCACCTGTTCCCATGATCAATTTTGGCCGTGACTTTCTTCTTGAGCTCTGTCAGTTCATCCTTGGGGAGCGTTCCAGAGAGGATCTGGGAGCGCCATTCAATCAGGCTGTAGGTCATCTGCTGCAGCTGGCGGAAAAGTGTCACCTGGTTGTTCTAAGGAAAATGAGGTAGAGGAAAAGCAGAAGGGGGGAAAAAAAAGATGCGTTAAAAACTGAGTAATGTTGATTGTTCATGAGGTGTTCATCACTGTTTGTTGGTTCATTGTGTGTGCTCAGGACTTGTTTTTGAAATGTACCCAGGGACAGCTCTGTCCAGAGCCATGCCTACTTCACGCAGTATTGCAACTTTAAAAATGGACAAGCTCAAATTAAAAAGTTTCTGCACACAAAGGAAACTATTATTAACAGGGCAAAGAGACAAACTACAGAAGGGAAAAGCACTACTGCCAGGGCTCCTCACACAGAACTAATTCAGTGGTGTCCTGATTCACGAATGCTTTTGTTTGCAAATGATTTGGTTCACAAAAAGAAGCGTTTGGTAAAATTTTTTGTTTGCAAACCCTGCGCTGGGAGACAAACACAGCCGCAGACAGCTTTCCCACACAAACACAAACACGGCCACCTTTTCAAAAACTAGAACTAATTAAGTTTATGAACTAAGGCTCCTCTGTGTTCAGAGTGTATAAAAGATTCAAAAAAAGTTTGACTTCCCCCAAATTAAAAAAAAAAAAAAAAAGAACCACTAGAATGATAGATACTTCTTGAAAAGTTCAAATGCCAATAAATACGTTTTAAAATGTTCCGTATCTCTGACCATTAGGGAAATACAAATCAAAACAACACTCCAGAGAGAATGACCATCATCAAGAGATCAAATAATAGAGGCCAGGGATTTAGCTCAGAAGAGTAAGTACCTGCCTGGAGAGCATAATATCATGAGTTTGATCTCCTGTACCAAAAAGACAGAAAGACAGAGAGAAAGAAAGAAAGAAAGAAATCAAATAATAATTTGCTAGAGAGGCTGCAAGAAAAAAGGAATCCTTCCACACTGCTGGTGAGAATGTGAACTAGTGGGGCTGGGGATTTAGCTAAGCGGCATAAGCACCTGTCTTAGAAGCAGGCGGTCGTGAGTTCGATCCCTGGTACCGATAAAAATGAAAAAGACAAAAAAAAAAAGAATAAGAACTAGTACAACCACCATGGGAATCAGCATGGAGAGTTCTCAAAAAAATGGATAAAACTAGAAATTTCATTTAACCGAAATATTCCCTTTCTAAGTATTGTCTCGAGTAGGGAAAAGGGAAAAAACTGCAAGTCAGTTACACTATCAACTATACAGAATGATAAACTTGAGGGTTCTACGGGTAAATACATGCAACTAAAAACCATATTCATAAGTGCACACAAGATTTGCACGTGTAAACACTGTACTGTCTTGCTAGTATAAGAAACTGAAGGAGTAAATAAGATCCAAAAGTTACAATAGATATAGTAAAAGGGAAAGAAATTGCTCAAAAGGAAATAATAGAGCTTGATCAGCTTTGCATGCCTATATCTGGTAATCTGAACAACTATTCTGAAGATAACAATACGCAATATAACAACTATTGCTAAATTCCTATCATCTTGGTTTGAAATCCTATATTGCTATTTCGTTGTTGATTGTCTTTTTGCTTTTGTTGTCGGTTTTATTTACTTCTTGACTTTTTCTCTTTAAAAAAATAAAAAGATCTGTGTAAATATCAATTGGAGAAATGTTAATGCTCATATCTTGCATTCTGAGCAACTGCTTTAAAGATAACATGTGATGCATCAACTACTGTTATTCTCCTGTCACTGTTATGAAATTGTTTTACCTTTTCTGCATAAAATTAAATGTCTACCCCACCCCCCAAATTACATCCCAGCGATACACACATTTTCATGTTTATAGCAGCACACCTCAGAATAGCTAAATCTTACAAGCAGTCTACACATCCCTGAACAGATGAATGGAAATAGAAAAGGTACTGTTAACACAGAAGGTGGCACTGGCTGTGCCATAAAGGCAAACTTGAGTCATTTGTTCAAAAGCCTCCAAGGATTTCCTCCAGGCACAATGGATTCCACTGTGAGTTCCTGAGTCTCTGCCTTGCCCACGCTCCCAGCTAGATCAGCCAACATCCACTGCAAAACCTGCACCCTGTGCAAAGCCATGCTCCTTTCTTTCAAATGCTGCAGACCTCCTCAGCGTGAAATCTCCACTTGCATCTAGTTGGAACCTTGTTCCCCAAACCTATGCCCAGCCGCAGCCAGCCTCTTTTCTCTCACATGCGTGCTGCCCTTTGTACCGGCTGGCTAATTCTGCTTGCTTGAGACTCCAACTGGGCTAGCTACACCTGGAATTTACTACCAGCCCCATGGTGGGGCCCTGGTGACTCTGACCTGCCTGACTCCTCCCTTCGAGCAAGCTCCACTTCCACAAGGAAGATGTTCCTTTGGTGTCCCCAGCAGCTGATACAGGGTAAATGCTCTATAAAGTGCACCGCAGGAAAGAATGGATCATGGAGAAATAACTGTGATTTTAGAAGTCAGATATGTGGGAAAATAAAAATGCAAATATTATTTTAAAATCTCTATTTCTCCAGGAAGCTGTTAGATCATTTAGACATTGAACTGTTATCCTGGGTTCTACTAATATCTTACTGTAATTGAAGTAATTTACAACCAAAGAATCGTTTATGCCTCAATCATTGAGTCAAATGCTTGATGCTGAACTATCACAACCTCGATTCTAACTAAGTGATTGCTTGATTTTATGTATGTGTACCATATATATGTACAAACCTATATGATGTGTACACACATAGGTATATATGTAGAGTTCTATAAGTACATGCTTATACACATGTGTATCTTATGTGTATTCACATACCTATCTATTTGTGTGTATATAAAAGAAGTCTGCAGCATGTGCTATGTGCTAAATATAAGGTCCCTGCATTTGAGGAGCTAATATTCTAGAGGAAGAAAGACAGTAATTATATATATAAAAGTTATGCATAACATATCTACATACAAGATAATTTCAGGTGATTAAAAGAACATGAAATAAAGTGAGGGCCAGGGACTTAGCTCAGTGGCACAAACGTCTGCCTGGCAAGTGTGACGTTATGAGTTTGGTCCAGAGAGAGAGAGAGAGAGAGAGAGAGAGAGAGAGAAAGAGAGAGAGAGAGAGAGAGAGAGAAAGAGAGAGAGAGAGAGAGAGAGAGAAAGAAATTACAAATAAAGAGTATGAAAATAAATAGGGCAATATGATACTGTACATACAGGGGTAAGAGACTACTCTAGATTGAATGATCAATAAAAGTGCTTTGCATATCACTTTTGAAATATGTTGAATAAAAACCTGTACAATTTTGCTTGTATGAAACTATTTTTTTCTTATTTACAGTTAATGTCATGATAAAGTACATATAAAGCCATATACCTCTAAAATTATAGAAAAACACACAGCAGTATGCCACAAAAACAATGCACATAGAAACCACACACACCCCTGTGATGACTGTGTGGCATGTCCCCCAGTGGCATACTTCCATGACAATCCAGGGACACAGGCTCTGGGGTAAAGTATGGGGATAGAAACAGGACTGAATGACCCAAGGTCCTCCTGAGCACAGTACAGGTGATGGAAGTGCCCTTGGCCTAGCAGTGGAGCCAGCGGCAGGGCTGAACACTGTGGATAGCTGATGTGACAAAACCCCAAGAGAAGTCCAAAGTTCATGAGAATTCAAAGAAACAAGGGAAGCACCACTGATCTGTGGTTGCAAAGTGCATTAAAGCTGTGGAGCAAAGGAACACAGGAAGCAGCCTAGCCCGGTGGTACACGGCTATCATCCCAGCACTTGGGAGGCTGAGGCAAGCAGACTGCTACAAGTTAGCCTGAGCTGGTAAATTAAAGGCCAGCCTGCACTATAAAGTAAGACCCTGTCTCAAAAAACAAAATCAAACAAACAAAGCAAATACAGAAAGCAATGCCTGTTTAAAATTCTGAGGCTGGCCTGGCCTGGTGGTACATGCCTACAGTTTCAGCTACTCAGGAGGCTGAGGCAGGTTTGAGACCTGCCTGTGTAACTCAGTGAGAAACTGTCTCTAAATAAAAAGGGCAGGCCATGTGGCTAAGTGGCACAGTGCCCTAGTCAATTCCTAGTCCTGCAACAGAAAAAGGTACTGGAGAACTACCATATATTTTGTGCTTTTAGCATTTCCTACATTGCTTTTTGTTTTTTTCACATACCAGTCCTTAGGAAAACACAAAATGAGGCAAAGATCCCATTTTTAAGAAGCGAAAGTAAAAGCTCTGCTTTTTTCATTCAATCTGCTATAAAATGTCTCCATTTCATTATCTTCCAAACTGGGAAAAGAAGTGAAAAATTTTGCCTTGAGAAACTGCTTGGCATAAAACAGATCTTTTTCTCGTCCTCTTTTCTGCCATCCATTTGTCCCCTCCTAGTTAGGTGCTTTTTTTTTTTTTTTAATGGTTTCTAATTTTAATTAAGATCCTGCCTTTCATATTGCAGGGAAGAAAACGCTCAAGGCTCGGGGACTCCTCCGTGTGAGACAGGCTTTGTCTGGGGCACCTGTTCCCAAGTCCTCTGTCTCAATTATATCAGATGTGATTCACGGCAATTTAATTATTGCCTGTTCATATCAGCCTCATTTGCCAAGTTCTTCCCCCAATAAGGATGAAGACAGCCATTCTTCTCTGATTCACGGTGCCAAATTAATACTGAATAGACAAGCTGGAACAGACCAGAGGAAGTGATTTCCCCATCCACTTCAAGGAACCAGACTCCACCGTCCCATCCCGGATTGTTCTAAGCAAGGTGCAGGGTCGCTGGTCCCTGACCCGCGTGGGTTGTAAGGAGAACACAGCAAACAGCCGAGGACAAAGCCCTGCTCAGTCTAGCAGGTTTTGGGGCCCTGCTTCTCTAACGCTTTGCTCTTGCTGCCCTATGCTAAGGGGTGGATGCGCCGGGCCCCCAAAGGTCCATGTGCTGGAAGCTTGGGCTCCAATGTGGAGATGTGAGGAGGGGGGAGCCCCAAGATGGCCCAGCAGGTGGTAATTAGGGCACAGGGGCGCTGTCCTGGGAGAGATGAACCTGGTCTCCT